ATAGTAACAGTGCTGTTTCTACGAGTTAATTAAAGAATGTTTTCTTGTTATAATTTTATGGTAATGGAATTATCGTTTATGTCTATTTTTATCTTAAATATTATTAAAAATCACATAAACAAATTAAAATAAAAAAAATACTGAGTCACTTAACTGATGGACCGATATTAACCAAACTACTTCTAGGAAAATGATTTTGCTATGAAGAAAACCACATCAAAAACGGTCGATCCATTTGAGACAGATAACGATAAGCTAATATCTTTTACAGGCTATGCATTAAAATAACAATATATAAAAACACATATAAACAAAATGGCGGTTTGACAAATAGAGATTTGACGTTTAAATAATAAGTACAGATAACTATAGATTAAAAAATCATTCAAATATACACTAGGAATATTTCACAAGCTTAAAAATAATGAACGTTTTTTAACGCAATTCTCTCCCGTGTGTACACACATCAAGCTACATAGCTAATTCATTAAAACTAGTACATTTCTATATTTGCTGTAATTATCACAAGGAATTGTTTACTTATAACGAAATGACGTCATTTATATTAAAACAAACAAAATGTAACATTGTTATTATACAAATAGAATATATATTTGCTTAAAATAACAAAACTGCTATAATTGAGACGTTGAGGAACGCCCGCGATGTTTATAAAATCAAAAACATACGTACGGTTTCTTAAATTATAATTAATGAGCACCAACTGCTGTTTTTCAAATAAATTATTACAAACAGAAAAATATAATGCAAATAAATAGCAGAGAATTATAGCTACGGAAAATAAAATGGAATTGGTATGTATATATACAAATAACATTATTGTTTACGCCTTATCTCGTAACCTTCGTATGGAGTTTAAAAATAAAACCGTTTCTTACCGTAACGTATTCAACATTGGACACTCTAAAATGCACTGAACATTGCACTGCAAACACTAAATATCAATAAATTTCAAAATTGGACAATCTGTCAAAATTTAACGTTCGAAATTTAAAAGTTTTTTATTTTTATACCACTCACATCATACAGTAATTGTTAGTAAGTCATATTTTATGACACACAAGTGTAGATTTACGGAAAATTTTGCGGATAAAATGACAAAGCGACCGCACCCAACGGCGGTGGAGTCGGTACTGAAATGAAGCTGAACCGTGCTATCGTACAGCTTTCAGCAAATCTATAAGAGAAAGTACACACTATCGCCATCCTTTTCTGTTGACCCCTTTCCATCTTCCGTCTCGCTCACGTTATCCTGGCTACTCGTGGACCAAAAAAAATATCAAATTACGCTTTCATTACGCGAAAATGGGGCGAATATTTTTTTTAATTTTCCGGATCTGCTTTTTGACACTAAATTTGGCGGGAACCGTCCGCCCTTGATCACTATTTACGGCCCCGGTTGACATTTTGACAGATTAATTTAAAAATAAATCGTGTTTTTTCCCACAACCGATATTGTAATCCGATGTAATTTGAAATTATAATGTTGTCATTTTATACGTGACTTGAACTACGATCATAAGACTTGTGTAATAAAATCTTTCGACGATTTATATTTGTATCAATATGTAGTATTATTTACTTTATTTTACTCACTATCAAAACAATCCGATGTAATTCGATATAATGGTTTCCTAGGAAAAATTTATTATTGTCATTCAGTACCTGCATTAAAATAAATATGGAAAAATTATTATTATTTCATGACGTTAACTTTTGAATTTCTTATAAACTTTCAACGCAACTTTAAAGAAAAGTAATTATTTAATTGTTTAAACGTAACTCCTAAATTACAAACGGTTTTATCTGTTTCAACAAATATGTAGTAGATTTAACAATATATGTCAGTGGTGGCCTAGTAGTTAAAGGGTCCGCCTCTCGTTGCCGAGGGCGCGGGTTCAAACCTGGCAAGTACCTATGTGATTTTTCGGAGTCATATGTACTTTCTGAGAGTATTTAGACACCACTGACATACGGTGAAGGAAAACATCGTGAGGAAACATGGACTTATAATTTCACAATTATAAGTTTGAAATCACCAACCCGTCTTGAGCAAGCGTGGTGATTAATGTTCTAACCTTCTCCGTGTGAGACAGAGGCCTTACAGCAGTGGGCTCTGATAGGCCGATTATATATGTATATATGTATATATATACAGGGTGACAGGTGAATTACTATCGATACTTGAGGACGTGATATTTGACGATCATATATGACAAAATAAAAATTAATATAACATAAATATTAATAAACTTCTAAGTAAAGTTAACCAAAAATATATATATATATATATATATATTAACAATACTTACATAGTCTAGTTTTTCAATAATTTAATACTATTTTGTACACTCGGTCCAATATTTTTTATATAATAAATTTGTTATAAATATCTGTATGCGAAATAACAAATAAATTAAATATTATTCACGCTTATATAGATACGCTTTGCTATAATTGACGATAATAATTTAATTCAAATTCATACCTAAAGATTTATATTTTGACATTAATTATTATTAATAATGTTGACTTAATACTGAAAACTTATTTTTATATCACAATAATATATATAGTAACACTTATTAAATAAAATCATTCATAAAATTTAACATACTCGTATTATACTAATTAAAACAGTGATAGTTTTATTTAAAAAATATCCAACCTTCATGGAGACTATAATTATTATTGTATTTAATAATATAAGAAGAATAAATTAAAATTTATCAAATTATTTGATAAATAAAACAGTAGCTAAATATTCGGCATATATTATTATTGGGGTGTCATATAAAAGCATTTAAGTTGCCGCCATTTTAAGCGTCATGGTAAGTTTATGGCGAAGGTGCTATTGTGGAGTTAATGGGATATTTTGTATGTTTTATTGTTTACGGTGGCGCTATATAATATTTTATTTCTTCAATACTGATGCTATTAATACTACTTGGATAATATCACGGAAAATATAATTTTTAAATTTACAAAATTTGATGATCTTTGGTTACAACTACACTCGATGGTTAATAGAAAAATTATTATTACAAAGTGCTACGTGAAAATGTAACTTAATATAGAGCCAAAATTTTGTAGCCATCTATCGCATGTCGCATTTCAGTGACACGCAAGGGAGGGGTAAAAAAAGGTCGATATACCATGCTACAACTCGAACATGTGCTAGCTCGCCCGGGGAAGTACCACCCTGTCACAGAAAATCGACTTAAGTCGTCTTTAATGTCTGCGTTTCGTCCGATGAGTGTGAGCGGTTGCAATATCAATGTTCCCACCCTTTCCTGGTTTTTCCTTTTTCCCACCCCTGCCTTTTCCCCTACAACAAAGGTTGGCAACGTTGGCACTACTGACCCTCAAGTGGCCCGTCTGCTCGTTTGCCACTTTTTACATTAAAAAAAACTAAAACTTCTTTGAGATACGCGTCATCATGCTTATGATGTTTCATTTAATTTCTTTAGGATACCTTCATCAGATTCTTACTTGGTGTCACATAGAACTGGATCAGAATAATGGAATTTCGATAAAACAAATATTTTAAAAAGGGCCTTTAACTAAGCTGTAATAACATAACGAACAAAAAGTCAAATAGAGAACTTCAACCTAATTGAAGTTTATTAAAACTTAACCTACGTTACTTCTTATGATATTACCTACCTGCAAGTGAAATTCTCTTCGTAATAAGTCCAGCCGTTAAAGAGATTTATCGGAACAAACAGACGTGTCATAAAGACAAAAAAATAAAAAATAGTTTCTATAATAACTACTACAGTAAGACCCCGTTATATGCGGTTTCACTATAACGCGAATTTCAAAAATTTATTTAGATTTGGAAATATTGCAGAGTATAGATAATAATGATGACCGCGCCTTGACCGTGTGTCAAACAATTAAAAACAGTGTTGGGTGTTATGAACTTATTTTACAAATACGTAAACAAGACGCTAACCAAAAGACAATTCATGTATTTTTTCGTAAAAAATAGGAGTACCTATGTATTGTATAGTGCTCTTAGAATTAAAGTGATGAATTAAAATGATTTTTATATTTGTGTATTAAATTTTGACTGTGTTTAATCGTAAACCTCGATATACGCGAATTTCAGTTAACGCGATTTTCTTCGGAACGTATCCCTCGCGTAAAGCGGGGTATTACTGTACATTGTACAACCATATATAATCTGTTGTAATAATGGGAATCTGTTGAAATTACAAATAACCACTTGAAACAAATATATTTTCATGAATACAAATAATATAAGTAAAATATGAGAAATTTAAACCATATCTCACTAAGTTATAACATACAGTACTCAAAGTCCCTTTTTTATCTAACAATAAACATATTAAGTGCTTATAGATAACCAAATACCTTACCATCATACATTAATAGCCATTCCAGTACATATTAGCAAAAATAATATTCAAGATACATCAAAAGTATGAAAAACGGTTAAAAATTTAATTAATATACGTGAATTTATGTGTCATAGCAATATTTTTGAAGGTACCGATTGTAATATTAAAGATAATAATTTATATGGTCTCGTGCCCTTAAAAACGATAAAATCTAAAGAATGAATAAAATAATATCCAATAACATTTAAATTTACTATTTAAGGATGTAATATATTGTAATATACGATCCCCAACATAAGTGGTTATTATTTTCAAAGTACATAGATAAGTCATAATTTAGAGGCACTCAATTGTGTGATAAGATATGACGTTTTTAGACGAGTTTTTTGTTAATGTCAAAAGTCAACTGCCAATGTCTAATACTGATAAATAACTTAACTGAAATATATCTTTAGTTTAAAATATTTTGTATCAAACGCTTTTTGTTTATATATACAGCAAGTTGTAATTAAAACTTTACAATATTTCTGTGCTATATTGTTATCAAAACAGTCTATTTGGTACTTAGAGTCACTCAAAGTTCTATAAGTATTTTTGTGATAAGTTTTGAAAATGTCTAAAGTTAAGTTAAACTTAATAGCGGCTGCCTGTGAAAACATGGGTATTGGTACCAACGGATCCCTACCTTGGAGACTGAAGTAAATTATTCATATCTTAAAGTTTTATCGACTTTTTGCAAACTTTACTTTACGTATTTTTCTGATTTAGAAAAGAAATGGAATACTTCACGACAATGACGACTAAAGTCAAAGATGCATCGAAAATCAACGCTGTGATCATGGGAAGGAGGACTTGGGATTGTATTCCTAATAAATACAGACCTCTAGACAATAGACTGAATATTGTGCTCACAAGGCATGCAGATGTTATTAAAGACAAGGTAAGAATTACTAGATTTGTTTAATATATGTTTCAGATTTGTTTTTCAATGTCATGCTAAATGGCTGATGCCAGATATAACTTTCAAATCCAGGTTGATACTTAAATGCAATTACAAAATAACAATGGTTCAGTCTTCTTCCTGGCAATTTCCCAGCTTTAGCCAGGTTCTGCCAAAAAAATAACTCTTCCGCAGAACATGTTATGGATAGTTTAGGCTAATTGTTTTTATACGACCGGCCGCCTGCCTGACTCAATCCCTTTTGGGAATGTTCTTATTGAGCTATTTCAAGTTCAGTATTGTAACTAATTATTAGTATAGCATAGATGCTGCCTCTTGTAATTTGTAATCAATGTTTTAGAGTTGTTGTATAATAAAATCTTTATGATTGTGTTTCTATATGAGTATTATATATTTTAAAGGTCCCCGAAGATGTTGTGGTCGTGTCGAGCTTAGATGAAGCCATAAAACATATTGATGATAGGAACGATGTTGAATCCACTTGGGTTATTGGAGGTTCCTCTGTATATCAGGTATAGTAATTAATATAATTTAAATAAGATATTTTTTCATGTTTTAGGTAAATTTGGTAGTATTTTGCACATAGATATTTTTTTTGTACTTAAAAGTTGACTCCAAGACAATAAACTTCTTATGTAATGTATTTTCTATCTTAAGTTATAGTCTTGTTAATAAAACAAAAAAATAGCAATATTAGTTATTTTGGATAAAATAAATATGATAATATATCATATAAATTAATTCAGTTTTACAAACATTTGTTAATATTGGTAAAAAACTATTGTATAGTATAATTAATTTACAAATAAACTATTCCAGGCTTCAATGGATCATCCAAACTGTGGGAAGATTTATTTGACTGAAATACAAAAAACTTTTGATTGCGACACATTCTTCCCAAACATCAATAAACAACGGTTCCATCTTGTTGATGAAGAGGAGATACCAAGAGATATACAGACCGAGGGAGATATAAGTTACTATTTTAGAGTTTATAAACGGCTCTAATAATAATCTCATTGAACATATTACTTATTGTATAATATATATACTAGCTACACCCTGCGGTGTTCCGAGATTTCCGAGATTTCCAGGATGTAAAATATATGTTATTTCTGGACATCAGCTTCCTGTATACAAAATTTTATCAAAATCAAGTGAAGAAGTAACAAACATACACACACTCACAAACTTTCGCAATTATAATATTAGTAGCATATATATATATCATATATTTTAGTAACTTGTAATTTTTGCTCAGATTATCTTGGTTACCTTGTTAAAGATGAGTAATTTCCGATTGATCCCTACTAATATTATAAATGCGAAAGTAACTCTGTCTGTCTGTCTGTCTGTCTGTCTGTCTGTCTGTCTGTCTGTCTGCTACGCTTTCACGCCTAAACCACTGAACTGATTTTAATGAAATTCGGTACAGAGATAGAGTTGACCTTGAGAAAGAACATAGGATAGTTTTTATCCCAGACTTTTGAAAGGTTCTCTTGGAAACGCGATATAACCGAACTCCACGCGGCGAAGCTGCGGGCGGAAAGCTAGTATGTAATATATTGAACAGTTGATTGCTTTCAATCTTTGTTTCTAAATAAACATTAATTCCACAATATATATGTTCTATATAGATTTATATATGTGAAAGAATATTTAAAAAATAAAGTTATATTTGTATGTATTGTCAGTATATGGTAAGCAATTGTTCCTAGATATTTTTATAACTGCATTTAGGTAATAATAAGATTTGGTAATATTTTATATTTCATATTTTTTGAGTGTCTTTTCTTACGCTTTATTGAATGAACACACATTTAACTCGATTCGAATATTAAAAACTTCGAACGCACCCGAAGTGAGGTTACAGCGATGACATATGGTTTTTTCAGTTTTGCGCGGGAAAGTATTTGTCGACGCAATTTTTGTCTTTACAAATAATTTAAAGTTGTTTAGGGTATTCTTGTTTTAGATAATTATTAGTTAAAACTCTTTAAGACAGACTTGTTTCAGTTAAAGTTTGATTTGTTATTTTAAATTTAGATTTGAAGAAGTGTATTTTTTTAATGATTATATCTGAATCCTAAATCTATAAGTTGTTATATATAATTTGAAATCTTTCACACTTATCAAGAATCAATAAAATGCGTTAACGGCCTTTTCTTTATTATTTAAAATATAATTAAGCTTAGAAATACTTTTCTTTTTAATTCATATACAGTATCGTGTAATATGTGAAGTTTTTAAACATTTGGGGCCATCCATATAATACGTCACACTTATTTCATGAGTTTTCGAGCCCTCCCCCGTCCTTGTCACAGGTGGTCACATTTCTGAGACCCCCCCTCCCTAGCGTGACGTCACATGTTTTGCAATTTAACATCGAAAAATTATTAAATTAAAATAGCAGTTCCGAAATTAGTTTTATTTCCATTTAAATTAAGTACCTTTTTATGAAATCAAAATAGTATCAAAGTAACCTACGCGAGGTGCGGTGCGTTTTGCGGCATTAGTCAAAGGGCTCGTCGGCGATCGGCACCGTGTGTCAGAAGCGGCTATGAACTTGACAACAAAACAAACCGTATCGCCCTAAAGATAGAGTTGGACATATTTTTTAGTTTAATTAATATTTCAAGTTACGCGATTAGTACCTCTAGATTATGAAATGTGATGTCACGAAACTTAGGAGCCCTCCCACCCCTTGTCACACCATGTCACACTTTGTCGACCCCCTCCCCCCCCCTTTACGTGTGACGTACTTTATGGATGGCCCCTTTACAAGTGGTTAATGTGCACTGAAAAATTTGATTAAAGTATTGTTTAATATTATGTATTTTGCAAAATTTTGGTTCTTTCTTTTGCCTTTTTTAAGTTTTGAAGCTACTTTATATAAAGTGACATACATTTAACTTTTTTACATCAAATTTTCCTTAATTACTATGTTATAGTTATAGAATACTGTACTAGTTTAGGATTGGATCTTATATACCTAAATTTAGTGTTACATAGGAACCCTTAAACCTACACCTGGGTCGCAAGTCCCAGTCACTGTTGAAGCTCCTCTCACTACAACAATGGACCCGACACCCGCACCGTGAATACATTAAAAGCTGAGTTTCTTCTTGTTCATTATGCTCAAATAAGTATTTATGAAAATAGATAAAAAATATATCTTAATATTTTTTTAACAATATTTCCAGATATCTCAAACAGCTCCAAAAAATATGGTATCCTTCTTAATTTCCTAAATTCATTATAACAATAGGAAAAATTAAATAAAACAATCATTTGATTAATATTATTTATTTCCATTACATTAAACTTAATACTAAAATACAGCGAATCCCAAATTAATACTTCGGAAACCAAATACTGGACACGACACGGGACCGATACGACTTGTCGTACGATCTTATAGTGTCGTAACTCAAAATGGGATCAGCCATACATCTATGATTAACAAAAGGAAGTATTAACTGTTAGAAATACCAATGAATACTCAAAGAAGCGATACATTATTTTTTTATTCATTTATTCATAAACTTCATACAATTAAAAACTTACAGACTAACTTCTTACGGATTCGAGAGAACCCCATCAAATAGTGAAAATTTATATAAAGAAAATAAAGTGTAGGTACATAAAAAGAAAATTATTAAATGGGAAAGATTTTTTTGAAAAATTGCTATGTGTAAACTTGTTATAATACAAACGAGATATAATTTTTTTTGCATTTTTTTATTAATTTTTTTAATTTTTTTTTTACATTTTCTCGCACTACTCCCGAAGTGGGTTTACACGACGACATATAATATATAATAAAGGAAAAAAATAACCACAGAATAAGCATAACACTTACCCGTGGACCTAAAACTATCCTAAGCTAATAAAAAACCTGACCTGACGAAGCCAATACTGTTGTGATAGCATTACCAAAGAAAAAATACATCATAATAAGCAATTAGACTACCAAAATGAAATGGCTACTACTAAACTACTCTTATATACTGTCAAATCTATAGATGTTGATTAAGATGGTAGTTTATTGCATATTATAATTGAGGAACAAATAATCCGGATGCTCGATACCATCCATTTGTTGTGAATTTGGTGGTAAAATCTGGAATCCCATAAACATAAAGGTGCGAAGAAGTGTTGAACGATCGGAACGGGTCTTGGACACGCAGATGATGCAACTGGAAATATAAATACATGACATTTAATATATGGAATTGAACCTGTTACCCTTGTATTGAGTTTTAGAGACTATTAACTGAGCTATAGTGACCTCATTGAGTTATTAAATCATTCTTTATATTTAACATTAATTGAAAAGGAGGTATAGAAATATTTTTATTACTATAGTTATACATATATATTAGTCAGTGGTGGTCTAGTGATTAAAAGATCCGCCTCTCATGCATGCGCCGGGTTCGATCCTGCCAAGTACCAATGTGATTTTTCCGAGTCATATGTACTTTATAAGAGTATTTAGACATCACTGATAGACGGATAAAGTGATTATGATTAATATTTAATATATGGAATTGAACTTGGTTCCCTTGTATTAAGTTTTAGACACTATTAACTGAGCTATAGTGACTGAATCGCTATACAGATCATTCTTTATACTTAACCATCATAAAAAAGGAGGTATAATAGAAATATTTATTATTACTATGGTTATGTAAATATTTAAATATTCTTAATCATAATCCAGTATCATTTTTAAGATCTACTTCTTAAGATATGTCTAGTGGTTCATCAAAATAAGTGAACAAAGATAGTATTTTACCCATCATTAAAATATTATATATGCTAGATACAAGTGCTTCCAATAAGTTCTTATCAAACATATTCTAATCATAATATAATATTTACAAACTTGAAAGCAATTGTTGGGTTTATTGAGCAAATTATCTTATCTAGATAGTACTTTAGTTAGTAGTATTATACAGCTGCGTGCAAAAGTATTAGGCACCCCTATTGTTAGTCACTATCTCATTATATTGCGGTCAAGTGTGTGTTTTATGGATTAGCTATTGTATTAGCGGCAATTTTTAACCAAATTAAGATAAAAGAAAATATTTATGACATCCAGGTGTGCTCCTAAGCGGTGTTTCTTCGAATTTGCTTTTTTTGCGTTTCGGGTTATAGTGTGTTATCAGTGCTTGCAGTGAACATACACGTCTTCTACGCAACTATTCCTATCACAATTCTAAAGACTAACATTTAACGTGTTAATCATGCCGAAAAAATCTGAACTTAGTGCTGAACAGCGTCTAAGAATTAAGATTTTACATGAACAAGGCATGTCTCAGGTTAAAATAGCCCGAGAAGTGAAGTGCTCGCGATGTGCAGTTCAATATGCTATAAATCGCTTCAAAGAGACTGGCACCCATGAAAATAGACCAAGAACAGGCAGAAGAAAAGTTACTACTGAACGGGAAGATCGATTGTTGATTAGGCAGTCTCTACAAAACAGGAAAAAAACTGCTTTAGAGCTCGCTGCAGCATTATCTGAGGCAAAAGGCAGCTCAGTGAGTGTTTATACTGTGAGAAGAAGACTTCTTGAAACTGGATTAAAAGGATGTAAAGCAAGGAAGAAGCCGTGGCTGTCAGAACACAATAAGAAAAATCGGTTGGAGTGGGCACTCAAACATAGAGATTGGTCAGTGGAAGATTGGTCCAACATACTGTGGTCAGACGAATCTAACTTTGAGGTATTGTTATTTATTTTATGTACAATATTAAAACACATAAATGTTTTTAAAATAACGTACTGCATGAAAAATAATAACTTTGAAAATAAATGTGTTTTTTTCGTTTGGCATAGGTGTTTGGAACACCCGGTGTGACTTATGTTAGGCGAAGGGTTGGCGAAGAATACAACCCCGAATGTGTGGTTCCCACTGTTAAGCATGGTGGAGGCTCAATAATGATCTGGGGCTGCATGGCTGCCGACGGAGTGGGCGAAATGGTGTTGTGTGAGGGACGAATGAATAGTGTTAAATACACTGAAGTTCTGGAAACAGCACTAGCAACGTCGATAACGCAAATTTTCGGTGATACAAACACCGATGGCCTGAAATTTCAGCAAGACAACGCCACTTGCCACAAGTCCGCGCATACCATGAAGTGGTTTGCTGAAAATCATATTGATCTTTTGGACTGGCCACCACAATCACCAGACCTCAACCCGATTGAGCATATTTGGTCCATTTTAAAGAAAAATATCCGCAGGCACTCGATTAGCAATAAACAAGCTCTATTGGCCGCGTTACAGCAGGAATGGAAAAATATATCAAGAGCAGAATGTTTCAGGCTGGTAGAGTCAATGCCAAAAAGAGTGGCTGCGGTTATTAAGTCAAAAGGTGGACCTACAAAATATTAATTATTTTCTTAAAATAAACCATTGTAATCATAAATGCAGTTTTATTTACACTCGCTATGCTAAAACACCCTAAAACTTGTCTTACTGTAGGGTGCCTAATACTTTTGCCCGTGGCTGTATATGTATAACTAGTTTTTACCCGCGATTTCATCTGCGTTAAATTTAAAATCATAAATGTATAACCGGGCGAACTCTTTTCCTCCTTAAAGACAGTAGACAAGCAAATTTTGGAATTCATCAACTTATTTTTTTTTTTTTTTGCTTTATCAGTTGTATAAAAAGTATCCTATGTCCGTCTCCTTGTTCTAATCTATCTCTCCATCAATGTTCAATCATATCCCTACAGCTGTTCTTCAGTTATAAATAGTGTAACTAACACGACTTTGTTATATTTATATATATATACACTAGCTTTCCGCTCGCAGCTTCGCCCGCGTGGAGTTCGGTTATATCGCGTTTCCAAGAGAACCTTACAAAAGTCTGGTATAAAAACTATCCTATGTTCTTTCTCAAGGTCAACTCTATCTCATACCAAATTTCATTAAAATCAGTTCAGTGTTTTAGTTATGAAAGCGTAACAGACAGACAGACAGAGTTACTTTCGCATTTATAATATTAGTAGGGATAATATACTCACTTGCTGCATCCAAGCCTTTCCTCAGCAAAGTCCAGCAACATGACGAAGCTGTCCTTACTGCCAGCTGATAGAACCGACGGCACGCGGAGGTACATGGACTTCTTATTAACCACCTGGTGGAAAATATTACACTATGAACCATTGTGGGTAATAAAGTGGATGGTTTATTAGTGTATTAAAGTGAATGGTTATGGTTCATGAGTGTCTTAAATTTGTTATTTCGGTTCAGTGTACAGTAAATGAATTTTTATTTGTGAACTATGAAATAAGGAATGTTAAGTATTGTTTTATTCAAAGCGGGCTTAATTTAAACTTATTACCAGTATTTAGAATTACTTATATGGCTTTTATAACTTTATAAGAGCTGTATATTTAATATTTCAAAATTATATAAATGAATGTATTTTAAACCTTTAATATTGTATGTTAGTGTAAATAAAGTTAAGAAGAATGTATCATCTTTAAGTTACACTTAAATAAAACTAATATTATCTACTTTACTAATGAGAACTCATCTCCCCGTGATCAAGGTTGATGCAAATTATAGAAAAATTCTAGTACATTAGAATATATTAGTTTTATTTATAAGTATAAGGTGTTGTAACTCACTGCCTCCCAACGAGTGACAGTGTTCTCCGTCAAATAGATCTTGAATTCAATCTTCACCGGCTTCCTATCTTTAAGTTCAAGGATTCTTGCTATCACCTGGAAAAAGAAAAGTATTTAGGATAAAATACTAATACTTGGTATACTTTGGTATATATACACATACAGACCCTGGCTAAAGCTGGGAAATTGCCAGGAAGAAGAAGATACACATACATACATATATATTATAATGAAAGTATCTCTTCAGAGTGCCTTTAATATACAAAAAACTTGGTACTAATTAAGTATATACAGAACTCAACAACAAAATTTTAACTAACTTTCCATCAAGAGTTATTTGTTATACATAAATCTACCCATAATTCCAGGTTCATTGACCTCTTATCACCCCCTACCACGTACGTACCTCCTCTCTCCTCTGTACCAATAGCGCCGGATGTTCTGCGAGACTGTCTGAGCTGCTGCTCAGAGAACTCGCGCTTGACCATAGCAGGGCGCTCAACAGGTCACCTATAATATTAATAAAACTTATATTAACAATTGTACAACAAATATATTGAAGTCACATTATTAACTAGTCGTGCCATCTAGTGTAAAAAATGTTCATTGTGTATATTATGACATTCTGTTTAGTAAAGTCTGATATTGGGAAACAAATGTGTTGTTAAATTTTTACAAACACAAATGACAATTTAGATGGGTATGAGCATTGCATGATATTAAAACTATATGAAGGTGAGTTTTAATTATCCATAAGAACTAGTTTAGTTGAAATAATAACGATGGTGACTATAACAAGATATTCTCTGTAGTAAAACCTAATATTATGTAATCATAATATTAACTCAACACTAATGAGATAGGTACATATTGTCAATCGTACATGTCAGTAACTATAGCGATAGGCGAGTAACCATGCTATTTATGAGTAAATTCCGTGTATATGAGTTATAATAGTATGTTAGTTAGTTAGTTAGAGTGTGTGTGTTTATGGGGGGTGTCTGTTTGTATCTGTCTGTGTGTCTGTGTTCGCGTGTGTCTGTCTGTCTGTGTGTGGGGGGTGTCCGTGTGTGTGTGTTTGTGTATGTGTGTCCGTGTGTGTGTGTCTGTGTGTATACTAACGGTCGTTGTCGTCGTGTGCGGGGGTGGCGGGGGCGGCGGGGCTCGCGGCCCCGCCTGTCACCCCTCCGGGAGGTGCGGAGCCGAGCGCAGAGACATCAGGACCACCTACAAATATAACAATCACATATATTACTTATAATACATTATATATGGCTGCTTTAGTATGGTGAATATTTTTTAGTAAAAATAATTTAGTTTAAAAGCTAAATGAATGATTTTCGTTCTTCCATCGACATATTTCAATAGCTTTGCTGTGATCATGAACATGTTTACGATGATGCGTAATTCAGGACAATTGGCTTCAACATCACATCGAATGTTCTTACAGTAGAAAGTTAAGTAATACTCAATGTTTCGAAGGTATTATATGGTATTATCATGATGTATGTGTGTCTACTCACCACAGAGGCCCGGCGCCCAGGCAGAGCGAGAAGCACTCGGCGTCGGAAGCCGACAAAGCGGACCGTTTACTGCCGGCCGCGCTCAAGGACGCGCCGTCACCACTGAAACGAATTAACAATATGAAAACTAAGGGTATATGCAGTGCCGTAACTAGGGCGGTGCCACCAGTGCCCAGGCACAGGGCGCAGATCCTGGAGGCGCGCAGAAATGACCAGACTAGTATCCAGTTTTATCTCATGCATGGTAGCTATACTTATATACTTTGTTACTTTGGGAAACAATAAATAGATAGATTTATTTGTATGCACATTTGTCCATTTTATTTTTAGAGCCTGGTTAGAGCATTTTTCAGAGCGCAGTTTTGAAAGCTCGCACCGGGTGCATAAAAGGCTAGTTACAGCATTGGGTATATGGTAGAGGGTGGCTGTGGAATTAATGTATGGAATACATTCCTAGACCTGAATTAACGACTGAAGGTTAGTATAACATATATGTAAAATGGTAGACCCTAGATGTCAAGTTACTACAGCTCGAACATGGTCTGGCTTAAAGGGAAAGTACCACCCTGTAATAGAAGATCGGCGTGAAGTAGTCTTTAATGGATTTAGTCTGATGAGTGAGAGAGACGGTTGTTTTTCCCTATTCCTCTCCCTCTCCCACAATTACTGTTGGCAACTCATCTATACATCTCTACGTTGCGTATGTCTATGGGCGACGGTAATTACCATTCATCAAGTAGACCGTCTGCTCGTTTGCCATCTTTCAATAATAATAAAAAGACTAATATTTTCAGGTCTGAAAGGGTTTTGAGGATATTACGTCTTACTTTAAAGAACTAAACGCGATATATATCCAAAGTTATGATATAGAATGAAAAATTTTAGTTGTTAAAGGTTCAACCGTGGTTTTGGTAATAAATTTCATATAAAGTTGTCATTTAAGGTCGTCCTAATGTAGATTTACGCAGTTCAAACCGATTTGTCTTTGACATTTTCAGTTCACGGCCATATAACGCTCAGATATATAGTGTATACAAAAATATTAAACTGAAATACAGAAAACAGTATAATTACTGCTACATCCGATTTTGGCCAACCACCAATTGTGAAACTACCGTCTCTTGATCAGCAACTTTCTTAGTTGTTGCAATATTAAGAAAGTAATGTATGCTTTTTGATAAAATTAAAATATTTCATTAAATAGACGTTTCAATAATAATACCAGTTATTTATAAAATCAATCATTCTGTCCAAGATTCTTTATTAGTTTATTTTTAATACATACTGAGCAATTTTTAGTTCAAGGGAACAGAAAATTAATGAAAACCAAAAAAAGACTGACGGCAGGACAAAATACAGCGACGTTTATACTACTTTCAATTTATTTTGAAAAAAATAAGTCACCGTATGAAAAAATTAAAAAAACAATAATAAATTTACTTTAAAAACTATATGTATAATACATATGGTTAGATAGGGGTCCCTTTAACCTACACCTGGATCACAAGTCCCAGTCACTGTTGAAGCTCCTCTCACTACAACGATGGACCCGACACACGCACCGTGAATACATGGAATGATGAGAGGTTTCGTCTCTATATATGTCTAAATTAATTCATAAAAGTTACTCACTTGATTAGCTTGATAACCATTTTCTTTTATATAAATTATTTAAACAAAAATATCACAAATTCTTGGAATGTAGTAGAAATGTAAAATAATCTATACAATTATAATTTATTTATTTCTCTAGAAGTTATTTCTATGCTGTATATAAACAGCATATTATAATTCTGTTTGATTTAATATTGTTTGATCAATGAAAACGTCTTGTTTATTACAAATCCAAACAAACACTGGGAGATGGTGATCTCCTGCAAATAGATGTAAGACGTAAAAAAAACAATATTTATTTATAGATATCATATCGAGCCAAATTCGATGGAAACTATTAGCTCTAAAAAATCTCTTAAATGAAACTAAAATATTTAAAATGGAAAACAACTAAATTCTCCTCTTCTTCTACCTGGCTATTTCCCAGCTATAGGCAGGGTCTGCCTTACATGTTGTGAATATTTTTTTGGCAAATTATTTTTACGACCGGCCGCCTGCCTGACATCAACCCTCTTTTGGGAATCATCATTAATCAGTGATGTCTAAATACTCTTAGAAAGTACATATGACTCGGAAAAATCACATTGGTACTTGACAGGATCGAACCCGTGCCCTCATGCTTGAGAGGCGGGCCTTCTTAACCACTAGGCAACCACCGACTTCTAGGAAAATAACTATATTAACTTCATGTAAATAAATAATAATGTATGTCTTAAGAATATAAGGTAGTTATTTCTACTAAAAAAAAAATAAACAGATTTGGATGAAATTTAATTTTTTTTAATAGTAATTAATTAAAAACAAGTAATAATATCGCTAACGATTTTTATATCTAAACAAATTACGATAAAATTATTTAAAAAATCCTACACAATTTTAAGTTAAAATGCTTGCTTTAAAAAAGATAACACATGTTCGCGAACTTATAAAAAGATAAAAGATAGATAAAATTTAAGTTTAAATTTAAAAGATAAATTTAAATTTTAAGTTTAAATAAGTAAATCTTTTAAATACTCGTGTCTGATACTAGTGTTTATTAGTACGGTGCCAAGAAATGTTCTATTACTTACTCCAACGGTTTTAGAGATCGGTGTGAAAATTGTTCCCACATATAGTTATTACCCTCGGTTTCGTCCGATTTATTGATATATACATCATTAATTAAATATATAATAATGATTTTTTTATTTTTCTATGATTATTCAAAGAATTCCTAATTAAAGAGATGATTTTTTTAATATGCTATATTACAGCCACGGGCAAAAGTATTAGGCACCCTACAGTAAGACAAGTTTTAGTGTGTTTTAGCATAGCGAGTGTAAATAAAACTGCATTTATGATTACAATGGTTTATTTTAAGAAAATAATTAATATTTTGTAGGTCCACCTTTTGACTTATTAACCGCAGCCACTCTTTTTGACATTGACTCTACCAGCCTGAAACATTCTTCTCTTGATATATTTTTCCATTCCTGCTGTAACGCGGCCAATAGAGCTTGTTTATTGCTAATCGAGTGCCTGCGGATATTTTTCTTTAAAATGGACCAAATATGCTCAATCGGGTTGAGGTCTGGTGATTGTGGTGGCCAGTCCAAGAGATCAATATGATTTTCAGCAAACCACTTCATGGTATGCGCGGACTTGTGGCAAGTGGCGTTGTCTTGCTGAAATTTCAGGCCATCGGTGTTTGTATCACCGAAAATTTGCGTTATCGACGTTGCTAGTGCTGTTTCCAGAACTTCAGTGTATTTAACACTATTCATTCGTCCCTCACACAACACCATTTCGCCCACTCCGTCGGCAGCCATGCAGCCCCAGATCATTATTGAGCCTCCACCATGCTTAACAGTGGGAACCACACATTCTGGGTTGTATTCTTCGCTAACCCTTCGCCTAACATAAGTCACACCGGGTGTTCCAAACACCTATGCCAAACGAAAAAAACACATTTATTTTCAAAGTTATTATTTTTCTTGCAGTACGTTATTTTAAAAACATTTATGTGTTTTATGTAATATTGTACATAAAATAAATAACAATACCTCAAAGTTAGATTCGTCTGACCACAGTATGTTGGACCAATCTTCCACTGACCAATCTCTATGTTTGAGTGCCCACTCCAACCGATTTTTCTTATTGTGTTCTGACAGCCACGGCTTCTTCCTTGCTTTACATCCTTTTAATCCAGCTTTAAGAAGTCTTCTTCTCACAGTATAAACACTCTCTGAGCTGCCTTTTGCCTCAGATAATGCTGCAGCGAGCTCTAAAGCAGTTTTTTTCCTGTTTTGTAGAGACTGCCTAATCAACAATCGATCTTCCCGTTCAGTAGTAACTTTTCTTCTGCCTGTTCTTGGTCTATTTTCATGGGTGCCAGTCTCTTTGAAGCGATTTATAGCATATTGAACTGCACATCGCGAGCACTTCACTTCTCGGGCTATTTTAACCTGAGACATGCCTTGTTCATGTAAAATATTAATTCTTAGACGCTGTTCAGCACTAAGTTCAGATTTTTTCGGCATGATTAACACGTTAAATGTTAGTCTTTAGAATTGTGATAGGAATAGTTGCGTAGAAGACGTGTATGTTCACTGCAAGCACTGATAACACACTATAACCCGAAACGCAAAAAAAGCAAATTCGAAGAAACACCGCTTAGGAAGCACACCTGGATGTCATAAATATTTTCTTTTATCTTAATTTGGTTAAAAATTGCCGCTAATACAATAGCTAAACCATAAAACACAGACTTGACCGCAATATAATGAGATAGTGACTAACAATAGGGGTGCCTAATACTTTTGCACGCAGCTGTATAATAACATAAGATTTTTTTATTCAATGTTACTTTTTATGCGGAACCAAAAAAATATACAAAAAAATCTGTTTTATAATATTGAAAATTCTCATTGACATGATCTAAATTCTTTTTATACTTAATCAGGCTAAATGAAATACAATTTTTAAATATTAAAAATTAAAATATAAAAATAGTTTTACGTAAACACAATAACTACTGTTCTTTAAAGTTGGTTAACAGAAAAATATATAATCTAGGCTTATTTCAAACAAACAGATACATTCATTTCACTACCAATTTTAATACTTTATTCCTCTAAATGCCATGGCATTGTGGCCATAATGTCATTCAAATAGAATGCCAGGCGTTCAACAATTATTTTAATAATTGTAATGCCAAAATTACGTCAATTGACTCGTTGCCATATCCGAATATTATAAGACCGCATTTGAATGAGAGAGGAAAAGTTTTGTTAGGTACATTTTGTATTAATCATTTCTGTTTCCGGCTTGTATTTTTCTAAATTTTCATGTTTTTATCATTTTTATCATAGTCATAAATCTATACTAATATTATAAAGCTGAAGAGTTTGTTTGTTTGTTTGTTTGTTTGTTTGTTTGAAAGCGCTAATCTCCGAAACTACTGGTTCGAATTGAATAATTCTTTTTGTGTTTTATAGTCCAGTTATCAAGGAAGGCTGTGGGCTATATAACATCACGCTACGACCAATAGGAGCAAAGATATAGTGGGAAATACGTAAAAAACGGGAGAAATTATTTCATCTTTGAAGCCTTCCGTTGCGTGCGCCGTGAAAACGGTTCAAGATACACAAAAAATATGTATTAAAGAATAATAGCTCTTTTAATGATCTAAAAGACAGTTCGCGACAGTATATGTCTATCTGTTAAAACTAACTCAAAAAAATCGTTTTTATGGTACCTAATTTGGTCGAAATAATTTTATAAAATCTTTATTCAAATAAACAAATAAATATGTTGTTGGTTAAGAGTACTTCATTGTGAATAAAAAAAAGACATAGGTTTTACCCTGAAAACTCTACGGGAACTCGACCATTCCGAAAACCCCGCAAGAAAGGGAACTATGTGGGAAGAACCAAAAATCTGCCGGAAGTCACTACTCTACGCGGACGGAGTCGCGGCAAAAGCTAGTTTGAAATATGCTGAATTCATGTTGTATACGCATCTACTTAGGGGTTGTCCATTAATCACGTGATCTTTTTTTAGCATTTTTTAACCCCCCCGCCCCCATTGGTGATACATCGTGAGGTTTAAGACCACCCCCCCACCCCCTTCTCAACATCACGTGTATTTTTAGTACCTACAACGAATCTTAAAATTTTCTGAATATTATCTTAATTTAAATACAGGTATAAACTATAACCTTATTTTATTCTGAAATTAAGGACCATAATAAAAATGTCTACACCAGGTTGCAAGTTTTTTTTTAATTGCCATAACAATAATAATTTCGCGTTAGACGAAAAAATAAATACACGTGATATCTTACTACACCCCCCCTCCCCCTTGTGTTATTTTCGTGATTTTTATCAAACCCCTCCCCCCCTTTCAAGCCTCACGTGATTAATGGACAGCCCCTTATGATAGTATTAAAGTCATGAAGGTGTAAGTCAAGAAATTATTAATTTGTAATATAAATATTCATCGTATGAATTTCCTTATATCTTCTTCTACCTGGCAATTAGCCAGCTTCAGCCAGCGTCTGCCTTACATGTTGTGAATAGTTATGGCTAATTGTTTTTACGACCGGCCGCCTGCCTGACATCAACCTTCTTTGGGAATGCATTAATCAGTGATGTCTAAATACTCTTAAAGTACATATGACTTTGAATTTGAAATGAATCACATTGGTACTTGCCAGGATCGAACCCGCGCCCTCATGCATGAGAGGCGGACCTGTCAACCACTAGGTTACCACTTTACATATAAGTATAAATATATTGGTACAAATATAACGTTCCAATTTCTCTAAAATCTCATGCTGGCAGTTATTTTAATATTATCAATACATGAATACAAAACAGTGTACCGCGCAGTTGGCGAGGCGCGATGTTTACGATCTATTTATATATAGGTTGCTATGTTTATATACATATATATTGTTTGAGATTATTTTGGGAGCAAACAAACAAGTACTGCTGCAAAAACCTTGTTCACAAGAGCGTCGATAGATGGCGTTGTTGATAACATCATCAGCCCATCAGAGCCCACTGCTGAGCCTCTTCTCACATGGAGAAGGTTTGAGCATTAATCACTACGTTAGCTCAAGACGGGTTGGTGATTTCAAACTTATAATTTTTGATATTACAAGTCCAGGTTTCCTCACGATGTTTTCCTTCATCAGTGGTGTCTAAGTACCCTTAGAAAGTACATATGACTTGGGAAAAATCACATTGGTACTTGACAGGTTTCGTACCCGCGCCCTCATTTATGAGAGGCGGGCCTTTAACCACTAGGCCACCGTGACCTTATAACAATATATTAAGAACGAATTATAGGCATATGAAACTGTAATATTACAAAAAAGTATATAACTTCGAAGTCAAGACACAATTTAAAACATTATTTGTTATTAAACAGTACTGTAAAAACAATTAGCCAAAACTATCACAACATGTAAGGCAGACCCTGGCTATAGCTGGGAAATTGCCAGGTAGAAGAAGACAAGTACATACGAAAATACACACACACATATGTATACTAAGTATATACTTCTATAGAAAAGCAAAAATGTATATAGAGTAAGTCATAGTTTGAGTGGAAAATTTTTCCTTTACAACTACATAATCTGCTTCTCAAACAAAGCATTATGTTATTATGATATGATACGATTTATGATATGTTTAATGATATAGCATTGTTTTCACTTTAATTAAAGTATTACTTGTTTTAGTTCTCAAGGTTGCTATTAAAACTTGTGTTCGCTAAAAATTATACAAATTGGACATCATAATACATATAAGAACTTCATCTAAAATGTTTTAGTAATTAGGGCATTATTATGTAACAAATATGCCAAACGGTTCAATCTTTACTATATTTATACTTTATGTCCATTAAGAACAAAAATACTTTCAGTAAAACCTATAATTAATTATTATTACAGAAATAGCCACGGTATCTAAGTTGTATAATTAGTTCTTCTAGAATTTTCCAACATTCATGATCTTTATACTAACTATCGACTATGACTTTGCTTGCATATTAAATTTGGGATATTTGAACTCATCATTATGACATTTTATTTAATTATGAAGGAAATTCTTCATTACATTCTGACTTGGTGTAAATGGAACTGCTTCAGAATGAGGATCTATCAATTAGAATGCTATTTAATAGAATAGATAAAACAAACATAACTAGGTATACTCATTCATACTCAAACACATTTATTCCATCACACATACTTGTTATATGCATATGTATTCATTGTATGTTATATATTATTCCTTAATAAAGTCTATTAATAAAATGTATTGTCCTAGTTCAGTAACAATTAATCTTTAGGAAATCTTGTATGGCCTCCACGGCACAGGTTTACTTAGTGTGGAGAGCAACAGTTAATTGTTATAGTTACTGTTAACGTTTTTTGAATAATAAAGATATTATTATTATTTATGGAAATCTGCTTTTAATTGAGGAAGTAATAGTGTAACAAATATTCCGTGGAATAATGATTGTCTTTATCGAAGTTGCTTTAAAGGTCTTATTAACTCACAGGTAAAATCCCATCAAAATCTGTCCAGCCCTTCAAGCAATTATTAGCCAGTCGAAAATTTTATATAATACTTATATCGGTTTCTAAGCTTTCATATGTATTTAGTGGTAAGCTATGAATTTGAATTTGTAAAGACGCTACAAATTTATTACTAAAATCAAGGGCATATTAATTTTTAACAAACAGAAGCATAATTTTCAATGACAGGAAATAATGAAGAACATTATAATAAATTTAGGATATTTAAGAAAATAACTTTAAATGAAAACACTGAAGATCTCATTAAATTATCCTCAACTCCGACAAAGATCTATATAAAGAGATAACTTATCATTACTTTTATATTTTTCACATATATATAAATAAATCATTGTTTCGGAATGACTTATATAACAATATAATCACACATTCTATATAGATAAGAATTCAGAAACAAAAGACAATTTATCTCCAAAAAAATTTTTTGTCAGCCATGACCTTCAAACTACCCTCAAAAAAATTCCACAAGAACCAATAATTATATGCACGAGTTTTTAATTGACCAAACCAAGGTCAGAATGTTTAAGTCACATGTCTCCTTGCATTGAATCAATGATTGAGAATTAATGTTGACCGATTGCTAACAAAAATGGTTATGTTTTGCTATGTAGGTTTGTTCCCATAACATTGTAAACTAATACATTTTATACATTATGCTGTTGATAAATGGATTTAGAGAAACTTATCATCATTCAATGTATTCACGGTGCGTATGTCGGGTCCATCGTTGTAGTGAGAGGAGCTTCAACAGTGACTGGGACTTGTGACCCAGGTGTAGGTTTAAGGGACCCTATCTAACGCGTTAAACGCTCACCTCCACCGTCCAAGCTCCTCTCTCTACCAAATTTGAAACGAACCTACTAGGACTATATTAAAAATATGTTCCAAGAATGAATTGATGTTAGTTTTGAACAGGCCCAAGTCTTTTAGTAGGTTATAGGGACATTTAAAAAGATAGTACTTTCACCTTTATTTCAGTATCAAGTTCTGAACTTGTCTTGATCAGAAAGGTGAAAACAATGTATTAAAAAATACAGATAAAAAAGTAAACTTACAAGAACACAGACAATAAAAAAAAATCATTTTCAGAATGATAAAAGGTCTTAGTTTGTCATGATTACCTATTATAAGTAAATTAAGATATAAATTATATTGTTACATGCCTAAAAAGTAGTTTTTAGACAAAAACAAGCATATTTTAAGGCTATATGCCTCTGTAACCCTCATCACAATAATGGGTTTAACAGTTAAGCTTTGTATAAAACAAACACACAACATAAGATATATACAAACAAAGATTAGATAATGCAGAATTTCATTGTTACTTTGTGATGAATTCTAATAGATTAAATTTAATAATTAAAAAATATATTTATCGAGCAATAATTATCTGTAATTCTTTTACCATGTCAACGTAAAAGAAAGTAAAAATGAGTAAAATTGTTGTGAAATAATTTTAGAGTATTTTAAGAATAATGGTTATCAAAATTAATGTAACCTAATTACAAGAATTATTGATACATTATTTAATTTTAACGTAAAATGGAGTAAGAAAATTTTTGTCACCCGATAGATTCGATTGCCTGAAATGTAGATCTAAGAAAACTTATTTTCGTATAAAAATTCAGATTAGTCATTACTTATATATAAAATGGCGATCGAAATTATGTTTTACGGTAGGAAAAAGTAATCGCATATTGCTAGTTCGATATTCACAACAATTACATTTTACTATGACGTGTGACCTGGTGACGTAGGCAACTTCAAGGACAGTTTTAAATTGGATATAATGGAAATAAATACATTAGCAATATGTTTTTGGCAAGGAAAGTACGTAATACTCACTAGTAGTTCTTGGTGGCGACCGGAGACTCAGGTTCTATCACGAAGCCCTTGACGTCGTAGTAATTACTACTGCTAAAATTTAACTGTTGTATCAACTTCGTCATCGTGGCAAATCGTATTTAAGCCTTTACAAAACGTCGGAACAAAAACACGGTTGGACCGTTGAGAGGGCAGAAAATAAATTGCGCAGCAAACTAGCCTGTTTCACAATAGCTAAATGATTTCTGATTAGTCAATTTCAATAGAAATGTCACTATAATACAGAATATGAAAATGTAGTCTATGTGCATACAAACGTCATATGAATGACAGTCTTTTTAACTTAATCGTATTATATTTTCTGTAATGGCCACCGGAAACGTGACATTCTGTTGCGTTTCGTTCTAAGGTATTTCTTTTAAAATTTATACGAGACATATTTTTAACTACAAGAAATGAATATAACATGTAATTTTTATTTCAAATATTTAATATCATAGTGATATAACTAAGTTATATGCATTTGTAAACTTATCATTATTTATGAATATTTGGTACAACAATAAAATTGAAAGTGAATTGAAAGTAAAATGGCAAACTGTCATTTTATAGTCAAAACAAAACGCTGTGTTACGTCACACGCTACGTCAAATTCAATCAATAGTGTTGCGTAGCTACCAACGCCGCACTCCGGTATCGATCGATACAGCCATAGTCGATTAAAAAATTAAACTTACCGATTTCTAAATATTAAGGAGGGCATACTTGTTTCCGCTTCAATATTTTTAAATCTCTGTTCTTGTATCATGTAACTTGATGCCGGTAGGGCATGTAACGTCATAACTTCACTTTAATATGCACCGCACCCAAACAAACACTGAATTAAGGGTTTATTTTTTGTCTTTCCACTGAAACTGACATTAACTCCTTTGCCACTGTATTTGTTTCTTTCACAGTTATGGACAACGAACAACGACATTCAGGCTTGAAAGTATGTGCTCGACTAATACCGCAGTTGAACGCTATATAGTACATATAAATATAAGAAACCTCACCCCACTTTGAGGGTGCACTCGGGACACCACACAGGAGGATTTTTATAATAACAATATTATAGACGGAGTAATATAATATCATTGATTAATAAATAAGCATAAATAAGTATATTCATCTATTAAGTACATAATATACATCAAATTGAAAAAATATCTGTAACTGACATGTAAATATACGCTCAAGCTTATTAATTAAGCCGAAATCCTTAATGATCCTTAATAATAAACCTTATTAATGACACAGGGTACCTACAGTAATTTATTCATTTTTATATATAAAAGGAACTCGTGTTAGTTACACTATTTATAACCCAAGAACGGCTCTACGGGTTTGATGAAAACCGGTGAAGAGATAGATTAGAATACCTTTCTTCTAATTGAAAAAGAAAAAAATATCCAATAAAATCCAAAATCTGTTTAATTACTGCCTCTAAAGCGAAAACGTTCGCCTGGTCAGGTATTCATTTGTAATTTTGAAACTAACTTAAAGTCGCGGGCCAAAACTAGCATTATGTATAATAATACTTTTTCACCCAGTGTGTTCACCCAGGGTCCAGGCATGCGCGGGATAATCGTGACGTCACACTATGTTTACACCGCCCCAGTCGATTGTTTTGTACATAAGAATAATATTGTTATACCAATATAAGATCACTAACAATTCCCCAATCATTTATCAGTTAAACCAATTAATAATTAATAATAATTGGACATATGAAGGCGTGGTTAGAATCGCTGGGATTTTTAGAAAGAAAATATCCAATTTAAGTAACAAAGAAGTTTATATGTATAATTTATAGAATACTCTTTTGGGTAGTTTGATATATTTAGGTTGTTTTAAAAGATGTATTTAATGATAATGGAATCGAAACGTTAATTTTATTGTTCTTTGAGACATTTTCCCTCCTGTTTGGTCGATCATCAAGAGCAAATAACTATCGTAGAATTTGATTTACATTTTGGGTCTTCTATAAAATCTCCTGATTTCCGTTGTGAAAACTATATTGTATACATATATGCAGTAATAACTTGTTATTAAAACACTACCATATTCTAAACTAATTTTATTAGCTTTGTTGCTTGAAAATTACTGTTTTATTGTAATTTATACCTCATTTCATTACCACCTAAATTTTATCTTCTAAGACTTGAAATATATGCGCTGATTATAGAATTTAAAATTAACAAATTTTTTAATTATATCAATATTTGAAACGCCAAAATGTGTTTGTTTTTATTATCAACTAGCTTTCCGCCCGCAGCATCGCCCGCGTGGAGTTCGGTTATATCGCATTTCCAAGAGAACCTTTCAAAAGTCTGGGATAAAAACTATCCTATGTTCTTTCTCAAAGTCAACTCTATGTCTGTACCAAATTTAATAAAAATCAGTTCAATGGTTTAGGCGTGAAAGCGTAACAGACTGACAGACAGACAGAGTTACTTTCGCATTTATAATATTAGTAGGGATAATAGTATAAAAATGAATCATGAAATTTTTATAATACACTTTTAGATATAAATATATATAATTTTAACAAACAAAACAGATGAAACATCTTTTATAACTTAAAAGGTTCTTCTTTTGCTTTAATTATACAGATTACAAACAAAATATTAATTAATGAACAAAAGCTATTTGTAAAAGAATTTAAATGTTCAATTTTAAAACCCGTTTCCGAACATTCACCTTTGCTGGTAGGAAATCAATACATGGATAGCATTGTTCTGCATCATGCAACATTAATATTATTTATAATCTATATTTAACGGTAAAATTAATAAAATCTATATATGAGTGACATCACTATTATAGTAGGTTTTCCTGAAATTATTGATTTTTTGCAAAACAATCGCTACTGAAATATTGGAGACTCTCTCTTTCTATTTAAAATTTTTCTCATACTGAGATTCTGGTCTTAAATTAGACGTAAAGTCAATAAGTCTTGAAAAACCTCGCATCAGCTAACCGTGTAGAATGTATAGCATCTTTTATTCAAGTTTTTTGATTATTTATATATACATATATATATTTAGTTTTTGACACTGCTGCTATAACTATATTTCTAATGTAATTGTAAGGTATCTTATGTACTAGCAACATATTAAAAAATAAATAGTCAACATCGTTGTATGTATAAAATATATAACGAGTGACGCCGCTGACTCCATGGAACGAACACCAAGCCGTGTGAACCAGAAGATTCCTGATACACACAAGCTATGGAATGGTATTGATATCCTAACATCGGGACAATCATGTAGTCTTAGGTGTAGGTTATAAGGTTTAATAATTAGTTCTTATTCTAATTTGTATAACAGTAAGTTTCGTAGTTTTCTTTCAACCTCCGGTTGCTGCGAAACGAATCCTACATAATTAGTATTCAAAGTTTGTTTCTGGGTACCACAAGTGGAATAGTTTCAACATTTTTGTCTCAATCTTAATATTATTTTAATAAAAAAAACACTAACCGCTGTCTACTTTAATTCTAAAACTAACGTAGGCGAAAAGACGCCCAAAAGCTAGTATTTTTATAAATTCACATCTAATACAATATTTAAGAGGCTGTTAGCTCAGAAGCACACCTGAAAATATCGTGTTATAAATTTACGAAACAAAAATATTTCTCATAATACATATTACTATTAAATTTTTTTTAAATTCATATTAATATCGAATAAAACTTTTGATTCCATTCGATTAATGACCATCGACTCGATTTATCGATAATTGGACATCACTATGATATGATAAGATGACTCGATCAATTGTTAGTAATTTAGTTAAAAATGTGATAATTTACATGCATTGAAGATAATATTATCAAGAAATTATGATATTAACAAAAACCATCTATAAAAACAAATATATTTAAAACCCGAAAGAAATATCGAATTTAGTTGTAAAATGTGACGCCATATTTTTTTTTCAGTAATAATAATTCATTGGTCCCAAAGAACAAAATACTAATTACAAATAGTTTCCGACTGCTATATGCATTTGTATCATTAATGGAAATCGATTATCTGTGCTCTGTGCTTGTTGAAAAACTCTATTACAAGGCATTCCGCGTGTTATTATATAGTTTAAAATATATTGTATTATACAATTCAGTGTTCTTATAATCTTCTTCTTCTAATTTCTATATATATAAAAATGGATTGCTGTTCCTTAGTCTCGCTGAAACTCGAGAACGGCTGAACCGATTTGGCTAATTTTAGTCTTGAAATACTCCTGGAAGTCCAGAGAAGGTTTAAAAGGTGAGAAAAATTGGAATAATTGCCGGGAAAACCCTAAAGACAGCCCTTTTCTATTTCCCATACAAACGTTTTTTTTTTTGACATTAGATTTGACAACTAACTAATATGTCAATCATTCTGTTTGATTGAAACAGGCAAAACCTGATTATTTATGGCCTCTAAGACGGAATAGAGTTCGCCTGGTCAGCTATACCTACATATATTACTCTTGACCAAACTAACGCGGACTAAGTCGCGGGGAAAAACTAGTAAACATATATAAATATGAAAAAAACGGAACAAAAGAAATTACAAAATATCAAAAAAGAAACTTTTCTTTCCTAATTGTTTAATTTTTCATTCGTTCTTAATATACTATACATATATTATCAACTTGCTAACAAATTTTGTGAACGGCAAAGAAAGTATAATCAAAATGAATAGTTACGAACATTCATTTTTGTAGGTAGAGCCTAGCTGTGGTCAAGTTACTACAGCTCGAACATGTGCTGGCTCAAAGAAGTATCACCCTCTCACAGAAGATCGGCGTGAAGTAGTTTTTAATGGATGCATTTCGTACGATGAATGAAAAAGATGGCTTCCCTTTTCCTATTCCCACCTTTTCCTATCATTTCCCTATTCCCACCTCTCCCTATTCCCAAAAAAACAAAAGTTGGCAACGCACCCGGAACATCTGTCCGGGCGACAAAATAAAAAATAAAAATCAAAGTGACAACTTTTTTCTATCATTCACACTAGAATTGTAAAATATTCTGCCAATGTCAACGTTATTGAAGTTAGTTAAATAAATATGTAAATAATTTACACTTTATTATGTACTTCATTATTACTATTCATGACAATTAGATAAATCGTAATAAATTATTTTGCTTACTGTTGAATAATGTCGTATGCTATAATTTCAGTTGTATACTAAGATGACGCCGTAATAAAAAAGTATCATTAATTTATAAGATGAATTTACCCTTTTAATGATTGAAAATTCGTTTATTTAAATTTGAAGTCTGTGGTGGCCTAGTTGTTAAAAGGTCATCCTCTCATGCATGAGGGCGCGGTTTCGATCTTGGCAAGTACCAATGTGATTTTTCCGAGTCATATGTACTTTAAGAGTATTTAGACATCACTGATTAATGCATTCCCAAAAAGGTTTGATGTCAGGCAGGCGGCCGCTTGTAAAAACAATTAACCAAAACTATTCACAACATGTAATTCAGACCTTGGCTAAATCTGGGAAATTGTCAGATAGAAGAAGGTAAAGGATTATCTTCCAAATTATATCTAATATTCATTTCCAAAGAGGGTTGATGTCAGGCAGGCGGCCGGTCGTAAAAACAATAAGCCAAAACTATTCACAACATATAAGGCAGACCCTGACTAAAGCTGGGAAATGACCAGGTAGAAGAAGTTTATTTCAATATGAGATATAATATTCAAAAATGCTCATAATGGAGTTGGAATAAATGCCATTAACAATTAGAAAAGCGTCAAATACAACTTTTTTTCTTAATTTCGTTATGTTATAACTATTAATTTGAACTACATATTTGCTATTTTATCAACATTAGTTCATTTTATTCCTTGAAAAAATAATTTCTAAGTCACAAAAACCATATAACGATTGATATCAAAGATATTATCAGATTGAAAATATTTTCCTTTATGAAACTTATAATACGTCAAATTATAAGAAATTTATTTATCAAATTAGCCTTGTTCTAAGATAATATTTGAAAAAGATTTAAAATATATCTATACTCATATTATAAAGCTGAAGAGTTTGTTTGTTTGTTTGTTTGTTTGAAAGCGCTAATCTCCGAATCTACTGGTTCGCATTGAATAATTCTTTTTGTGTTGGAAAGTCCAGTTATCGAGGAAGGCTTTAGGCTATATACCATCACGCTACGACTAATAGGAGCAAAGATATAGTGGTAAACGTGTAAAAAACGGGAAAAATTATTTCATCTTTGAAGCCTTCCGTTGCGTGCGCCGTGAAAACGGTTCAAGATACACAAAAAATATGTATCAAAGAATAATAGCTCTTTTAATGATCTAACAAACACTCCGCGACAGTATATGTCTATCTTTTAAGATTAACTCACAAAAACCGTTTTTATGGTACCTAATTTGGTCGAAATAATTTGTTTAAGTTGTATCAACATAATAATATTAATCTTTATTAAATAAACAAATAAATATGTTGTTGGTTAAGAGTACTTCATTGTGAATAAAAAAAAACATAGGTTTTATCCTGAAAATTCTACGGGAACTCGACTATTCCGAAAACCCCACAAGAACGGGAACTATGTGGAAAGAACCAAAAATCTGCCGTAAGTCACTATTCCACGCGGACGGAGTCGCGGCAAAAGCTAGTGTAATAATAAAGATTAATCTCTTTATGTTTTTTAACTTCTGTTGCTAAAAAAGTTATTAAAATTAAACAATAAACCAAAGAACTAATTGTGACAGTTTTAACTTTAAGTTTATGTCAAACCAATATCAATAATTTGATTCAAAATTTAATTTAATTAGATTTTTTACACACTTCCAAACTTTATGTCATTAGCCTATCAGAGTCCACTGCTGAACAAAGGCCTCTCCTCACATGGAGAAGGTTTGAGCATTAATCACCACACTTGCTCAAAACGGATTGGTGATTTCAAACTTATAATTGTAAAATTATAAGTCCAGGTTTTCTCACTATGTTTTCCTTCACCGTATGTCAGTGATGTCTAAATAACCTTAGAAAGTAGATATGACTCTTTAAAATCACATTGGCACTTGCCAGGGCCAGGATCGAACCCGCGCCCTCGTGCACGAGAGGCGGACCTCCTAACAACTAGGCCACCACTGACTTCCAAACTTTATACGTAATAACAATTTGTAAAAACCTTTATGGCTTCATCCATAATCTACAAATATTAGTGAAAGAAAATATAATTCTTTCCCAATATTATTGCCATATAATAATTACGAAATTAATCATACAAATGGAAAAAACTAACATACTTTGACGTTGCTCTATTTCTAAACAGATAACAATTATGACATATATACCTATATATATTGTTGTTTTATTTTCTATTCTAGTTATTAATTAACTAACTGTTTATCAAAATGAAGGCAGTCCTAGTGATCTTCTTATTTGGAGCAGCTATTCAGGTAAAATATTTTTTTTATTAATTATATTATTATTATGTTCTCTGTAGTTTGTGTCTTTAAGTGTCAAAGTCATAAAGAATTAATTACTTTTTTGAAGTGAAATTTCTTATGCGACTTCCAAGGTTGCGTTAAACGTTTTACGCTGAGGGAGAGAGAAAGATACATAAATATAGAAAGGAGAAGAGAGAGAGAGTCGGTATTGTTGCTACGCATCGAGTAAACAGTGTGAGAGAGACACATGAAATACGTACTTGTCGCTCTAAACTAATTTATTTTATAATACTCATTATTATTTTAGTTTAATTTCACACACATATAATTTACTTTCATTTAAATATTAGGAGATTTCACTTCGGAGGGAACTTTAATTGACATCTTTCATAGATAATGTTTTAATTTTTGTACATTTGATAATGAAATAATTGTCCATGCATAAAAGCCTTTTCAAAATTCTGTAACTTTTTTTTGCTATACATTTTAATAATAATAAAAGCATCTTCTATTGTTTTATTGGCTTTCATAAAATCACAACAGACTTTTCTTCTAACAATATAAATTACTTATTTATAATATTAAAAACTATAATTTGTCAAAATGTTTTTCTCTAGTCTAGATATCTTACTGAGCGTGGATATATTATCCACGCATTCCAATAAAAATAATATATCCGAAACAAATATTATATTAATGTTTAAAAAGTTATTATTAAAACTAACAAACTAATACATTTTCATCTCGTCTTCGCGATCCCGGTTGCTGCAAAGTAACTGAAACTTTGATATATATATACAGGGTGACTGGTGAATTACTATCAATATTTAAGGAGAATACTCGGTACATGATTCTCATTCGAATTATGTAAAAAAATAGGCACTTAATTTTTGACCAAATTTCCGTATAAATAAATAACACGTTCCAAGTGTTCCAAGTGTGGACGCGTGCGGCGGCGTGCTGATACAACACCACGCCGCCGCACGCGCATGTGTGTGTGTGTGTGTATACCTAATCTGTAGGGTATTCACTCGATGCGTCATTAATTACATAACTTTTGGTTAACTTTACTTAGAAGTTTATTAATATTTATGTTATATTAATTTTTATTTTGTCATATATGATCGTCAAATATCACGTCCTCAAGTATCGATAGTAATTCACCAGTCACCCTGTATATATAAAGATATATTTTTTTCCAGCTCGCAAGCTGTCAATGTTTGCGTTCATTGCCAGTATCTCCGTACGTGGATTCCAGTGTTGCCACATCACTAGCTGACACCCTCTCCCTGTTGACTGTCAGTAGCCTGTTATCAGAGAAGCTGCCTCTAGGATACCCGATGGTAGCACCCGTTGCACCCTTACCAGCTATCGCACCCATTGCACCCATCGCACCCGTGGTTGGAAACCTTGGCTGTGGCTGCGACCCAATTTACAGCTACCCGTATAACTCATACTTGATTTAAAAATATTTATTTAAATATTTTGTTATATATATGTATGTATATTCAAAATTAACTCTGATATATTTATATTTATACATCATCAATATCTTATTTTTTTATGATTGAAAAACATAATTTTGTGTATTAAATATGTCGCCATTATGCCGGAATCCGATACTGAATTTCAATCAAAAAGTCTTACGTCAGTTAACATTGACAGCTGTGACGTCATAATCAAATATTTTTATAAAACGTGACTTTGAACAAATATATTGTGCAAGTAATCACGTTTGAAAGGTATAAAGAATAATTATATTGAATTCATTTTGTTTGAATATTCATAAATTATTTTTATATTTAAACTGACTTATATAAGATCTTCATTATTGAAATAGTTTGACTGTCAAGTGTCAACTGATTTGTTAGTGGCATTTTAAAAATGTAACCAAAACTAAAATATTTATATATTCATGTTATTTTTTCATGTTTTTTTTTCTTATTTATTATATATTTGTTATTGATTTTACAATTTTTATTATATATATGTATATGAAATTGAAATAAATTTTATTGCAATAAAATGAAAATGTTTCACTGATATTTTATCCCCTTATAAGCAAAGAACGTATGTTACAAAAGAAACAAGGAATGTGTAGAATTAAATAAAAGGTAAGCTGTATATTGTCGATCATGGCTTATAGATAGAATTGAAATGAAAAAATAAAGTCTCAATCCGGTCTGGAAATACTATTTACTATAAATAGTAACAAAGATGGAGTCTACAATATTGAATTGTCTTCTACCTGGCAATTTCCCAGCTTTAGCCAGGGCCTTACATGTTGTGAATAGTTTTGGCTAATTGTTTTTACGACCGGCCGTCTGTCCGACCGGCTGTCTGACATCAACCCTCTTTGGGAATTGCATTAGAACCTAAATCTAGAAGCATTTTTATTAATTCTAGTTTTTGATATAACAAATGTGTCTCATTAAGGTTTTTAATTGTAAATGTAAAATAGAGAGAGGAGCTTGTATGGTGGAGGTGAGCGTTTAACGCGTTAGATAGACCCTTAAACCTACACCTGGGTCACAAGTCCCATTAATAATTCTCTTTGAGACGAAACCTCTCATCATTCCATGTATTCACCAAGCGGCTGCCGGGTCTATCGTTACAGAGAGAGAAGCTTCATCAGTGAATCCTATTATTATAAAAACAAAGTTTGTAAGGAAGTAAAACTATATATGGCCTTAATATACAGTGTTGTTTCACAAAATCTACTTTACGTATTTTGATGAAACTCAAAAGATATATAGCTTAAATATCAGAGTAGAATATAGGCACGAACTTTTTGATTTCTGTGTAGCTGTCACAACACATGTCAAGACTGTTCTATTGTCTATGGGATCACGTGAAGTAGACAGAAGGTATCGTGGTTGGTTATAATATTTATTGTTTAAACTTACTATACAGGGTGACTGGTGAATTACTATCAATATTTAAGGAGCATACTCGGTACATGATTCTCATTCGAATTATGTAAAAAAAATAGGCACTTAATTTTTGACAAAATTTCCGTACAAATAAGTAAAGTGTTGACACGTTCCAAGTGTTTAAGTGTGGACGCGTGCGGCGACGTGTTGATACAACACCACGTCACGACATGCGTATGTGTGAGTGTCAGTGTATACCTAATCTGTAGGGTGTTCATACGATGCGTAATTAATTACACAACTTTTGGTTAACTTTACTTAGAAGTTTATTAATATTTATGTTATATTAATTTTTATTTTGTCATATATGATCGTCAAATATCACGTCCTCAAATATTGATAGTAATTCACCAGTCACCCTATATATATCTGAATTATATTTTAAAGGAGACTCCAGTTTAAATGAAAGAAAAACATAAGAATAAAAAAATTGATAATATTTTTAACTAGCTTTCCGCCCTCAGCTTCGCCCGCTTGGAGTTCGGTAATATCGCGTTTCCAAGAGAACCTTTCAAAAGTCTGGGATAAAAACTATCCTATGTTCTTACTCAAGGTCAACTCTATCTCTGTACCAAATTTCATTAAAATCAGTTCAGTGGTTTAGTTGTGAAAGCGTAACAGACAGACAGAGTTACTTTCGCATTTATAATATTAATAGGGATATATACGAAATAGCTAAATAAGGTATGAATATTATATATTGTATTAACACATTTTAATTTAAAATTTAGAGAATAGTTAATGCAGCGATTTTGTTTTTGTAAAGTAATCATAAAATTAATGATTATCATCAGTATTAAATTAAAGCTGATCAATAAAATAGTTCAAACAATAATCGATGATTCAAAATAATTATTGGAACTTCAAAACAATGACAACGCCATTTTTAATTTATTATATACTAGTTTTTGCCCGCGACTTCGTCCGCGTTAATTTCGTCATTAGTAATATATGTATAGCTGAAGGGCGAACTCTATTCCGTCTTAAATAATCAGGTATTGGTATTTATTAAACTTTTCCTGTTTCAATCAAACAGAATGATTGACATATTAGTTAGTTGTCAAATCTAATGTCAAAAAAAACGTTTGTATGGGAAATAGAAAAGGGCTGTTTTTAGGATTTTCCCGGCAATTATTCCAATTTTTCTCACCTTTTAAACCTTCCCTGGACTTCCAGGAGTATTTCAAGACTAAAATTAGCCAAATCGGTTCAGCCGTTCTCGAGTTTTAGCGAGACTAAGGAACAGCAATCCATTTTTATATATATAGAAGACTAGAAGACCTGGCGAACTTCGTATCGTTCTATAATCAAGAAATATCTATTACGTTTTTTTATTTATATTTTTGGAGTTTACCTGTAAGCCATAAATCTCCGTGTTTTGAAGTGCGACAGAATGATTGACATATTAGTTAGTTGTCAAATCTAATGTCAAAAAAAACGTTTGTATGGGAAATAGAAAAGGGCTGTTTTTATGGTTTTCCCAGTAATGATTTAATTTTTTTTCAGCTTTTATACCTTCCCTGAACCTCCACGAAAATTTCAAGACTAAGATAAGATAAATCCGTTCAGCCGTTCTCGAGTTTTAGCGAGACTAAGGAACAGCAATCCATTTTTATATATGTATATAGAAAATTAATGCTATTTTAAATTTAGGTAACAGATAAAGTAATTTTGAAAGATGATAGAATAGTGTATATATCGGCGCTATCAGCTTTAATAACGCATGCGACATGAAAATAACTTGAGCCTGTCATCAATTATTATTAAAACTCATTATGTAGTATTAATGATTATTATTAAAAGTAAAACTAAATCAAAGATTGTTTAAAGGAGAATAGAACTATGTTTGAATGTTGGTATAAATATGACGTCTAGACGCACGACGGCAGAGTTCAGTGAGTGTGGAGCATTGAATAATGTGATTATGAAGAACCTTCGAGAAATGCAGGAATATTAAGAACAATTGAATTTTCATTTTAAAATATCATGGAATGTTTTAGAAGAAGTGACATTAGTGACGTCAGCGAGGCTGGCGTTGCTCTCTTTAAAAAACAAAGAATGTGTAATTAATCCGATATATATAAATGTGTTTATAATAAATGTACAAATGAACACAATAGTATTTAAAGATCAAAAAAAAAGTTTTTATTCTTTTGTATAATATATAATATTTAATGAAATATAAATCTACTTTATACGGCTTACTACCAATTATTTCTATTATATCTCGTTACAATGGCTTTGACAATTAATTTATTAGCTCAAGACTTAATTTTAGAACTTTGTTCAATATTTAATAGTTTTAATGTAAAAAATATATATTTATTTCAAATAAGTGAGAGAAGAGTGTGTGATTTAAATAATTTTCATTTTTATGTTGGTAACACTAAACTCATATGTCAAATATAATTTTACAAATTGCGATATACTGTTTTGTTTTTTAAATATGTAACTGGTTATTGTAGTTGAATTAACATAGAATATATTTTTTATTATATTAAGTTTTCTCCCGGAACAAAGATATTCTAAAATCAGTTTGGAATTTTAATGACGAGACCTATATAAATGAAATCAACACTCATCAAATTTCGCGCCAACATATAGTCAGATAAAATTTGTATGAATTGACATTGACATTACTTTTTCTTTCATTTAATCATCCAAATTGTCTTATACAGGGTGACTGGTGAATTACTATCGATACTTGAGGACGTGATATTTGACGATCATATATGACAAAATAAAAATTAATATAACATAAATATTAATAAAATGCTAAGTAAAGTTAACCAAAAGTTATGTAATTAATTACGCATCGTGTGAACACCCTACAGATTAGGTATACACACACACACACGCGTGCGGCGTGGTGTTGTATCAGCACGCCGCCGCACGCGTCCACACTTGGAGCACTTGGAACGTGTCAACACTTTATTTATTTATACGGAAATTTTGTCAAAAATTAAGTGCCTATTTTTTTACCTAATTCGAATGAGAATCATGTACCGAGTATTCTCCTTAAATATCGATAGTAATTCACCAGTCACCCTGTATATTATAAGATGTAGAAAACTTTTACGATTAACAATTTTAGATACATAATTAAAATGCTGGTTTAAATTTCTGACGTTCAATACATTCTCATGATATTTTTTACAGGTAATCATTAAACTTTACCAAATTCTTCGATGTATGGCAAGTGTTTCAACCAGGCTGGCCATTTTATCGTATAAGGATTAAATGAAAATTGAGATGACAAATATTGAGTTGCACATTAACATAGGCACCTATATATTTTCTCATTTCTTTCTTTTACACGGACCAAGATCTGAGACCATGCTGCCCAATCATTCGTTTTTATTTGTCTTCGTTGATTAATTATAATGTCTTTAGTTATATAAACTAAATATTTTTTTCATTCAATCAAATTTGAAATATTATTTAAAAATCCAGATCATACTTTTTTCTACGTAATATATTTGTAACTAGTTTTTGCCCGCGACTTCGTCCGCGTTAGTTTCGTCAATAGTAGTAATATGTACATATATGTAATATGTATAGCTGACCGGGCGAACTCTATTCCGTTTTAAAGGCCATTAATAATCAGGTTTCTCCTGTTTCAATCGAACAGAATGATTGACATATAAGTTAGTTGTCAAAGCTAATGTCAAAAAAAACGTTTGTATGGGAAATAGAAAAGGGCTGTTTTTATGGTTTTCCCAGTAATGAATCAATTTTTTTCAGCTTTTATAGGTAGGTAGGTGGAGGTTCAGGGAAGGTTCCCTGAACCTCCACGAACATTTCAAGACTAAGATAAGATAAATTCGTTCAGCTGTTCTCGAGTTTTAGCGAGACTAAGGAACAGCAATCCATTTTTATATATATAGAAGATAATTAGCGGTGCTTACAACTGATGTAGTAATCTGTAATCTGTAATCTATACTAAAGTCGTGAAGATTCACCGACGTATCAACTGTCACTGACATGTACTAACTGTCAAACAATGACATTTCGTTTTTATTAGGTATTGAACACAAAATTTCAACTTTTATATCAATAAATGCCTTTACTTTCCTTTCGACAAACTCCTTCGTGTTTCCTCCACACAGTACTCAAGATTATAATTCGTCCAACAAATAAAAACGTTGACATTGGCAGAATATTACTCGATTACAGTGCGAATGAAGACATAGATTAAAAAAAATCACATAACAATTGACTTTATATTTTCTAATAATAAAGTCAATATTTCATGATATTGTTTTATTTATATAAATTGATTAACTTTGTTGTTTTTCAATAATAATATTTGAGCTGTATTATGATCCGGGTTCTAGCGTCTTATACGTGACACGTAATTATTGATTATTCATTTTTGTTCAATTATTATTAGTTACCGGTTGTTAATTTTGTTGCAAAAATAAAAATAATATGTAAGGCCAAATCACTATGCTACAATGCAAATACTATACTTTTTTAAATCAAATTAAGATGACTTGTATCTTAAATTTAAAATCTTTTTTTGACCACAACATATTTCATTCGGATTTAAACGTTCAAGAATGCTACTTGTAAAGATTTGTTACGCATCAATTCTGGGAAGAATATCTAGATTTTTATCTCTCATAGTTAAATTTCGTAAAACATTGATTAATCGATATAAAACAGAATAATATCTTTATACTCATTACAACTAAGATGTCTTCCGTTAAATTAATTTGTATTCTGGCTTTCCAGGTATATAAATATATATACTTAATTATTTATAATAATTTCTTTTTTTAACATTATTACATAGATTTTTTAAATTTCAGTTATTTTCCTGTGAATGCAGGACTTTCAAATCGGGATTAGCTAAAGGATATAATAATTTGGCTTACGGAAGGAACAGCTTATCATATTATTTGCCAAGTTTATCATACGGACCCCGCTTGTTTAATAATGGCATAGATTATTCGTCCCGCCAATCAAATGCCATGCCAATGGCCAAAAGTGGCTTGTTCGTAACCAGTTCGTCATCGATAAAACCGAGTGGCGTGTCATTTATTTCAGATGGCTTGGTTATGGATGGCATTTTGAGAGTGTATGGCCAATTGCCAGTGTTGGCCACTGTGGCATTAGATGGGAAAGTTTATGGCAGTGGACAAGGTGCGGTGTCGTATGAAAATGGAAACGTTAACAATTTTCTTGGCCTCAATGTTCTCAATCCTAAGGGGAATAGTATGAACTTTTTATATTAATACAGCTATTTTTATTTTATTATAGAAATTGTGCTGTATATGTAAATTAATGACATATTTATTATTTATATTTAAACTTATTACAATTGTAGTAATTTTAATTAAGTTGAAACTATTAAATATTTAAGTTAATTATGTCTTTTTTATGCTATGGCTTCATTCACACTGGAATTGTGAAATATTCTAGCAATGTCAACGTCTTTATTTGTTGGAGGAATTATAATCTTCTTATAGATATAAAAAATCTTAAAAGAACCATTATATCTACTTATTATTATATTTACTTATAAAAAAAACATGTATTAGTCAATTTAAAATATACACCAAACAAATTAGTTGAGATGATTCAAACAAAAATTATGTACCTATACTTATTGCTGTGCATACAAGATCTTTTGGAAAGGGAACTAAAGGAATTATTTTTTAGTATAGAAGATTAATTAGAAGATTTTCATGATGATACATAGCTACCGTCTTTAAAATACCCTGAAGATGTTTTAGGAGTATTGCTACTATTGGTATTGAAATAGTTCATATAGAGAGAGTCGTGGAACAAAAAACTTTGAAGAAAAATTAGGATTTAATATTAAGAATATTGGTATATGTTACAAAATTTAATATTGGAGGAGGAATTAAAATTATAAGAAAGAAATAAATAATTAAATAATACTAGCAACACTTCGTTACGAGAAAAATGTAGAAGTATTTTGACATTAAAAATTACTTTTAGTTTTGAAGAATATATAAATAAAATTGTATGTTTTTATGATTACGATGTTTATATGTGTATATGATATACGAAATATTTGTAACTTGAATGAAAACCCAAATTTAACATAGCATAATAAATTTTATATTCATAAGATTTATCGGTAAAATAACTAGAACAAAAATTGAAAAACCTACGTTCGGCAAAATTATTACACACTCAATGGCGGTTATTAAAATTGCTAGATTGAGTCATAAATTCCACTATCAGATATCATTGGTGTTAGAAAAACTGATTTATGCTTTGACATCTTTGACTAAGTATATAGAGATTAAATAACTACTCACACTAAGAAAACTGTCATGTATTTCCCAAACTATACGATGAAGAAACTACCCGCGTATATACTTCATGTAAATTCCATTACCAACGTTATAATCTCTTTATAACTACTAAATAAGTTAATTTTAAAAAATCCATTTAATAGATGAATTGAAATTTAATACATAAATATTTAAGTTAATAGATTCTAATTAAAGTCTGATTTATTAATTAAATCCTAAGTTATAATTTGGATAGCTGATTATGACTTTCATTATGTTGAACAGAATTTATTATAAGTATATTGTTGATTGCTGTCTAATATTGTTGCTAGATCAATCAGAATATGTATCACTAGCTTTTGCCGCGGCTTCGTCCGCGTGGAATAGTGACTTCCGGCAGATTTTTGGTTCTTTCCACATAGTTCCCGTTCTTGCGGGGTTTTCGGAATGGTCGAGTTCCCGTAGAATTTTCAGAATAAAACCTATGTTTTTTTTATTCACAATGAAGTACTCTTAACCAACAACATATTTATTTGTTTATTTGAATAAAGATTAATATTATTATGTTGATACAACTTTAACAAATTATTTCGACCAAATTAGGTACCATAAAATCGGTTTTTGTGAGTTAATCTTAAAAGATAAACATATGCTGTCCTGCACTGTTTTTTAGATCATTAAAAGAGCTATTATTATTTAATACATATTTTTTGTGTATCTTGAACCGTTTTCATGGCACACGCAACGGAAGGCTTCAAAGATGAAATAACTTCTCCCGTTTTTTACACATTTACCACTATATCTTTGCTCCTATTGGTCGTAGCGTGATGTTATATAGCCTACAGCCTTCCTCGATAACTGGAATATCCAACACAAAAAAAATTATTCAATTCGAACCAGTAGTTTCACAGATTAGCGCTTTCAAACAAACAACCTCTTCAGCTTTATAATATTAGTATAGATTTAAATACTAGTAGCGCCATCTCTGCTGCTAAATGTGTAACAATTGTTATGAACCTACCTATCCTACCTCCTCCTTCATTCACTTGTTTCATTGGAAATACTATATACTAATAAAAATATAATTAATTTAGTATATATAAGTTGTAAAATTATTATTATGATATTTCATACAATTTATGTTAAATAATTTAGTAAAAAGATAATATGCAAGACTTATTAAAGGAAGGTCCACTTAGTATTGGGACTTTGGCTTGACGTGAACAGACATTATCATATTTTTTGTAATTAGTTTAAAAGCACTAACTGGTAATAATGAGAATATGAACTTAATTTTGTATCAAAATGTTTTAAAAGAGATTTTTGTCATGTGATAAAAAACAGGTTAAAGCAAAATAAAACAACAGTTTTTATGATTTATTTTTATTCTGGGACATCATATGTTATTAATATGTGTCCTAGATAAGATCATTACATTATATTCTTGGAAATATGAAACTGTCCATGTTTACATTTATAGGTTGAAAATCTGCCCGCCTTCTATTTAAATTATTTTTGATAACAAAGTCAGCTAATGTGTTAGAAGTAAACATCTTTTCATTTATTATAATACAACAGTATTAACAAGGATAAACCTCAAAACCTCATTTTGCATTATAGGAATAGCATATACAATACATATCTATTAAAAAACGAGTAATTTAAATAATTAATTGAATTGACACTTACTCGTCGAGGAGCTATCCACTGTCTTATAATAGACTGAACCTGATTAATATCTAGACTATGTCGCCTTCGCTCTATCAAATCAGTTCCACAGTTTATGCATCTCAGAGATACGGATTGGTAAGAAGTCACTTCTTCTGTGTGCAGACTATCATGAGACACGCTTTGGTTTTGTTCAATGTCCATATTAAAGCCGTGGTTAACGATGGAGCTAGTTTCGGGGTCCATATTACGTGAGTGTTGGTCATCGTTTATGTTATGTTCGGAGTCCATAATACAAAAGCTAGGGTCATCGTTTGAGCGAAAATCGGGGTCCGTAGATGTGCAGGGGTCATTGGAAAAAGATAGGTCGGAGTCCATAATGAATAAACAATCGTTGAAAGAAAATCCATAATAAAACAACACTCTCAATGTAGGTAAACAAAGCGAATGTAAACAATCAGTCTGTGACATATCAATGTCAATTTGTATTTTTTTGTTTTATTAGTGTTGCAATAGAAAAAAATCATTAAAAAATCGATCGAAAACAGATATGGTTACGTTTAACATTCTTCATATTTCAGTTTATAAAACGTTTTAATTGACGAAACTAATTAAAAACAAATATTATTAATTTTTTTTTGTATTAAATACTTATAGTTGTATTAAGTACTGCGAGATGATTCGATTTGACGCAATCGTTAATTGATCTTGCTGGTAACACAAAAAGTGGATCAATAAAGCAAATCAATGAAGATACTTTAAAAATATTTTTTCAATAAAATACAAATGTACACTCAAACAACAATAGAATGGCTAGCTAAAAAAAATAGTTCTTTTTTTGATAGCAGCTTGTTCACGCTAGGCCAAAAATGGACATTGCCTTTTAAATGAAACTAATATTTTCGGATTTTACTTTGCGTTTTTATTTTTGTCAGCTACTTTTCAGCAACCGTGATCTCGGGTAGACGGGATGTCGTCGGGAGTTTATAGTCAAAAATAAAAACGCGAAGTAAAATCCGAAAATATTAGTTTCATTTAAATGAGTACTCGCGAAAATCTTAGATCTCATTATTAAAATTTAATTGAGACAAATTTAAGAAAAGATTATGAAATTAAAGAGAACAGTTTCTATATAATATTATAATTACAATTTTTTTAGATAAAAACTCAAACTAGACTAAAATATACTTCTTTTTTTACAAATAAAGGTTATCTAAAATAAAATTACCTCATATTTATATTTCGATAAACGTCTTACAATTTTTAAATTTCAAATAGTTTGTAACATTTTTCTATAAATTGATAAAAAAAGCTTGATAAAAAGATATTAAGTAATTATTTATTCATAATATAATAGAATAATAATGAAATCACAATATATATAAAGTGTTGTTCCAAAATTTTTATAACTATACTTCAAAAGAACATAACCAACAAAAACAATGATTTCAAACAGAATCACAACTTTGTTTACTTTAATGATTATTCAGGTATATATTATATATTATTTCAGATAATTTTGATTATTCAATATATAATACATTTTTTTTTATAGTGCATTACAGGTCAATTCATAAGAAATCCATACAATGCTGGCTATTCTAACGATTTAGCTGCAAATATAGCTGCCGAAAATCTGGCGTACTCACAAGCTTATGGACCAATTCCCGCCAATGCCTTGGCATATGGGCCAACTGAAGCCAATGCTTTGGCGTATGGTGTTCCAAATGTGCCTTTGGCGTACAGTGCAACCGCGCCAAACTTAGCCATCCCGCCAATTGAGTTAGCATACGAAGTTCCGATTATTCCAACAGGTATAAACTATGGTTTATCCTTGAAGGAGTTGAGCGCATCTAATGGTGGAGGTTTGAGAGTGAGAAGCTCCTCATCCATACCAGCTAGTGGTGTGACAGTTGAAACCGATGATATGTTGATTGAAGGTCCATTGGCTGTTAGTGGCCAATTGCCATTCCTAGGTGTTGTTGCTCTGGAAGGACCTCTGGTTGCTGCTGGCAGTGGTTCCGTAGCTTATGGTTGCGGAAATGGTGATATTGGAATCGTCACTGAAGGTGTAGACCAACCAGCCCAAGCTTATGCCAATGCTCTGCCAAGATATGCCAATGGCCCTTGCATGAATGGCGGCCCAGGTATTGGACTGCCTCCGGCTGTATATTAAACTTATAGTTGTTAATAAATTATTGTTGTGTTTATATAAATAGTTTTTAATTTATTCCTTAACAAATATCCTATGTTAAAATTTTGCAAGTGGTTACTTATATATTTTTTAATAAGAATCACGGATGTAAATGTCTATTATGGTGGGTTTGGTTCCAATTAAAGGATAAAGAAAATTATATGAAAAGATTATTTTTTAACCTAAAAAAAAATTTCCATTTTGCTTAACCATTTAATCATTGTTTAAAAAAAATACAAACGTTCTTATGATTTCGCACCATTTTGTCTAATCGAAACACTTAGTTTTAAGAACTAACTAACTTCTAATATATTCTATAGCTCATGCAAAATATACTGGTCAGGTTGTATAGTGCCATGAGATCTTGAAACTATTTCTTATATTAACTCGCCATTCTTAACAAACCACAAACGTTTTATCTCTAGCAGTATGAGGACTAACACAAGAAAATTATTTACAAATCTAAACACAATTAAAATATTTTTAAAATAGTGCTAATAAAATATTTTTAAATTGTTAAAGGTAAGCCTGCCCAAAATGCGTCAATTGTTTTCTGTGCAGACCAGCTCTTATCTAGCCGTTACCCACTACATCTCTCAAATCATCAGTCCATAATGCTACAGAGTACAGGCCATGCTATATTGCCTTCCTCAAGCTAAGCCTTTCTGTTATACTTTTTACCATTGCCTAGTATCTGATCGTCTGTCTCTATTCACTTGGAAGTAGTTTCTCAAGCAATGTCTGTAATTTTGATCCTCTGGTTTGTCTTTCGGAATCCAGTCTGGCAAAAAAACTCTACGCATCGTGTATTTTATAGCTACATGGGTGACAGTTAATTTATGAGCGGGTTGCATTATTGGATCTAGTTGTATGTATTCTGGCACGATTTCGGGAAGAATATGATTGATCATCACTGGCCTCAATAAATTACTAATTATAACTTTGATTTGATCAAAGTTCACACCATTTTTATTTATTATATAACTATCTCGAAAAGTAAAAGAAGATAGATAAGTTAAGATAATAAAAGAAACAATTAATTTAAAAATGAAAAATTTACAGCTGACAAATTGTATCGATTACTTATCTTTTCAATAAACAGGTAAATAATTTCTTTGACTAAATCTTCAAAGTTTTATTTTTCCAAATAGAACCACAATCCTTAGCAAAGGTTTATAATTTGAAAATTTCTACACATATGGAATTCATTAATACATAGTGGTTTTAGTGAGTAGGGGCCTGCCCAGGCCGAGTCTCACACATCCCTTCCGGCCCCACCAAGGCCAGTTGGACGGCTCGTAAAAAGAATTTCCTTGCATCATCAACAAGAAGGCTATTGCATGAAAAACGAGAAATTTTATGTTAAGCTATTAAGCAGCGACGGTTTCAACTTTTCATTCAAATATAGCTTCCATACATAAAACATTTCATAGGACAGTCTTATAAATATAATGAAACAAAAAAATATCTTACAAATTATTTTTGGCATGTTTTTTCCCTTATCATCGCAATTTCAGTAAATGTATCACATTGCCCATAAAACAACATGACACTAATTTGAACATTTCATAGCCTCGGGGGAGGTCTCGGTAATCCAATTAAGGAACATCTTTTTTATCTTCAAGAGAATTTATCTTTTTAAAGAAACGTATATTTAATGTATTTTAATTTAAGTAGTAAAAGTATGTGGGGATATGAATTCTTATTCTGAAAATGTTGAGTAATTGTCTTTAAATATGTATATACAGCTTTTGTTTTCTTTTTACTCTTAAATATTTTTTTTGGAATTTAAGCTGTGAGTGGGAAATGGACTATCTATTCTTGCCTACAGACGTCCAAAATTGAACAGAAAGGAAATAATTTGTTATAATTTCTCTTATTAATGACTTATTCCAGCGACTTCATTTTCCTGAACCCCGTAATAAAGGTTAAAGAAAAAGTAATGGTGTGTTAGTGTGTGCAAAAAAGAGATAAGTCTGATTTAAAATAGCTCCTTCAACTATTGTTCTTGTCATGTAACATACAAAATCAAATCTATTATATTATGTAATCTTTTATTTTTTAATAGTTTCAGTAGTTTTGTATAAAACAAAAGAAACAAACATTATTATAATTTTGCTCTCAATCACTTATTTATGCAATAGAAACATTAGTGAAAAGAAAAACAAGCCTTTTAATTTAGAATTTTTTGAAAAGATTCCAACCAATAAATAAATACATTTTGATATATTTAAGTAAAAATGTAAGGTTATATTAAAGTATTTATTAAAGAACTAAATAACAATAATATTATTAATAAACACCACGATTGCATCCATTATAATTGTAAGGTCCTGGTAAACCTGGGCCGTAAACTGGAGCGCCCAAGTAGTTCATTGGAGGAGCGAATGGTAGGTCCTCATTCATTATCGCGATATTGCCGTTACCACCACCATATGCAACCGCGCCATTACCGGCCGCTGGTAGTGATCCTTCTAAAGAAATTGTTCCCAAGAAGGGCAATTGACCATTAACAGCCAAAGGACCTTCAATCACCAGATTTTCAGATGTTAAAGACACTCCAGATGGTGTCAAAAGCGAAGAACTCTTAACAGCAAAATTATTACAATTAGATGCGGCTAGCGTAGCCAAAGTTAATGCTTGATTGAAGCCATCAAAAGCAATCGGGTTCACTGGACCGTAAATGCCATCGTATGCCATTGGATTGGCGGCGCCGTAAATATTATTCGCTTGGTATGGCAATGGCGCTAAATTCATGGCCATGTTGTCCATTTTGATGGCACGATTGTTAGCTATCATGCCAGGGCCGTAGATGTTGCTAAAGCATTGTGCAGAGATTGTCTGGAATGTGCAATGAAATTAAGTTGCATTATTACTATTATAAAATATATTAAATATAAATCTTATAATATAACAAACACCTGTACAAAGACAGCAGACGCTATGAAAACGGCGAGAGAAGTCATGTTGTTTTTTTATATGTAATAAAAAACACAAAACTTGAATAATAAGACAAGATAATGAGACTTGAATAATGATTTTCGTAAATTTTCTATATTATATATAACATATACGTATTTATTACAACATTACTGAATTACGTAAAAAATTATCTCTCAATACGTGATGAGTGTTGTGTCGAGATTTATTCTGATAATATAATTATTAACTAATATCACGAATGTTTAAAATAAAGGTTAAGTTAGCTAGTTGTTCTTATTCAAACTATGCGTTAACATTGCTTTGTTATTTTCAAGGGCAAGAGTTCAAAAATCTGGTCGCAAACAAAAGAAATATTACCAAAATAATTAAGTCACGAGATTCAATATAAAATTTCTCAGTATTGATTATTATTTATCGATATTTTACTTACATAATTTCTATGTTAAATAATGTAATACATTGATAATAATAAAAAATTACTTCATTTTTGGTACATCGATATATATATAATGTTATTATGATTTTTTATATTCATTATAAATATCGAATTTGGCGAAAATGAAACTATTCATATGTATATATATTCAGGCGATATTTATAAACGTACGGAAGTATTTCATTTATTAATTTTTAGTATTTTATCATGTGAAAAATGGAGGTTAATTGTTTTAATTTATTTTTCAGAAAGCCTGGGTATTAGGATTGCCACTTAATCAAAATAACATAACTCCATATCTGGCTAATAATTTCGGTTTAAATAATTTGGCGGCTACATCAGGGATTAGCACCGTAAATCCTTCATTTACGAGTACACCAAATGGCTATGGCAATTTCATATCAAATAATATTGCCAATGCCAACAGTATTGCAAATAACGAGGCATTATTTAATGCAAATTTTGTGACAAATAATTTCGCACAGAGAAATGATATTGCCAACGAAATAGTTGGAAACAGGAATGCCATTAGTAATGCCAATGCTTTTTATGCCAATGAGGCTTTAATTGGCAATTCTATTTTACCGAAATTGAATCTTTTACCCAATAACGTGATAGAAACTCAATCGAATGCGATTCAAAGCGAATTATTAAATAATATGCAATTTACGCCTATAATTTCGGATTTTGTGCCGTCATTGCAATACGGGGATATAACTATGACAGGTGACTTACCAATTGGCGGTATGATTAAGGTGTGCGGCTGTTTCCCAGTCTACGGAATGGTAAATGTTGATGGTAGCCTACCCTCAGCCGGTACAGCGATAGTGGCGGAATCCTTTGGCAATCAGGTCATAGAAATTGTTCACAATTGTGCCCATCAGGTTATCGGTTGATTTTGTTAACCTATTAATTTATATTAAAAATACAATCTACCATAATAGAAAATATATGAAGTCTTTTTATTTGTTTCCTTTTATATAAGCAACTAGGTATTTTGATGAAGGAAATGTTTGCTTTCAAACCTGATTTCTAAATAGACATTTCACAATGAAAATAAAGGTTAAGTATTATTTAAATCTCCATATTTATAATCCAGAATAAAAAAGTAGCACAAATAAGCAGTATAACAGTTCGACGTTTTATGACATGTATTTTTATGAAAGTTCATACGTTTCCATAAAAAAAAATCTTATTACAAGATAAATCTATTCAACTACAGTTTAATTTTACCAATTTGCTTAAATTATCTGAACATTTATGAAATAAATCAGTTAATATTAAACTCCAGTTGAAAGCAATTTATATAATTCAAAAGGCCTTATAAACCATCACCTAAAGTTCTACTAGTAAGAACTATTGAGTAAATGTAGAAGAATAAAAATAAAAGGTTTGTATATACATTTTTTTATTATAAATTTGTTTGAAGTCGGTTAATTCATCAAACAAAAGATATTTATTTAAATGAAACTAATTTCCGGTTACTACGCATTTATTATTTTATATCTACATACTCCCGACGTTTCAGTTCCTTTACACCAACCGTGATCAACAGACGAAATGAAAGTATCTGATGTAAAATAATAGTAACTTATTATCCGAAGTTATAGATATCATTAATATTTTTAATAGTAAGTTTAAGATATTATTAATATTAATCCATATTCAATAATGACTTGGCTTCCTATAACATTTCACATTGTTTTTAAAGTGTTCTTTACTTTTATTATTAACTAAAAATCTGGCCGTGATCTTGATGTTTATAAAGTAAAGGAAACGAGGAGTAAGATATAATATAATATGTCACACTGTATCCGAAAGGCGAAAACAATAGAACGATTTAAAACACAAATTCATCTACTATTAGTACAGTTGGGTACGCAGTACTTTTGCTATAACTGTATGATCCATAGTTTATTTGAAATGTTACCAATTAAAGTTTAATTATATGCCATAAGATATATGTACATATATATATATATGTAGTCATATTAATGAGATCTAAGATTTTCGCGAGTACTCATTTAAATGAAACTCATATTTTCGGATTTACTATGTGGTTTTTTATTTTTGACTATAAACTACATACTCCCAACGTTTCGGTTACTTTACAGCAACCGTGATCACTGGCAGACGAGATGAGAGTGACTCACTCATTTTAAATTAAACAGAATTTGAAAAAAAACAATCAAAACTATTTGTGTTATAGACAAATAATATTAAGATGTTTATTTTTTGTGTTTTTACCTAAAAAGTAAACTATATTATTTTATTCTACTTTAATGTTTTATTTTATAACAATAATATATTTAAAATGATTTCAATAACTAAATGATTGATAAGCACGCTCTTAGCAAGAAAATTACAAAATATTATGACAATTACACAAAACAATTATAATTGCAATGCTGCTATAAAATTGCAATGTAAACATAACGCGATGTTGTAGATCTAAAGAAATATGTATTTACAAAAACCAATCATTGGTTTTTTTTTAATAATAAAATAGTATTAATTCGTATTTTTTATTAACACGCTTATATTGGCTTGGGCTGTATGTACATATGTATGTAACGGAATCTTTGAGCACAATTTTCACCGAATTCTAAACATCTGATTAACTTGAAACTTTGCATATGTCTCAAGACCCAATGACAATACAATAATTCGTTAACAATTCCCCATTATCCTTGTTAGGGCCGCCAGGATTAATATATTCTTTTCATAGATCCTATATGAGAGTGAAAGGGACAGAGCTATTAGATAAATCGTACTAAAAATATAAAATTAATATTAGTTTAAAATATACAAGCGTGTTTTTTTAAATTATTATTATTATGTACATATCTTGTTGATAAAATAAGAATTTATATTGGAGAAGAATTATAAGTATAAAAAAAAACTGAAGTGAGTGCCAGAATTCTAGTTATTACTCATTTTTAATATATTTGTGGATATTTTAAGTATAATACAAAATAATATAAAGATGTGGAAAACACACCTCTTTTTGAAAATGTATGACAGTTGTAATTATTATTCCATATATTTTTTTAAATATCGCACGTCTTTATTTTACAATACAGTAAAGACTTGATCAATATTTGACAAAAAAATATTAGAATGTGCTCAAAAAACATAATACTGATCATAAGAAAAATCTTACACACATTTGATGTAACCTTTTGTAAACAAGATTATTTAGTTAGGGTGACAAAAAATACTTAAATACCAAGTAGGCTGTATTCTGTTTCGATCTGATAAACTTTTGCTTCTTTTATGTATATTATCCTTATATTACTGAAATCTTTATTTCCAGGATGTATACAGTCAATGTCTCAACAGGGCTGCCCTTGGAGCTCCACTTGGCCAGGGTTTTGTATCAAGAGTAGGGCTCGGCTCGTGTGTGTCTGAAGCTTATGGGTCCCTGGGACTAACCTCACCAGTGGACTTGATTGAGGAGCAAGGAGCGGGTTACGGTGGTAGTGGAGTGGGAGAGGTTTATGTGAACGGATTGTTACCTGTGGAAGGATACTCATCCATCAGTGGCCAGGTCCCTGTCCTGGGTGTGGTGAGGTTTGACGGACCAGTAGCAGCCAGGGGCAGTGTCAGCATAACAGGAGCCTGTGGCTGCGGATGTCAACAAGTGCTACCAGCTAATGTTGTATGTTGATTAAATGACATGACGTTATATTGTGTGTTTAATGAACATCGCCTTTATAATACACTCACTGTGACTGCATTCATTAAACAGATACAAATAATATAATATCTATCTCATTGAATAACGAATATTTAGAGAATGAGATGTTTGTTTAAGATCTTTCTTTCTGGTTAGAGAATGTTTGAAATATGTAGATAAATGAAACTAATATTTTGCGAATATTACTATGCGCCTTTATTTTTGATTATAAACTACATACTCCCGACGTTTCGGTTACTTTATAGCAACCGTGATCACAGGCAGACGAGATGTGAGTGTATTTACTATGTAGATAAATATTTAACTTGTTTCATAGACATATCACAAACCTTTTAAAACATAGTAAATTGTATCAAAATATTAATGTAGACAAAAAAGTTAAGTCAGTGGTGGCTCAGTGGTTAAACGGCCCGCCTCTCGGCCTCTCGTCGCCGAGGGCGCGGGTTCGATCCTGGCCCGGGCAAGTACCATTGTGATTTTTCCGAATCATATGTACTTTCTAAGAGTATTTAGACATCACTGATTACTGTTGATTCCCAAAAGAGGGTTGATGTCAGGCAGGCGGCCGGTCGTAAAAACAAATAGCCAAAAACTATTCATAACATGTAAGGCGGCAGACCCTGGCTATAGCTGGGAAATTGCCAGGTAGAAGAGATTAATGTAGACAAAAAAACGAGGGAAGAAATCATATTATTCGTTGAAACGCTGATGAAATAGATATTTAAAGTGACAAAGGAATAATTACTTATCTATGGCATAAACATAAAGAATAAATAATATAAACTTGAGTATTTTTATTTCAATTTAATAAGTTCCACACTTAATACAAGTTTTGAATCTTCAGTAATTACGGATATTACCAATATTTTTCATCTTAAGACTTATAAATGAAATCAATGCAAACTTAATTTTCACCTCAATTAAAAACTAGAAAGGGTACTTACTAATTTTGATAATAAGTCCAAATTTTGCTTGCTTTTTCGAAGTTGTTATGTTATAATATATTATGTAGATTATGAAAAAAATATTACTTACTAGTTTTCCGCCCGCAGCTTCGCCCGCATGGAGTTCGGTTAAATCGCGTTTCCAAGAGAATCTTTCAAAAGTCTGAGATAAAAACTATTCTATGTTCTTTCTAAAGGTCAACTCTATCTCTACCAAATTTCATTAAAATCAGTTCAGTGGTTTAGGTTTAGGTGTGAAAGTGTAACAGACAGACAGACAGTTACTTTCGCATTTATAATACTAGTAGGGATAAGTAGGCGTAGGCTATAATATTTCGTCAACCTATTATTTTCCCCAATTCCAGCTTGAACGACAAGAAAATCATACTATTTCTTATAAATACATATAAAAATTATTTAAACTAGATTTTGTTCATATTAAACATTCTTATTAGTTATTACTTATCAGTAGCTTGTATATATTTTTCCTTCCTATACAGTAGGACCCCGATTATCCGGACCTCGGTTATCCGAATTCGCGATTATCCGGACTGCCAATCGCGACGAGTTTATTCTAACACTAGCTGTGCCCGCGACTTCGTCCGCGTGGAATTGTGACTTCCGGCAGATTTTTGGTTCTTCCCACATAGTTCCCGTTCTTGAGGGGTTTTCGGAATGGTCGAGTTCCCGCAGAATTTTCAGGATAAAACCTGTTTTTTTTTTTATTCACAATGAAGTACTCTTAACAAACAACATATTTATTTGTTTATTTGAATAAAGATTAATATTATTATGTTGATACAACTTAAACAAATTATTTCGACCAAATTAGTTACCATAAAAACGGTTTTTGTGAGTTAATCTTAAAAGATAGACATATACTGATGCGGACTGTTTTATAGATCATTAAAAGAGCTATTATTCTTTTATACATATTTTTTGTGTATCTTGAACCGTTTTCACGGCGCACGTAACGGAAGGCTTCAAAGATGAAATAATTAATTTTTCCCGTTTTTTATACATTTACCACTATATCTTTGCTCGTATTTGTCGTAGCGTGATGTTATATAGCCCAAAGCCTTCCTTAGCCTTCCTCGATAACTGGACTATCCAACACAAAATTATTCAATTCGAACCAGTATTTTCGGAGATAAGCGATTTCAAATAAACAAACAAACTCTTCAGCTTTATAATATTAGTATAGATTAACATGTCAGAACTTGCATATCGCCACGCCACTCATGCCGTCCGTGACTTTCGTTGATTCTCGCTCATTGGTTTTTCTGTTTTAAATAAACACCTAACATTACATATACAGACTACATATGTACATATGCAAAAAGCCCGTTTTTCTTCATACATTGGATTATCCGGACTTTCAATTATCCGGATGCCTACCGACAACAATTAGTCCGGATAATCGAGGTCCTACTGTACTTTTGTTTTGTTAGCCCTTTGTTAGTCTGTATGAATAAACGCTTTTATCGTTTTGTTTTTTGATATTAATTCCTCACGTACGTGGCTTACGAAATATCAACTAATTTTAAATGTAGGTCGCAGTATATAAAGCGGTTTTTGGTTATTTCTGTTCGTCCTTCATCTATCATTGTACAAACATGATGACTTCAACCATTCTGCTGTTCTGCCTCCAAGCTTTTTTGGTTCAGGTAATCTAGGCGTAATTAAACTTATCAGATTATATGTAACTAGTTTTTGCCCGTGACTTTTTCCGCGTTATTTTCATTTTCATTTCGTGGCAATAAATAAACAAGTTTTCGATTTTATTAACTTAATTTTTAGTGTTGAAAAGTATGTTATGTCCGGCTCCTGGTTCTAGGCTACCAATCCACCAATTCATTTTATTATATATATGGAAGACATCATATTAAATTAATAATTGATTTATGAGTAATATAACAATGTTCTTTTATTTTATAGAACGCTTATAGCTCGTGTATTGGAGCTGGCTTGTCTGGTATTGATCCTCGTTTTGGTCCACTCGGCTTCGCGTCAGGCATGTCGCCGATTGTCAATCCGGCTTCATATTCTTCAGTATTTTCTCCAGTACCTTCTCCAGCATATTCTCCAGTATCTTCTCCAGTATATTCCCCAGCATCTTCTCCAGCATATGGTGGAGAAGGTATAGGTGACATCAGTATAGCTGGAAGGATGCCGGTCGCTGGAACTACTGTGGTGAAGGGCCAGGTCCCAATCCTTGGTTCAGTACGTTTCGGAGGTGATGTAAATGCCGCTGGCACAGTTACCATCACTGGTAGCAGTGGATACAGAGGTTACAGAGGTTACTGCTAAGAACTATTCATTCTATTTATTTCAATCCCATATAAATTTCGAACATGTATCCAAAATGTATGATATTTAATGAAATATATGTATATTTTTTATAGCTGTAATGTGTAATCATTCTTATCCTATTTTATTTCAATTAAAGGTATTGTTGAAAGTGATTCTCACATAAACTTCTCTATTATTTAAGCCTTGCTTCATCTGTCATAGTAAAAAGGGCTAAAGACAAATAAGTATTACTTATTATACATACGTCAACAATCAATACTTAATAATCACCTTACTTGTTGTTTTTATCTGAAAACGTTTTTTATGTGTTTTTATTCTTTTTCTACCTGGCAATTTCCCAGCTTTAGCCAGGCTCTGCCTTACATGTTGTGAATAGTTTTGGCTAATTGTTTTTACGACCGGCTGCTTGCCTGACATCAACCCTCTTTGGGAATATGTTTTATGTGTTTTTATTATAATCACGTGTACAAAAATTTCGTTATTTAATACAAAAACAAGAGAGAGAACATGCATATTGTATATAATTCAGTGAGGACTGCTCTTATCATCAATAAATAATAAAATAATAATATTATTGAAATGTTTTTTGAAGTGAAACTTCTTATACGACTTACAACAAGGTTGCGTTAAACGTTTAACGCTGAGAGAGAGAAAAAAAGATGCACAAATGTAGAAAGTAGGAGAGAGAAAGAGATTGCGTAGGTACATAGTTTCTAAACACATGATCATGATATTTTTACTATGCAGCGAACTAAACAGTGTGAGTGACGTGAAGTTAGCTAAAATATGTACTTGTTGACTTATATTCATTAATTTATAATATTCTTTACTGTTACTTTGATTTTATACACATATAATTTATTTTCATTACCACATTAAGAAGTTTCACATCTTTTCTGAGGAGTGCGTGGAGTACCACGCACTATTTATTTTAAAATCAGAAATAAGAATAAATTAATAAAATACCATTCATGTTTATTTAGTTTTTTACTCAACATATAGGAAATACTATAATATTGAGTATAACTTACAGTATATTACAAAGACCATCTTATGATATTATTTCATTGAGACGAACCAACACGGTTAAAAATATTTATTTTAATTCATATCAATCACAAAGATTATTTTTATCTACTCCTTAGATTTCTTTTACATATAAAATCAAAAGAATTAATAATTATAATAAAATTGTGAACTTGTGTTGGTAAGAATGAAGAAGAAGAAGAACCTTGAACCAAAAATTAAAATTTATATGTAGCATTCTTTATAGTAATTTCTTTAACTAGAGTCTAGATTATCTTTAAATTACTCAAAACATTAAACAGTCCAACATTTCTTTAGTATTATTATATTAAAGTTAGTGACACACATTGACCAGACACTGCCAAAGTAATTTCATGTTAAAGGTCTACTTAAAAAAGATGCAGGCTGATGCAGGACAGAAGGTTACTATACACATAAACATCCCGGGAGGGGAAAAAGTGGGAAAGGGAAAGGGAAAGAGCAACCGTCTCTCTCACTCATCGGACGAAACGCAGCCATTAAAGGCTACTTCACGCCGATCTTCTGTGAGAGGGTGGTACTTACGGTCGAGACAGAACATGTTCGAGCTGTAGTAACTTGACCACAGCTAGGCTTTACCACTTTTTAACTCATAGTTTTATATAGAAATATATATCAAAAGAAATAAATGAACATCATATATCTTATATATTTTGTAAGTATTAGTTTATTGTATATAAATATATTGTAGAATTAATTATCTAGATGTATTTATTTATTAGTATGTATGTTCATTACAATACCACCGCCATTACTGATATTATTCTTTAATATACTCATTATTTCGCTTGTTACATGTCCCAACGTTTGTTTCATCTTGTTTTCTATTATATGGTGTTATTATATCAATGAAATTATAAAACTATTTCGAACAAGAATTAGAGAACGAATATGTAATAGATATATTAATTCTTTAGAGGTTATCAATCTTAAATCCAAAATTAAACCAAGATTTACTTGATATATTTTTGAACTGTTTGGAGTTAGGCTATGAAAAAAGTCAAACATTTATCTACGTATTTCAAATATTCTATACAGAGATAGATCTCCGTTTCTTAAAGAAACATCTCATTCTCTAAATATTTGTCATTCAATAAGATACATGTTACATTATTTTCGTCTATTTAATGAATGCTGTCACAGTGAGTGTACTATAAAGGCCATGTTCATTAAAACACACAATATAACGTCATGTCATTTAATCAACATACAACATTAGCCGGTAGCACTTGTTGACATCCGCAGCCACAGGCTCCTGTTATGCTGACACTGCCCCTGGCCGCTACTGGTCCGTCAAACCTCACCACACCCAGGACAGGGACCTGGCCACTGATGGATGAGTATCCTTCCACAGGTAACAATCCGTTCACATAAACCTCTCCCACTCCACTACCACCGTAACTCGCTCCTTGTTCTTCAACCAAGTCAACTGGTGAGGTCAGTCCCAGGGACCCATAAGCTTCAGACACACACGAGCCTAGTCCTACTCCTGGTACTAAACCTTGGCCAAGTGGAGCTCCAAGGGCAGCCCTGTTGAGACATTGACTGTATACATCCTGGAAATGAATAAAAAAACTTAAATTAATAAATCATCTCAAATAAGTCAGAATTGTATGTAAAGTCGCGATCGTGGTGGCCTAGAGATGAAAGACCGTCCTACGTGATGGTACCAATGTGTTTTTCCGAGTCATATGTAAGAGTATTTAGATACCACTTACACACAAGCGAAGGAAAATATCGTGAGAAAACCTGTACTTATAATTTCAAATTATAAGTTTGAAATCTCAAACCCGTCTTGAGCAAGCGTGGTAATTAATGCTCACACCTTCTCCATGTGAGAAAAATACCTTTGCTCAGCAGTGGGCTCTGATAGGCTGATGATGATGACGATGTATATAATGTCAACGGGTTTAATATATTTATCTCATAAAAAAAATATGATTTTTACTCGTAAAAATCATTTTGAGTAATTAAATTATTTTTTACCGGATACATATACAAATCTGAAAGACCGTCGTCCTTTTTAGAATCACCACATTATTTCCTTACAAAAAGGTAAAAATTAAAGTAATAAAAAAGTTTTTGATAAATTCAGCATAAATAATATCTATCAGTGACTAATCTAACATAGGTATCAGTACTACAGTTAATATTTTACGAATTTTATTATAAAAATATCTTATCTTACCTGAACCAAACAAGCTTGGATGCAGAGAACGAAAAATGCAAATGGAACGAACATATTGTTATACTTTAAAGAGCAAAGTAAATTATGTCTTAATAAAAAAACTAAGTTAGTTTTTATAGCAATAGCTAGTGAAGTATCTATTATTTTGTAATAGAAAAAACGTGCGATAAAACATAGTTAAAATATGGCCAAATTAATGCAAAATACAAAAATTGCACGTACATCTAAATAATAAGAATTTCACAATCAGAATTAAATCATATTTTTAGTATATAAGGGTTCGACATTTTCAGTTTAGAAAATAGACACAACATTTCATCTTGGTCTGTTTAATAACAAACAAAATGTCTTCAAAACTCATTGTTTTCTGCGCCCAAGCCTTTTTCATTCAGGTAAGTACAATCATTAAATATATACAATTTTAATATTTTCTAAATATTATGAGGTCAAAGTACATTTTTGGCCATTTATTTCAACAGTCTAAGTTATCATTTACATTAAATCCGTCATTTTCGATCTCATTGACATAATTTATGTATCTTTCTTTAGAGCATTCTCGGTCAATGCATCGGTAATGTCGGCAGTAGCTACAACTTAGGTAATTGCGACCTTCTTGCTGCGAGAAGGAACTACGATTGGGCTACTTGTGGAAATACCAACGCCCAATGGTCCGGAGCTCAGTTGGGTTTACTTGAGGGACTGAGTGCTAGCTCGGGTGGTGGACTCAATGTTCAAGCAGTCTCTCCGGTAGCCCCTGGTAGCATCTCCATAATTTCCGAAAATCAGATTCAAGGACCTCTTGAAGTTAGCGGTACCTTACCATTCCTTAGCGCTGTCGCATTTGAAGGTTCACTACCAACACGAGGATCTGGAGAAGTTCTTTATCAATGTGGTAATGGAAGAGTTGGGATTTTGGAGGAGAATTATCAGGATTCCTCCCTTAATTCTGGATTTTTAGGTGGAAATTCTGAATATTTGGGTGTGGGATGGAATGGAGCATCTGCTTTCAATGGAATTGGCAACTGCTTAGCTTCCGAACCCGTCGCTCTTGGCTGGAATGGAGCATCTGCTTTTAATGGAATCGGCGGCTGTTTAACCCAAGAGCCCGTCGCTGTCGGTTGGAATGGAAACCGTAGATGTGGTTGTAACTCTCTTTATTAGAAAAGATATTGTATTTTGAAATTGGATTCATAATAAACTATACATTCTGAAAGCAATGATTTGTTTTATTTCCTGAAAAAATTAATTAACTAAAGTGTTTTCGTAACCAGTTCATTACCTTTATAATTATAGATACTGATCTAAGTGAAAAAGTTTTTTTGCTTAAGAAAAACCTTTTTATTAACCATTATACTACTCAACAAATAGGTGAAATAGTGAATTGAAAAGCATTAATTCATTGATTTTTCGGAAAGCCGATTATGTCATTAAGTTAAATGAGTCCTTTAAAGATAATAACTTGAAAGTTTTTATAATAAATAAATTGGGTAACAAAATAACATCTCTTCATCATTAGAACATTTGGTTTTGGTGGTGATACCAATGTTTTGAAGCCTGTCTCTTAGAGACAAGATGTATGGTTGATCGTCCATATGTGACTAGTTTTAGAACTCGATCTCCTTTTATTTAGTATGTACACAGAGATCAAGTTATAGTAGCTACATTTTCAAAACATACTACCAAAATTATTACTCACTAAAACCACTATATATTCTTTTATTAATTTGGTTTTAATAGTAGTAGTAAAAATTGTACTGCAGTTGTGTAGAGTATAGTGAATATAACTATATTGCAATTAATTTTGTCACGTCATTATTTATGTGTATTTAAAAAAAAAGATGTCATTATTAGTCAATGTTGTTTATTGTTATTTTTATTACATCTTCTTAGAAACAAGATCAAAATAGACTTTTAACAATAATATTTGATAATTCCACTATTAATTTCTTTAAATTATACAAATCTAAAAACAATTTTAAATTAATAACTTTCTACAGTCTGAATACAACACAAACGAAAGATTTAAACAAACTTCGAAAATGTATTAATGTCTAATCTATCACAACAACACGTGTAACGAACTAAAAAGAGTCCTGATGTTCTCTGTCAATGGCAATAAATCCTCTTTCCCTTACAAATATATTTTATATCAAAATAGAAAGATATAGTTGATAATATCCTATTAAATAATAATTCAAGTTTAAACGTGAAATCATCTGGTAATGTTTTAATTACTAAACACATAAGAGGTTAAATTTCGTTTCAAGACGCAATGGAATATTATGTACAATGACACTTCGTGAAATTTAATGATATTTAAGATTTTTTGAGTGAATATTTAAATGAAACTAAGTTTCTGATACTATGTGTTTTTTATTATTCTACATCTATATTCTACATACTCCCGTCGTTTTGGTTCCTTTACAGCAACCGTGACCACGAAGACGAGATGAAAGTGTCTAAAGAATTTAAACTAAACTTAAAATAAAGAACAAAAATTCAAATTTGCTAATATTTAACATTTAAAGACACGTTTGATCATGTCATACAATGAATCCACTGTTTGTGTTGTATTTTGACGAGTAGTAATTATGTATAGTTTTATTTAATAAACAGTTTCACATAGACATAACTCTAAATAAAGCATAATAAACATAAGTTAAAATATTGTCGAACTAGGCAATTGATAAGATTTTTATATAATAACTAGTTTTTGCCCGCGACTTCGTCTGCGTTAATTAATTAATTTAATTTCATCATTAATAATAATAATCTGTTAATTTCATCATTAGTAAATATGTATAGCTGACCGGGCGAACTCTATTCCGTCCTAGAGGCCATAAATAATGAGGTTTTTCCTGTTTTAATCGAACAGAATGATTGACATATTAGTTAGTTGTCAAATCTAATGTAAAGAAAACGTTTGTATGGGAAATAGAAAAGGGCTGTTTTTATGGTTTTCCCAGTAATGAATCAATTTTTTTCAGCTTTTATACCTTCCCTGAACCTCCATGAACATTTCAAGACTAAGATAAGATAAATCCGTTCAGCTGTTTTCGAGTTTTAGCGAGACTAAGGAACAGCAATCCATTTTTATATATATAGAAGATTTATTTTAACCTAAGATTATTAATTACATAATACATAATATTAGGTAAAATGAAAAATCTTATCAAAATAGTTTTCTGGTTATTGCAAGACAAGTAAAAAATATTCGTTTTCATTAATTCAGCAAAATTTGTTTAGTAAAGAATTCTGCTAATCACTTCTTATTTTATTTATGATTTATTGTAATAATACTCATTAACACAAATAATATAAGACGATCATAATTAATGTCAAATCTTTAAGGTAATTATAATTCTGCTTTCAAATATAGGCTATTTAGTTAAAAAATGATTGATAGAAGAAGTTATTGTATATTTATTTGCAAATACCAACCATAGAATATCTTAATTCGCATTAAAAAATTTGCTTCGTCACACTATGTACATACGAACGGTTCCAAGAATTTAGTTTAATCTTAGTACATGATAATCAACGTAGGTTTCTGAATGACCGGCTTGCGGGTACAAGTGCAATGATTTTTTTCTCCAGGCCCGGAGCAGAAGGTACGACTGGTTTTTAGTCAGTAGAAGTCTGATACTACATCTTGGTCGACCAGGATAAGAGAGGTCATTTGATTATTTTCCCCTCAAAATAAAGAGGTTTCTAAACGAAAATACTAGAAACACAACGTATATAGTGTGAAGAAGCAAACTTGTAGTAAACGTACTATACTTCATATTTTAATCTTAAACATAAACAAATATATTTTTTCGTGCAATCTTAATGATAATCAAACATTAAAATATGTGACTTTTTCAACAAAACACAAAATTATTCAATAATATATTGTGAAAATGAAAAGATAAAAATCGCGTAACCTGCGATTATTTTATCAGAATTTTGAAATAAAAACTATAAAAGGGAAAGGTAATTGTGATAAATCATTCAATACAAGGATATTATAAAAAATGACTCCAGTAACATATATCTGTGTTTTCTCTATTTTAGTCCAGGTAAATAAATATATTATTACCTAACATTGAATATAATATATTATTTTTATTCATAATTTTAAAATAAAAATCTTTTTTACAGACGATATATGGCCAATGCATTAATGTGCATAATGGCATATACGACAACCCAGCCAATAACCCGGCCATAACTGGCATACCTAACAACTATTATGCCAACGAGTTAATCATGCCAAATGGCTTGGCCAATGGTGGTGGTTTGTTCGTTAAGAGTTCTTCACCGATAACTCCAAGCGGTGTTACTATTCAGTCAGATAATTTGTTATTCGAAGGTCCATTGGCTGTAAGTGGCCAATTGCCATTCTTAGGTGTGGTGGCATTAGAGGGACCTCTACAAGCTGCCGGATCGGGAGCGGTGGCATATGGCTGTGGAAATGGCAACGTTGGCATCACAAGCGAAAATTTAACACCAACAAGTAATGCCATCGGTGTTGGCATTGATCTGACTGGCCTCGGCTTACCTATTCATTAATTGATTACTGTTTTAATATTAAATATATTTAAGAATGTTATGTTAAAGGTTTTGTTTTATTTAACATCATTTGTAAATAATTGTTTGAATTAAAATAATATTTTTCAGGCATGACCCATTTTTATTTGTTTTTCTTTTTAGTAACTGAATTTTTATTGACTTTTTTTATGCTAAAACTTCATTCGCAATGGAACCGTGGAATATTTTGCAAATATCAACGTTTTTATTTTTTGGTTTCAGTTACTATAAGTCATTCTAATCAATTGGTTGTGTTATTATTTTTTTATGCATATACGCTGTGTCTTTAAGTGTTACAGTTGATGCATATAAAATTTTAATTAATTGTCAAAAAAGAATTCAATTGTAAAACCATTTTACAATAGATATAACAACAAAATAATTTATATTTTTTATAAAACTTTAAAGTTTCAAGATCCTATAAAACATTTAGTTGTTGAATTATAAAAGGAAAATATTGAACCAATAGGTATAGAAATTACTTAAAAAGCAATAACTACATTATCATTGTTCAAGTACATAAGGTATGAAGTATGATATTACTCATTGATCAGCTGTTTCAAAAGTACTTAAATTATCTTTTACAAACATCCAAGTATACATACTGCAATATATATAACAAATGAGGTTAAATCAAAAAAGGTTATATAGCTATCCAAATCTTTATTCATTCGTCAGCTTGTTTAAACGATCAGAAATAATCTTTATATGTAGCGTCCGCAACCGCAGGCGCTGCTTCCAGTGATGGAGACGGTACCAGCGGCGGGCAGGTCACCAGCGAAGCGAACAGCTCCGAGTATGGGCACCTGTCCAGCGACGAGGGTGGTACCAGCGACGGGCATCTCACCAGCCACCGCTATGTCTCCTATACCACTACCGCCATAAGCACCAGCACCAGCTAAGCCAGCTAAAGAAGCTGGATAACCGAAAGCTGGGGACAGACCAGCCTCCAGAGCGTATGGACCAGCTAAACCAGCATCCAAACCGAAGCCATTGATTCCAAGACCTGCTTCTAGAGCATAAGGACCTGCAAGTCCATAGCCAGCTTCCAAGGCATAAGCATTGGCTGGACCGAAGGCAGACCCACGCAAGCATTGGCTGTAGACATTCTGAAAACAGATATTTATTAAGTAAAACACTACTAAATTATTCTAAGTATACTTTGCTTGAAATCTATCTGCGTTCTTCTATTTCTTTTCGTCTTTTAATAAACAATTTGAGCAGATTTATTTCATTACTTTTACCTGTACGAAGCAAGCCTGGATGGCAAGGACTAAGAACCCAAAGGTGTTCATGATGCAAGATTGTAATACGCTTTGAACTGTACTATGCCTATGTATTAAACATGCCCTATATTTATATGCCTATAAATGAAGCAATTGTTTATCAACAGAAAATTACAAAATATTTCAATGAACTAGGTAGGTTTGAGTTAGAATAATAATGGAGGATTCCTTGCCTAGCGTATGATAAATTGTTTAAATTAATATAAAATATTAGTACTATATAATCAGTGGCGGCCTAGTGGTTAAAAGGCCCGCCTCTCATGCATGAGGGCGCGGGTTCGATCCTAGCAAGTACCAATGTGATGTTTTGGAGTCATATGAACTTTCTAAGAGTATTTAGATATCACTGATTAATGCATTCCCAAAGAGGGTTGATGTCAGGCAGGCGGCCGGTCAGAAAAAACAATTAGCCAAAACTATTCACAACATGTAAGGCAGACCCTGGCTAAATCTGGGAAATTGCCAGGTAGAATATAAAATATTAGTACTGTTAATGATGGAAATGTATATATATAATCGGGGCTAGTGCAAAACCGCATAACTGGCATTGGATAATTCCCCTTATCTGCGTTGGAAGCAGATTGTCACAAGAAAGTTTAACCTGAATATTTTTATAAATAAACGACTTTTAAGGTATTTTTTTCAAAATTAGTAATTATTTAGTGTTTAATTTATAAATTTGTATATCACCTCTCTTTAGTGAGCCTTAGTGAGGCAATTTTCATTCTCTCCAACTATCCCTACTTAAACAAAGAAACTTTCTACTTAAATGACACTTATCTTATAAAACCTTCTTTTCTAGGCTTTTATATAATCAGATATATGTATAACTATAATATATTCTTGCTACTTTACCAACTAATAACACAAATTTTTAATATTTATAAAATGATATAAAATTTATTTATATTTTATATTAAAGATGTGACACATTAAAATGAAGCAACGTTTTAAGAATAATAAGCATTTTTATTATGTTATTTTTACTATTCAGCAACCATTATTACTCATAGACACTTTCATTTATATTAGCAAAATTATCCGACTAACGGACTTTTATTTAAAATTACGTATTTTTACGAAGAGGGAACAAAAGGTGTAAGAACAATACCCCAATTTGAAAATGGATATAAGAGTTATATTGCTTTCTTTTACATAAAAAAATTTTTCTTACAATCATTATCATCAATTACAATTTTTACTAAATATTGAATATATAAGAAATCATTCTAAGATTTTATCTCTAACTGACCTATTGACCAATTGTCACAAAGTCACGTTTATTACGAAGGCTTGCATGATTTCGACATGCACATTGTTATCTGGACACTACTACACTACGCGTAATATAATATCTAAGTAACAAGTTAATCATTGTCAAGGTTTTTTGACTATATGCGATGATAAAGAGTTTTTAGTTAATTCAAATTTTAGCCTTCCTTTTTCCTACGCCTTCCCTTTTCCCTCCCTTTCCCAATTTTTTCTCCTTCTCTCCCCTAATGAAGGAATGCGATACATTCACAATATCTTTTATGTTACGAATGTCCATGTGCAGTACTACCTTCGTCATGTAGCATCCTACTCGGTTGCTCCTTTTAACATATAAAAACGATATCCTTTTAAACAAAGCTAAGAACCTATAGGAACGTATACGTACAGAATGTTCCACTGATGGCTCTTGTTTTTAAGCTATATCCCTACTAATATTATAAATGCGAAAGTAACTCTGTCTGTCTATCTGTTACGCTTTCACGCCTAAACCACTGAAGTGATTTTAATGAAATTTGATATAGAGATAGACTTGACCTTGAGAAAGAACCTAGGATGGTTTTTATCCCAGGCTTTTGAAAGGTTCTCTTGGAAACGCGATATAACCGAACTTGACGCGGGCGAAGCCGCGGGCGGAAAGCTAGAATATACAATATATTGTTAAGCTATATATATATATATATATATATATATATATATATATATATATATATATATATATATATATATATATATATATATATATATATATATATATATATATATATATATATATATACAATATATTGTAGTATATACTTTTGGCTTATATAAAGTAATGATTATGAATAGAAGTTATTCTTATAATCATTACTTCAATTATACCATTAACTCGGATCATACATATTATGTACACTAAACATCGATGGAAAAAAAAGTATTTGTACAATAATACAAGATAGATGTCTGTATCCTTCTTGTTAGTAATAATAGTTCTGAAAGAAATATTTATTACTTCTAGTGTTACTGCTTTTTAGTGTTAATCTTTTGACAGATTTGACTTTGATAGATTTTTTAATACAATACGAAGAAAACTATCAATCTGTTTCATGTCCTATTTCATAATCTTAGAGGTGGCAGTGCCCAATTTATTGTAGCTCGAACATGAACTGGCTTAACTAGGAAAGTACCACCCTCTCACAGAAGATCTGCGTGGTGTGGTTAGTATTATTTAACAGGATAGCTATTGGAACATCTCAGCCTGTCACCATCCCTTCACTTCAAGGTCTACAATGCGTCCGCAAAATCCATGATCCAGAACTTCCAGATGTCAATAGGTGATGGTAACTACTTTTAATCAAATACGCCATCTGCTCGTTTATCCCCTTTACCGATAAAATCTGCTTATATTCCTGGTTTTTATTTCAAATATACACCTCTATATTATCTTAATAACATAGAAAAAAACTGCTGCTCCAGATATCAATCCTAAGTTATTGTTATTACCTAAGTAAATACACATATATAAATTAAATAAAAACAAAGCGGGAGGTTAAAATTATTATGTATTAAACTTGAATTAGTACATTTTTAATAAATTAAACTATCTGATGATGGAAAAATATGGATTTGACGAAATCAATTCTGTACTAATTATAAGCTTTGTTGACTTCGACCTCTGTTGATTGGTACCAAAAATGTCCTGGCTTAGTTTATTTTTAAGACGCAGGATTAATATTGAATAGCTCTTTGAAATATTCAACAGCCTTATAAACTACAACTTAGGTTTATAGGTTTTATCAACAAAATTACAAATAAATAATTATAGTACAATATAATGTTACATAAAATGATTGGAGGTACAAAGTGTGGTGGTCATTCAAATTATAATTTTAAAGGTCTAATAATTCTACCATCAATACTTTTTGCTATTCATTAAGTTTTAATGAAAATGGAATAGTATTAAATTAATAAGAGTGTGTGATCAGGAATTTCGTTTATTGATTTGATCGTTTGTTGTTTAGATGAGACGGGATCCGCAGCCACATCCAGCTCGTGCATATGGACCAGCCAGAGCAGCGTTGTATCCTAATGGACCAGCTGCGAGGCCAAGGGCACCAGCTCCGTAACCGAGAGCACCAGCTCCGTAACCGAGAGCACCAGCTCCGTAACCGAGAGGACCAGCCAGAGAGTTGAATCCATCGGCACCGATGTCTTCAGACAACATGGCGACTTCTCCGTTACCGGCACCGTAAGCCACTGCACCAGCACCGGCGGTGGGCAGGGCGCCTTCCAGAGATACGGTTCCCAGGAATGGAAGGGCACCGGCGACTGAGAGAGGTCCTTCGATGGCGTTGTCTGATCGTAGGGACACTCCACTTGGTGGGATCATGGAGGCGCTGGCTGTAGGTAGAGATCCGTGAGAGGCAGAAGCGGCAGCGGGTCCGTAACCGGCACCATAGAGGGCACCACTGGCGGCAGCCCAAGGAGCGTCCAAGAGACCAGCACCGCAAGGACCAGCGGCGAAAGGAGCAGCAGACATAGCGGCCCAGTTGGCTGCAGACAGAGGAAGGTCAGCGGCGAGGGGACCGAAACCAGCTCCGAGACACTGGCCAGCGATGGTCTATAAAAAGTAATATAATTAAATTTCATATATATATTGCATTATTATTTCAAAAAAAATCATTTTATTGGACCTAAAACTATTTGACTCAGCTCATACCTGGACGAAGAGCGCTTGAGCGCAAACTACAAGGATAGTCTTGAACATGTTGAGTGTTGGATGCCTGGACCCTGACAATAATGAAAAAACCGCATTATTTGCTTTTATACCAACATATTGTGTATAAAACTTCTTATCACGCCTACTCACCTGTAACAAAATGGACGTGACCTACCAATGAAACCATCACTTACTAATATTACGCGAGACATTCAATGTAAGTTACAAAAAAAGGGTAAATAAATTTATGTATTACTCTCTTTCAAAGGACCTGTTACCATTTTTATCAATGATTTTCTGTATAATATGTTTATGTAACATCTTCAAATGAGGAACGAAGATAGTCACCGTCGCAAATGGATAACTGAAACATAAAAGATGTTGTGGATATGTAGTCGACTTTGATTTTAGGAGAGGAAGAGGAAAGTGTTGGAAAAAGACAGGAGAGAGGTGGGAAAAGAGAAAATGCCTCCGTTTCTGTCACTCATTCGATTCGAAATTAGCTAAAGATTCAGTTTTAGTTTTGTCTCAATATAATATCGTTGTAGTTTTATTAAAATCCTTGCTAATCTGATATAAATATCGTATATTTAAAAACTTTTATTTGTTTACTTTAATTTAATTGGTAAATATTATTCATTAATCATCATCATCAATATATATTATAAAATGAAGTCCCCCGCCTCGTCTGTCTGTTCGCAATAAACAGAAAAACTACTGCACCAATTACCAAGTGGTTTTTACCACACCATAGTGTGATTCTCGAGAAAAGGTTTTAACATTAACTTATTAAGGTTTTGTATTGATTTGTATGTACATTAACGTTATTTGTTGAAGATGTCGGGACAAAATGAGCCGTCTGGGATCTTTTAACGAAAACGATGTGAAAACTCTTTGAGATATAACAAAACAATGTATAGTGGAATTGTGTATCTAATATTGGTCTACAGAAAGGACGCAATGTCATATGTCTATCTCTTAAGGATAACATACTGTATCCGTTTTACTACTTTTAAAAACTGCATTCATACAGCGTTTATAGGAAAGCTATTTTCATAATTACAGTATTAAGTCTTATCAAAATAAATTACTTCGTGTTCAAGCCTACATCAGCATCAATAAATTAATTTTTGAATTATTTAATTCGGAACTAGCATTTAAAAGTTATCATAAGTTTAATAATTCTCAAAATTAAATCCACGCGATAGATCAATTTTTCACATGATCACGTCATTAATGTTGTATATAATATTTTGGTAATTTTATTACATTATAAAACTATTATTAACATATAAATATGACGTTTCTCTAAGTTCAAACTTATTTTATGTTTAACGAATAAAGATGATGAAATTTTTGTTTGTATTCAGCGCATTATACGCAACATAGCCTATTCTATATATACTAAAGGACCCCTGCGAAGCTGGAGTGGGTAACTAGTTATTAATAAAATCGAAATGGATTAAAACAGTATATATTCGTGTATAACCGGAGTATATATTAGTAGTGTATAGCTTCAGAATCTCCACTAGTAAGATAGTAATCTATTTATCATCACAAAAACTATTCTTTTTACCACGCCTTCGTAACTTCACCTATGTTTGTTTCTACTATATAACCGACTCCTTTGAACTAAATTTTAACCCACTTTTAATGGTTAAATTTCATTTAAAGTTGGTAGACTTATAAACCGATGATAATACAATAATTAAATAATGTTATTCCACTATACTAATTAGGTTCCACTGAACTTAATTATATTTTCTGGCATCCTTTACGTCAGAGTAAGAGAGATAGTCCAAACGCGTGGTCTTGCGCATGCGCACTTTTCTCATTCGACCTCAGGGCTAAAATCACGCTTCTTCTGTTAGACGAACTAAATAATAGAAAATAAATATATGTTTACAGAAACTAAAAACAAACACTTTTTTTTAATAAATAAACCGAACTATAAAGAGAAAAGAATTTTGAAAATAATTAAAATCATGGATAAGAGTGATAAACAACAGAAATTATATTAATATAAATTTTGAGGTGCTTTCTGAAAAATATTACTTTAATGTCAATATTCCTATCAGTATTTTGTTATATGAGGCGAGTTTGCGCTGTAACTAAGAGAACACAAATTCATGTATACATGCGTCAAACTTTCTTACATTAAAATTATTTATTTTATTTATGTATCTCTCTTATAATTATTTAATATTTTGAAGAACTGGTTATTTGTAAAATATACAGTGCGAAGATTTAACTAACATCAGTTCATTTTTGGAACAGACAAGTCTTTTAGTAGGTTGTAGAGAGATTTAGCTGTTATACCTCTCGCTCCTACCTTTACCTCGTAAAAATTTGTACTTAGTGAGCTTGTAATATTTATTGACCTTGATGGTATGGTCTTTGGGGATGTTGGTTTCCTAAGGAACCCTAAGCTTTATTAGCACAATGTCTTTTAAAATTCGCGAATATAAAAATATGTCTGGTCTAAACGCCGACGCAAAAAAATCCTTTGGGATTTAATATCGCTTCTCATATTACATATATGTTTAATATGATAAAAAATAGAATTTATCAACCATTACTGAATGAAATTGATCATTTGAACAACGGACGTGACAAAATTAAACTCCATTTGTAGGTTATTGCCACTTATGTAATATGATAACAAAAATTGTTAAGTAATAATGAAATATGTTTCAATACGTAATAATTAAATTAAACTTTGATTAAAACATTCATAATACTTATCCTTTTTATATGTATATCGTAAAAACATAATTTTTTAGACGTGAGGAAACAAATTTTTTATTTATTAACATAAAAACTTACGCGTTAATTGTCTTTTAAGGATTGTATCAGCAAATGAGACACTTCAAGCGATCTTTGGTCTAAAATACATTAAATTATTTTGTAAAAGAAATTATATAATTCTTATGCTATTAATTATAGCTAATAAGCCCTTCAACTTTCTAAGAGTATTTAGACACTACTGACAGACGGTGATCGAAAACATCGTGAGGAAACATGGACTTATAATTTCACAATTTTAAGTTTGAAATCACCAACCCTTCCTGAGCAAGCGTGGTGATTAATGCTCTTACCTTCTATATATGAGAAAGGCCTTTGCTCAGCAATGGGCCCTGATAGGCTGATGATGATTAAGAAGATGAACACTTTAAAATAACTGGTTTTCAAATTACGAGTAAATGAATCTCATTGAAAGCGGTCGATCCATTTGTGAGCCACAAAATAACACAAGCAGATACGACATCAAACTTAATAAACCCCCTCTCCTTGCGTCGGAGTTTAATCATGATAGAAGAGCAATTCTTCTCAAAATACGTAATAGCGAAAAGTCCATTAATAACAATCAAAATATATGTAATTATACTGATAGGTATAATCTGTATAAAAAAATAAAAGTTCTTAACAAAGAGCCTACAAATACTGTCAAAACGTTCCATTAAAGCCATTTTCAACAATGAAGGTAAATTAGAATAGTGCAATAAACATGTTATATATTGTTTAGATGAGGACAAATGAAAAAAATATATATGCAAACGTCATTTTTATTTCTTCATGGGATATTGTCATGGATTTTAGTAGAGGCGAGCATCGCAACCGCAGGCGCTGCTTCCAGTGATGGAGACGGTGCCACCAGCAGCTACAAGACCTCCGAAACCAACAGATCCTAGGATTGGAACCTGTCCAGCGACGAGGGTGGTTCCAGCGACGGGCATCTCACCAGCCACTGCTATATCACCAATTCCAGAACCGCCATAAGCACCAGCACCAGCTAAGCCAGCTAAAGAAGCTGGATAACCGAAAGCTGGAGACAGACCAGCCTCCAGAGCGTATGGACCAGCTAAACCAGCATCCAATCCGAAGCCATTGATTCCAGCCAGACCTGCTTCTAGAGCATAAGCCCTGGAATCAGCAAGTCCAGCTAAACCTCCTCGCAGACACTGGCTGTATACATTCTAAAAAAATAGAATGAAATATTAGAAACACTTTTATTTGCTAAATGTAAATCGGCAATTAAATAAGATGTCAAATGAAATATATTATGGCAATCATTGGATACTAATTGAAGCAGTTTTTATGCTGAATTTTAAAATTATAAGACTATGCAATCAAAACTATTATAGACAAAGAGCAATGAAATATTAGTGGAACTATCTCAACATTTGTCAATCCTTTTAAATTAGTTTACTAGAAGACTTATCCAGATTCTAGAAGTCTAGAATTAATGAGAACTGCTCTTACCTGAACCAAGCAAGCTTGGATGCACAGCAAGGCTACAGCGATAGGAGACATCTTGGTTTGTATACCACAAATTGAGTTTACAATGATGAATGACCAATAACCATTGCTTTTATACTAGAAACAATCAGCTTCTAATATATTTTTTTATTGTTGATATGTAAAACGTGCTTTTGTTCCATTTTTTTTATTTATTGAAATTACGAAATTAATTTTTAATAAAAAAAAAAGATCTATTATGCCTATAATGGTTTTTTAAGTACATCTGAAGTGTTATATTTTATTTAAAATTAAGTGAAAACTTTTGAAGAATGGGTAATATTACCAAATGTTTTATATGACTTTAGTTGAATGTATACAAACATTGTCTAATAGAAGTAATGAGATCATTAAGTACATACTAAATTGAAATCAAAATAGGATTAGCAATTTGCAAAGAACACAAGAATTCTATGTACATATATCTTTCGTTTTACAACTTGATTAACTTTGAATTTTGTTTTAAGACAAGGTAAAATTTCTAAATTAAATAAATAGTTTATTCAAATAATTCACTAATTTGCACCAAAAGTGAAATTATCTTTAGCTGTTCTAATAATCCATAATTTGGTATGATGTTAAAAGTTGTAAAGAAAATAAACAATTTATTAAGTTATAATTAGACATGCCTCCAGACACAAAAACATAGAAAAATATAGAGGTGAAATAGACAGTAAACAATATCAGTATAAATATGAATAAATGAATTAATAAGATTATCAACTAAAATGCAAAAAACGTAGTTTTATTACCATGTGTATTCGAGATAATCTAAGCCATCATTAAAATCTTCATCATATAAAGACAAAAGTGATAGAGATTATTACTTTTGGTTGTTATCTTTTAAAGATTAACAGATATCACAAAAGACATGAATAAGTTGAAGTATATTTTAATATGAGAGGCATTTGTAAATCTTTATCAGAACAAATATCTACTGTTGTGGGTTATTAAAACACACAAATCAAATGTACTCTTTCTTCATACCAATTTCAGTCTATGGGTCACGTTTTTGAATAGATATAATATTACTAGGAAAATAATGCGTGTGATATATTTTTTGTAACTTGTTCGTATATAAGCCTATACTTTGTTTTTTAAAACATTGTCAAAGTAACAGACCACAAGACAACATGTTCAAGACTATCCTAGTAGTTTGCGCTCAAGCGCTCTTCGTCCAGGTATGAGCTGAGTCAAATAGATTTAGATCCAATACAATGCAATTTTTTTTAAAGAATAATGCAATGTATATTTGAAATTTAATTCTATTACTTTTTATAGTCCATCTCTGGCCAGTGTCTCGGAGCTGGTTTCGGTCCCCTCGCCGCTGACCTTCCTCTGTCCGCTGCCAACTGGGCCGCTATGTCTGCTGCTCCTTTCGCCGCTGGTCCTTGCGGTGCTGGTCTCTTGGACGCTCCTTGGGCTGCCGCCAGTGGTGCCCTCTATGGTGCTGGTTACGGACCCGCTGCCGCTTCTGCCTCTCACGGATCTTTACCTACAGCCAGCGCCTCCATGATCCCACCAAGTGGAGTGTCTGTACGATCAGACAACGCCATCGAAGGACCTCTCTCAGTCGCCGGTGCCCTTCCATTCCTGGGAACCGTATCTCTGGAAGGCGCCCTGCCCACCGCTGGTGCTGGTGCAGTGGCTTACGGTGCCGGTAACGGAGAAGTCGCCATGTTGGCTGAAGACATCGGTGCCGATGGATTCAACTCTCTGGCTGGTCCTCTCGGTTACGGAGCTGGTGCCCTCGGTTACGGAGCTGGTGCCCTTGGCCTCGCAGCTGGTCCATTAGGATACAACGCTGCTCTGGCTGGTCCATATGCACGAGCTGGATGTGGCTGTGGATCCCGTCTCATCTAAACAACAAACAATTAAATCGATTTTTCTCATCAGACACTCTTATTAATTATTTCACATTCCTTTAATTTTCTTTAATACTTTTTAAAAAGATTCAGTTTGTTACTTGCGAGTGAATTCTAGCGATTAGACTTTCAAATTTGTGTTTAGAGAAAAAATAATATATTAAAAAAGGCTATTACATTGCAACGATCTATATTAGATGCGTCACGGCAGACCCTGCTTAAAGCTGGAAAATTGCCAGTAAAAAGAAGATATTAGATGCGTCACGGGATTTCAGACATGATACAACATTCATTTATTCCTTTGAGACATACACAGAACTCTCTGAACTAGTAACTTGGTTTCTTACATTTGAGCTATATCTTTACGAAGTTTTGTAAAAATCCCTTTCACAGAATCTTTTGAAAATTTAACAAACAAGACGATGTTATTTACAATGTAAGTAGACATATAACTATCAACATCACTTCCTAAGCCCAGAAAAAAGTGATATTTTTACCCCGATTCTATGAGAAGGTGGTACTTCCCCGGTCGAGCCAGAGCACCTTCGATCTGTAGTAACTTGACAACAACTGGACACTACTACCTACAAAAGTCTTCATCCTAGATCGACACAAAATTTTAGAAACATCACTGTGGGCATGTTTAATGTTAGTGATAAAAATTCAGCATATTTCATATCGATGGATGCACAGCTATACACATATATCAATGTTTTTTACACTCTTATAGATTAAGTGCCGAACGGATTCCAGGAAAAAATTTCCAGGAAAAACTTTGTATACAGTTTCCTTGAATGCGTGTCTTCCAATGATATTATATTATAAAAAAAGGTATTATATTATAGTATAACATCATTGGTATCTTCATATTTATAGTTTACAGATGAAGCATTCAAGTTTGATTTACATAACTATTCTTATTTTAATACACAAAATCTGGTTACCGAGCTTTGCTCGGTATTTAAGAATTATTAGTATTTATTTTGTGTTTTTTTTTTCGTTTAAGCATTTTTAAGTGAACACGTTAAGAAGACACAAATAAAAATAAGGGCGAATATACGGTATTTGGTTTTTTCGTGACCCAGAAGGAAATGTTATCGGTTCCATTCAATTTTTATAATTTTTTTATTTGACACTATTTTAAAATTAATAATCACAGGGGCCAGACGATTATTTTTTTCAGTTTTATAAGCACCAGAGGGAAATGTGTTACCAGAAGAGTGACACTGTTGTCAGAGTATAGTCACAAATCAAAGCAGGATATTGTCATACCATTAATTACTAGCTAAGAAAGTTGACTAATATTAAATGAAACGTCTATTTACTTCTATTTATTTATTTAAAAAAATTGTCACTCCTCTGGCTATAATATATGTAGAAAAGTGACAAAATCACACATAATGTATTAAAATTAACATCACTCGCTTTTCTTACAACAGTTTAAGTTAATATTTGACATCTACGGACAATAAACATTGATTATAGAAATTAACAATTTCGTAACGATAAAATACAAATATATATGCTTACCAAAGGAAATACTCCAACAACTGGCACAAAATTACTTTCCGAAAGTTTAACGAAAACTGATCCAATTTTTTTAATTTTGCTCTAATTATTTAGAATTTATTCTTTAAGATCAAAAGCACAAAGTTGTGATTTTCAATAAATTTTTAAGTCTTTGATTTCCGCCAGATGAAGTGACTGAATTGTAACATGACTCGAAAATAAGTTATATTATTTTATATTAATAAATATTTTTACTCTTAATTTTGTTAAAATATGTTTCTTAATTTTGTTAAATATTAAAGCCTATGTCCACATTAAATAAAAAACATAATTGTGTACTTTTTGAAAGTATTCAGCCATAAGTTCATTTTTATTCATAAATGGGAAGGCCAGAGGTGTATACATTTAAAATATTATTAAAATTAAATAATTATCGTGAATAGTCTTTGTGGGCCAGATAAAATGCCATATTATTTATTGTTTAAGCATGTAGAGACAATTATATAATAATTTTCACATAAAATTTGTCTATAGACCAATGGAATTCAAATAGCGTATATTCACCCATAAATCAATAATTAATTTCTTGGTCTAACCTCAAAACAAACACTCGTTGACTTCCTGGTACTTAACAACGCCATCTGCTGTTCTGTCGTTAAATCAATTAGTAAAAGCAATTAGCAAAAACTAGTATTACTATTCGCCAATAGATGTCAGGAAGAGTCATATTTTAAACGAGTCCTGTTTGTATTTTTTTAAATAAAATAACAGTAATAAAATAACATTTTCTAAGAGTGATTGATAGCTAGATCGATTTATCACCCCCGAAATCCCCTACATACTAAATTTCATGAAAATCGTGGGAGCGGATTCCGAGATTCCAATAAATATGTATACATATAAATACAAGAATTGCTCATTTAAATATAAAAGATTAATGATGTTCTTTCAAACATTTCCGCGGTTCACGAGCTGAAATAAACTATGAAGTACACAATATTAATCAGACTAATGTTCTATATTAAAATTTTGGTCGACAATATGGCAGAACTGTATTACTTGTTAACCACCATATTTATGTACACAATAAAAAATATTTATACATATTTAATTTAAAGTTCATTGGTCTGTTGACAGCTGTCTAAATTTTATCTAAGTTTTGTACCTTCCGTAAGCAATTTTGTTGTGAATTGATATATATAATAAATAGAATTTGATCAATTCATCATGACAGTGACAATGAGTGTATACATCACGTATTCATTGTGAAGTAGGTCCAGGTTAAGGAAATATTCTAAAAGAAAGATGGCTTCATATAATGGAAACTACACCAACACACAGAGAGCAAAACACCTTTGTGATGCTGACCACCTAGAGGCCAAGCTGCAGCATGTAAGACGTGCTCTGACCATCAACAGCCTGCCCGTGCCTCGCCAGCATCGCAAGAATCACTTGAAACCACCCACAGTTAAGCGATAACCTGGATGAAGGTTATCGCTTAACTGTGGGTGGTTTGAACCTGACAGAATAGGCAACATCTTAAAGAAATTTTCGCTCTTGACTATATAGAAACCACACAAAAAAGTGAGCCAATTCTTGAGACCTACCAAGAGTACCTTTCCTTTAAAATAAGCGGGTGTATACAAACTCAATTATGACTGTGGCTTGTCATACATTGGACGGAAAGTCAAAGAGGAGCTTCGGTACAATGATGAAGGAACATATCTCAGAATCAGCAGTGAACACCCAATGGACAAACCAGGCCACTACATTCGGTTTAATAAACCACAAATCCTCGCTAAAGAAGAAGACAAATACATACCGAGGTTAATCTGTAAGGTTATTGAAATTAAAAAACATCCCAGTCTTAAAAGAAAAGATGGCTGGAATCTATCATACACCTGGACCCCCCCCCCCTTTAAAAATATAAAATGACCACACTGCAGAACATAGTGAGATCATTCTGCAGGCATCCAGAACGAAACTCATTCTACAGACACCCGATAAATAACAAGACCTACTGAAAGATTTATATCTCGTCTGCTTGTGATCAAAGATGCTGTAAAGTAACCAAAAGTTCGGGAGTATGTAGATTTTAAAAATAATAAAATACTCGTAGTAATCCTAAAATATAAGTTTCATTTAAATGAATACTCTCGAAAGTCTTAGATCTCATTATGCTTTCATGAAATTCTTGTGAAAAAAGCTAAGCATAAATTGTTAAACGGGATTGAAAGAGACAGCAAATATTGGGGGATTGTGTAGAATGTAGATGCTTTGGGGGTGAATTGTAATTTCATTTAGTTAGAATAGTGATTTTTCAGTAGGTGAAAAAGTGGGGATACTACAAAATAATTTATTAACAGAGTAGGCAGTAGACAAAATAAGCTTAGATTCCTCTGTAGAACGTCACACTCACTTTTCGAAGACGATGAAAAGCTGATGAAAAGTCAATATAACTTGCACAAGAGTTTGCAGTCTGCTGATAGTGAATAAACAAATGAGCTTCTGTGTATTTAGGTAGATGTTTTTTTTTTATCTAAAGACTAATGTTATCGAAATTATATCTGTGATGATCTCATTACTACAAAAAGACTGTGCATCTAATTTCGATTCAAATAAATTTTTCCTATATAATTTTGAGAAAAATCAGTTTCTTTAAGTTTAAAAGCGTAGCAGAGAAACTCAAAGTTTTATTAACACTATGCAAAAAAAATAGAGAGAGGTGACGTTGATATATAAGAAAGCATATAACTTCCTTTTTAGAAAAAGAAACTTTGTGTTAGCCAAATGTTTTAATGAAATCCAGGTTGTACAGTATGTCTATGATCAGGTAATTATATGTAGCATCCGCAACCACTGCTGCCGGTAATGGAGACGGTACCAGCGGCGGGCAGGTCACCACCGAAGCGAACAGCTCCGAGTATGGGCACCTGTCCAGCGACGAGGGTGGTTCCAGCGACGGGCATCTCACCAGCTACTGCTATATCACCAATTCCAGAACCGCCATAAGCGCCAGCTAGACCAGCAGCTGGGTAACCGAAAGGAGCTGGAGCCAGACCATCCAGCCCATAAGGACCTGCAAGACCTGCCTCCAAGCCATAGGGACCTGCGAGTCCTGCCTCCAAACCATAAGGACCTGCTAGACCAGCTTCCAAGCCGTAAGCACCTCGGTAGCCAAGACCGGCACCATAAATAGAGTTCAAGCATTGGCTGTAGGCATTCTGTAAAAGGAACACATTAAAATTTCTGCAGAAATATAAATAAAAGTATGCTTGTTTTCAATTTACCTGAACCAAACAGGCCTGGATGCAGAGAAGGAGGACGGTGTAGGAGTTCATTGTGCTGTATTTCCAACGACGTTGAATGTACAATGATTATTTTGAAAAAGTAATGGCTTTTATACCATGTATTTGTGTAATAATTTGATATAACAACGTCTTATTAAAACGTGCCTTAGCACTTATTTTTTAACGCCCATGTTTTAGAAGTCAAAAATTAAAATTGACGTAATCATAAACACAAAATTAATTTCTTAATTGTCCATTCACCCTCTATATCTGTTACGAAATGAAATATCAAATGAAATATGTAAATTTCTGGCACAGACTTAGACCAAATAAGGACTTGGAATATAAAGTTACATTTATTAGAGAAACAGAAAATTGAAACAGAAAATTACGAAAAACATTCCAAATCTTACCCCTTAAACCTACACCTGGGTCACAAGTCCCAGACACTGTAGAAGCTCCTCTCTCTACAACGATGGACCCGGCACCCGCATGGTGAATATATGAAATGATGCGATGTTTCGTCTCATTTCTTTCTTACTCCTGAACATTACCAAAATTTTCAAAAATAATATTAAAGAAACATTTCAAAGAGTTTTTTCTTATCTAGAAATATGATAACATCAAAATATATTTTTTAACTAAAATATTTCGGTAACTTTACACTGATGTAAAATCCATGAAAGTCACGTAGCATTGCGTTTGTTAAATATTATATTTGTTGGTAAATATTTTTGATTACATATATACATACATATATAAGCCTACAGAACTCTCTCAAATCATTGTCAAGGTTGTGTCAAGACAAGTAACAACAATGTTCAAGGCTACTCTCCTGGTCTGCGCTCAGGCGCTCTTCGTTCAGGTGAATTGAAGTCTTCATATTAACGAACTGCTATTATTATTTAACATTATTCATAACTTATTCTTTACTTTCCTTCCAGTCCATCGCTGGACAGTGTCTCGGAGCTGGTTTCGGTCCCCTCGCCGCTGACCTTCCTCTGTCCGCTGCCAACTGGGCCGCTATGTCTGCTGCTCCTTTCGCCGCTGGTCCTTGCGGTGCTGGTCTCTTGGACGCTCCTTGGGCTGCCGCCAGTGGTGCCCTCTATGGTGCCGGTTACGGACCCGCTGCTGCTTCTGCCTCTCACGGATCTTTACCTACAGCCAGCGCCTCCATGATCCCACCAAGTGGAGTGTCTGTACGATCAGACAACGCCATCGAAGGACCTCTCTCAGTCGCCGGTGCCCTTCCATTCCTGGGAACCGTAGCTCTGGAAGGCGCCCTGCCCACCGCTGGTGCTGGTGCAGTGGCTTACGGTGCCGGTAACGGAGAAGTCGCCATGTTGTCTGAAGACATCGGTGCCGATGGATTCAACTCTCTGGCTGGTCCTCTCGGTTACGGAGCTGGTGCTTTCGGTTACGGAGCTGGTGCTCTCGGTTACGGAGCTGGTGCCCTTGGCCTCGCAGCTGGTCCATTAGGATACAACGCCGCTCTGGCTGGTCCATATGCACGAGCTGGATGTGGCTGCGGATCCCGTCTCATCTAAATTGCATCAGATTCCATATAAATAAAACGAGTAGTCATGAGCACTTATTAGTTTATTTTCAAAGTATACTGCCTTTCCTCACTGACTTATGTAAAACATAATACATATTCATAGAATATACATATGCATAATGCATGTTTTATTTTTATATTTGCCAGTTCTTTTTCTTATAGTTGATACTAATTGTTTTGGCATTTGTATTCAAAACATGCAACTCTGGTTTTTTATCAAACTCCTCAAGTTTCCAACGATAGTTCTTTCTTTCTTAACGGCATTTTACATACACAACACAGTTATAGAGTGATAAAGATTTAGAAGATTTAATTAGACCTCATCATCCCGTGGTCATAGCCCCGAATAGTACCTATACAAATTATGCTCCCACCCAGAAATACAGATTTAACGAAAAGTAGTTAACTTGTGAAAATCTTTGAAAGAATTTGGGTACAGTGTAAATAAAGCTTAAAGATCCTGTCTTTTAATTCAAATGTAATTGAAATATTACTTATGTTTTTGGTTATATTTCTGTAAGAATTATTTGTTATTGGTTTGTTAGTATAGTTACAAAGTTGTCTAAAAATGTTTTGTTGAACAAACATATTTTTGTTGGCCTATTTAAAGATATCAGACTATTGATTAAAATAAAATGGCTATAGGCAGTGGCGTGAAAAGAGATTTGGGGTAGGGTAAGCAGAATATGTATAAAAAAAATAATTCATAATTTTCCTTTCTACAACATTAATAATAATGAGATCTTTCGTAATTATTCATTTAAATGAAAATAATATTTTCGGATTAATAAACGTAGTTTATTATTTTTAACAGGCAGACGAGATGTCTGCCGTGACCGTTGCTGCAAAGTAATCAAAACGTCGGGAGTAAGTAGTTTTTAACATATTAAAATACGCGAAGTAATCAGAAAATATTTATTTCATTTAAACATTCATAATATTCGCGCATAATGTTACAGCTCCGATCGGAACGAACATCTACATCTAATATATAAAATTCTCGTGTCACAGTTTTCGTGCCCATACTCCTCCGAAACAACCTGACCGATTTTGATGAAATTTTTTGTGCTTATTCGGTAGCTATGAGAATCGGCCAACATCTATTTTTCATCCCCCTAAATGTTAGGGGTAGTCCACCCCTAAATTTTTTTTTTTTTATTTTTTAGACAAAATTTTTAATTACTATTTTTTTATGATACAACGTACAAAAATACATACAATCCTAAATTTTCACCCTTCTACGATCAACCCTTATTTTTTAATAGCTATTTTAGTAATTTAATCATTTTTCATCTCCGGTCGATAACTGATCAATCGTCATTTAATAAGTTATCCCCGCCAGATATCTACAGGTGTCACTTCTGACCCAGTAAACAGCACGGAGTAGGGATGAGAACGAAGCCGGTCTTCTGTTTCTCTCACACAATTAGACTTCTCTCACTCCCTACACAGTTGTCGGCCATCGTTATTGTTTGTGCATCAAGTGTAGTAGTAACGTTGACAATTATTATTTTGCTAGCTCAGTGTAACTCTCATATTAACTATTAATCATTCCTAATCACTTCAAAACACGGAGATTTATGGCTTTAATAGGTAAACTCCAAAAATATAAATAAAAAAACGTAACAGATATTTCTTGATTATAGGGCGAAACGAAGTTCGCCGGGTCTTCTAGTACTTTATAAATTTCTCAACTACCTATCAGCCTCGAAAATACTTTAAAACGAGTACAATCTGTTATCACAGCTTTATTAAAGATATTTAAATAGGAATACATAGTGGACATTCAAACATTCTTATTATTATCACATAAAAACAACTAAGACAAACAAAATAACTTATTTGTGAGTACACAACCTGATAACTAATTAAAACTATCATAATACTTTTTAATAAAACAAATAACATTACCTTTCTTTTAGTTCAATCTCAACTGGTCACACACCTTTCCTTTACAATTATTTTAATTTTATTATCAAACGATAATATTGAAAATCTACTGGTAATTAATTTCGATAAACACACATTATGAGCACAGATCTCTCAGCTATAATTTTCCATAATTCATTAATAAATTAATCCACTGTTTACTAATTAACTAATTAAAACTTATTCATTTGCACTTAGAAATACAAAAGACAATATTCAATAATAATAAAATGGCGAAAAAAATATATGAACAGTTACCGACCAATCAGAGTCTCGTTTCGTTTGTGAATTAACGGACTTTCTGCGACATTTTAAACAATACAAAATAATCAGTGCTTCCCGAACATTATGCATGTGTTAGTTTTACACACACACATACAAACATTTCCTTCATACATACACGAGATTTGTGAATCGTCCTTGAGAATTTTTGTATCGAAAATAAGCAGAGAGTGGTTGTGTTTGACGATATGACCTTATATTATGTGAAATTTAATAGAATTCGTATACATATTATATCAAAATACTTATATATTTTCTCTATTGGTCAGGTAGGTGGTAGAGTTTAGCTGTGGTCAAGTTGTTATAGCTAGAACATGGGCTGGCTCCACCGATGAAGTACCACCCTCACAGAGCAGATAAAGAAGCCTTTATTGGCTGCGTTTCGTACGATGAGTGAGAAAACAGGATGCCCTTTTCTTTTTCCCCTCCTTTTCCTCTCCCTTTCCCACAAGCAAGGTTAGTAACGCGTCTGCAACATCCCTTATGTTGGGGACAATGACTATCTTCCATGAAGTAGGCCGTCTGCTAATTTGCGTCCTTTGATATAAAAAAAATCCGAACACCAAATAAATATTATATTAATTTGCTTTTATTTTACAACTTTAAAATATAATGTTTAAAAGAGTCATGACGTTTTCGTAACAAAACAAGCCTTAAAGAAAACATTTTGATAATTTGAAGACCGCACCAATTTCAGTGTCATCCTAGTGTATTAACCTGATGAAAAAATCATTCTTCTCTCATAAATTGTCTTTTTGCATAGGCCTTTAGTAGAATAAAGAATGTTTGGTTCAATAAAGATGGCTTAGGGCTCAAATTAAATCGAAACATGTAAATTGTAGTGTTTAACGTAAGCTCGGAACTATAATTTGCACTACCATAGTAAAATAGCATTCAGAACTGATAGATAATTATGTATACAACACCTTAACATATCATAAACATGAATAAACGAGAGAGAAGGACACAGGTATTGGAGTCGGATGTAAATAAGAAGTAGGTAGATATGTTCAGCATTTTCTTTTATTGGTAGATGGATATGTTGAGATTTAGATGAGACGGGATCCACAGCCACATCCAGCTCGTGCATATGGACCAGCCAGAGCAGCGTTGTATCCTAATGGACCAGCTGCGAGGCCAAGGGCACCAGCTCCGTAACCGAGAGCACCAGCTCCGTAACCGAGAGCACCAGCTCCGTAACCGAGAGGACCAGCCAGAGAGTTGAATCCATCGGCACCGATGTCTTCAGACAACATGGCGACTTCTCCGTTACCGGCACCGTAAGCCACTGCACCAGCACCAGCGGTGGGCAGGGCGCCTTCCAGAGATACGGTTCCCAGGAATGGAAGGGCACCGGCGACTGAGAGAGGTCCTTCGATGGCGTTGTCTGATCGTACAGACACTCCACTTGGTGGGATCATGGAGGCGCTGGCTGTAGGTAAAGATCCGTGAGAGGCAGAAGCGGCAGCGGGTCCGTAACCGGCACCATAGAGGGCACCACTGGCGGCAGCCCAAGGAGCGTCCAAGAGACCAGCACCGCAAGGACCAGCGGCGAAAGGAGCAGCAGACATAGCGGCCCAGTTGGCTGCAGACAGAGGAAGGTCAGCGGCGAGGGGACCGAAACCAGCTCCGAGACACTGTCCGGCGATGGACTGAAAGGAAAGTAAAGAATAAGTTATCAATAATGTTTTATAATAAAAGCAGTTCGTTAATATGAAGACTTCAATTCACCTGAACGAAGAGCGCCTGAGCGCAGACCAGGAGAGTAGCCTTGAACATTGTTGTTACTTGTCTTGACACAACCTTGACAATGATTTGAAAAGAACTCTCAAGTTTTTATAGGCCTCAATAAATTAATGAAACTTTTATCAGCAATGTAGACATTTTATAATTACAATACAGAACGTGATTTTATTGAATTTATATGACTTAGAAACAAAAAACTGACAACATGTTACGATGGGACAAAATGTGTGATAAATGTTGATTGATATCTTTATGTAAAAAAGGATTTTCAATAGAAAACTACTAAGAAAAAAACAAAATCCTGGAAAGTAGGAAAAGTATATTAAATCCTACCAAATAAATTCAAATGCAAAATTTATCCATACATTTGTCAAAACCCTTTTGTCATTTGTCATTTTTGAATATAAATGAGATTTATTTTGTAGATGTATGATTGTTTGTTGGTCTTCGACACGGAAACTGCTAAATGAATTTTGATGAATCTTGTAACCTAACTTGCGTTAATCTGTTACATTTTGAATAAAAACTTACCTATTTTTTGTGCAACTATTGTCGTTGTTATGAGAGTTGAATGAAAATATCATTGTTTAAAGCACATCACCTGGTCAAATAACCGAGATCTATAAAACATATTTCATCTCGATTCAGGATAACAAAATTTGAGCATTTCTTTTATACATAAATATAATTAAAAATACATATATACGAAATTTAATACACATACATTACGTCGATCGCGTTAAATTATTTCGAAATTATGTATTATCAAAACCAATGACCTTTCTAAGTTTACGTAAAACACGTGTCGTTGTACAACGATTCTTAAAATTATTACACACATATCCAGAGTATAAAAGTGGTTCAGTTTTTGTTTAGAATCATTGTACAGTCAAAGTAAACGATCATCATGAACAGCCTAGCCATCGTTCTGCTCTTCGCCCAAGCTTGCTTGGTTCAGGTAATTAAAAAAGAATATTTTAATATTAAAAACTAATCATTCTCCATAATTAATTATTGAGACGGTAAAAATATAACAAAAAAAACTATGGGGGTCGAAAATTCGTTAAATATCACAATTTATAATATGTGTGGTTGATTAAAAGAAAAGAATTTTGATTGTTGACTTTGAAGAAAATAATATTTTAACATTAAATCATTATTCGGCAGTTCCAAGAATACCAGATCTTACATTTCAAAGGACGTAAAAAGAAAGATAGATTCTCGCTTAGTATGTAGAATAAAAAGACATAAAACTTATTTTTGATGTTCAAGTTTAGTTTTTATAGTTAGTTTATTATTAGTTTTTTTGATGTCCACCATTACGCGCAAAAAGTAATAATATTCATTAATATTTCAGAATGCATTCAGCACATGCTTAAACAACATCTATGGAGCTGGTCTCGCTTATCCAGGTGCTTATGGTTTGGAGGCAGGTCTTGCAGGTCCTTATGCTCTAGAAGCAGGTCTTGGAATCAATGGCTTCGGTTTGGATGCTGGTTTGGCTGGTCCATACGCTCTGGAGGCTGGTTTGAATCCAGCTTTCGGTTATCCAGCTTCTTTAGCTGGCTTAGCTGGTGCTGGTGCTTATGGCGGTTCTGGAATTGGGGATATAGCAGTGGCTGGTGAGATGCCCGTCGCTGGAACCACCCTCGTCGCTGGACAGGTGCCCATACTCGGAGCTGTTCGTTTCGCTGGTGACCTGCCCGCCGCTGGTACCGTCTCCATCACTGGAAGCAGCGCCTGCGGTTGCGGACGCTACATATAAATCTCTGATGAATTCTGGACTTTGAATGTTTATTAAAGAGTTCAACTGGCTACTTCTAGTTTAATTCCTCAAGCTCTCCAACAAATCGTATACTTTCAGTTAAACTGAATAAAAGAAAATTAGAATTAATAAAAGTCTGTGTAACTCAACGTCAAAAATCGCACATTTAAATGGACCAATATAACAGAATAAAAGTTTAAAACTATACTTTTACCCAATTAAAGTGTTTACTGACAATAAAATACCTAGTACTCCTTTAAGTACATAGTCTGCAAACCAAACCAATTACCGACCCAAATAAATCTTGCATTTTAATAAATATTGCAGTTAAATCTAAACGAATAGACAAACTACAATTACATAATGATACCTAAGATATTAGCTTGAACCTACACACTGAAATGAAACTTAGGTTTTAGGATCCTAACTACGAGTTTTAATTATTTTATATTTACATGAAACTACTTTGATCGTGACAAACACTCCATCTCGTTTGTCCGTGATCATAGTTGCTGTAAATGAAGCGAATCGTCGAGATTATGTTGATATAAAATAATAAAATCTCGTAGTATCCGAAAAATTTAATTTGAGTATAATTTCAATCATATTAAAATCTATATTAATGTACTGTACATATAAATAGGTGATATCCCAGTGAGGTGTGGCTATTTCCTTCGACTTTCGCGTCTATAAAACCTTTGCAAACTTATAAATGTTCTTAAATTACTTACACATACGAAAAAATAAGATAAACCAAAAACAAAGATTTAAAAAAAATCCTCCATATAATTATAATGTTAATTTTGTTTTGCTATAGAAATAAGAAAAATAAAAATCTTTAGAAAATTGGCAACATTATTCTATTTAAGTTTCCAGAAGTGACAACACTTAACATTTATTTTTATATTAGTTACCTACGGTTTTTTGTAATTTTTTACGTACCTAACTGTTTAGTAATAAAATCTTAATAATACTTTAATTTATTTAAAAGAATCTTGAGTTCATTCATTGTAACAGCCAACACAGCTGTTTTTGTTTAATCAAAATCATGTTTAGTTCAGCACTTATTAAAACCTTGAGTAATATGTAACACTATGCAATAGCATTTTTATAATTACAATGACAGCTTATTTTATTGTTTTATTTAAATCTTCTTATAGAATATCCTATATTATTAAACTTTTAACAAGAAACCCCTTATAACTCCATTTATGTACATATGTAGGCCAAGTCAAAACCTACTAAAAGTACTGATCGATGTTTTTCAATCTTATGCATTTAATCTTTCATCTCATACAGTAAAAAGTTTTAATCAATTTCGTAGTCTATCTATCGCATGTCGTATTACAGTTCGTATCAGATAAAATATCAGAAGTAAAATGTCTAAGGCTGGTCTTCAGTATATTTTTCCTCACAAAATGATATATTTCGGCAATATTTTAATGTTTTTATGATTTATCAGTTTTTTATGTAACAACGGTGCCTTATAATTAATATTTACCTGTCATTTGAATTAATCTATATATAAGTGTATTCATATTATATAAATATACTTAATTTAAAAAATATGTTATTATATTTCGTCTGCATTGATTATAATAATAAAAAAAAATATATATAAAACCTAGATCCAATTGTTTACTGAATACATCGATTTTAGATCTTAAAAATATATTATAGCACCAATTATAAGAACAAAGGCTAGAGATAATTATATATATGAAATACTTATTAGGCTAACAGGCATTTAGAAAATCTGTTATTTTCGAGGCTAGTTAAACTTTTTCCACTTCATTTTCGTTTGATCATTCAATAGCTGTTAAATTACTCAACTTAAAAGGGAATAACTATACAAGATTGAAGCAACACTGATTGTGCGTGTGTGAATAAATAAAACAACATAATGTCAACACTTTAATCTACAAATCATTAAATAACTATAGAAAATAGATGAAATTAAAACACATTTACACTTTCTCTTACTGTATTGATTACAGTTAATTTTAACTGGATGGTTTATGTTTAACTGTGTGGTTCATGTTTAACTGAATGGTTCATGTTTAACCGTGTGGTTTATTCGGTCATCCAGTAGAATCTTGAGCCAAATCTTGCAGGATGCTTCTCAGCATTCTCGGGCAAGCCTGGTGTAGCATCTGGGTATACAGCCTTTTCTTCAACTGGTGGTTTCGGTCTGAAAAATGAATGTATATCTTGAGAGTCACCTTTAGATATCATTATAGTTTTTATAAATTCTTATTCTAAAAAAACTAGAGCTATAAAGCTATATATTAATTTAAATGAATTATACATATATATAGTAGACTAAATGATTCTTTGTCATTTCATAATTTACAAATATTGTTTGTTATATAATGACAAAATTGAGCTAAACAATTATTGTATGTATATATGTGATTAATTCCAATAATAATATATGTATATAAATTTATTTTACCGGCATTATGACCAAAATACCTAAGAATACCAGTAGAACGCCACATATATATTGTAATATTAATTAAATATATTTTATAATACCTCTTAGTTTCATGAACTCGCGCCTCACAGAAGTAACCGAAGGGTGGACGTTCAAGGTTCAAGTTCTCCAGCATACACTTATCAAACACACCTTGAGTTTTACGACAGCTGAAAACAATATTAATTATTATTGAAAATGTATACAGAGGTTTTACTCAGAAAATAACTATGATAATTATAGGCAAAGTTAATATTTCAGGGATTCATCAATATTGGTTTTAAATAAAGTTAGAGATTAGCAAACAAACAGATAGACATAAAAAGAAATATTTTATTATATATACCATGTACATAAGCATTTGGTAAATAATAAATACTTTATTATTATAAACCAAAAATATTGTTATGAATGAATGAAACATAATGAATACAGAATAAGTTATACTTGATTCTTCTTTTTCCTGGCGATTTCCCAGCTTTTTAGCCAGGGTCTGCCTTACATGTTGTGAATAGTTTTGGCTAATTGTTTTTACGACCAGCTGCCTGCCTGACATCAACCCTCTTTGGGAATGCATTAATTGAATGATTAATCAGTGATGTCTAAATACTGTTAGAAAGTACATATGACTGGGAAAAATCACATTGGTACTTGGCAGGATCGAACCCGCGCCCTCGTGCATGAGAGGCGGGCCTTTTAACCACTAGACCACCACTGACTTTTATGTACATATGCATTTGATAAAAAATAGATACTTTTTTATTATAAATGGACAACATTGTTATGAATGAATGAAACATAATGATTACAGAATAAGTTATACTTGATTGATGTTGTTAAATATTAATATGTCGAGTATTGTAGGTAGATCACTTTATTATATTAAATTTCGTTATTCAGTCTTGCTACTAGCACAATACATATGTATAAGATGAAACCTCTCATCATTCAATGTATTCAGGGTGCGTGTGTCGGGTCCATCGTTGTAGTGAGAGGAGCTTCAACAGTGACTGGGACTTGTGACCCAGGTGTAGGTTTAAGGGGTCCCTATCTAACGTGCATTAATCGCTCCCCTCCACTGTCCAAACTCCTCTCCCTACAAAACCAAATTTAATACTTTTAGCAAATACTACCCATATATAAATATACTCACTGTTGCAAACCAAAGTCTCCAGAACTTTTATCGATGCAATTAGTGTATTGGTTGAATTCAGCGAGGCAGGCTTTCTTTACTTTCCTGAAGAACTCCAAAGAGCAGGCTGTGACTGCTTTACCCTCGTTGATACACTTTCGAGGATCGTTTTCCTCGAAACGACACAACATGAACTCCTGGAAAAATAAATATGATCAATGAAAAATACTTAATGTAAACCTACTTGAGGTTTATCAAATGTTTTGACTATAAGTTGTAATATATAAATAGAAATATAATGAAAACAAATAGTTTCTAATGGTAATATTAAAGTAGGTAAATAACATTTAGTATATATGTAAAAAGTTTAAATTTACGAAATATATCAATTATTATTAATTAATGAAGAGAATTAGTAATTTCATTTTCAACTGGTTCACTTGTGTTGGGAGTCAAAATACTAAATAATTTCTTAATGTATATTGTAGATATTTCTCAAACCCAGAAATTTTAAGATTTTAAACAATTTTAAAGAAATTTATCTTTATTTAACATTTTTAAGTAATTCTTTTTGTAAATAAACTCAATACCTATTAGACATTTTCATACTAGTTTTTATTAATTAAAAGTGGTCTCAAAACTAAACTTTAAGAGAATTTTTATCAAAATAATGTATTGGGGCAATAATAAACATCAAAACATAACCTATTACATATATGATTATGCAATCAATTTATACACAAACTGTGCAACAAAAACTATTGGTTAAATCTGAAATAATAATAATGAACGTAATATACTAACATTATTAGCTTGCTCGCAATATTTTCCTAGATGAAAGGACCCAGCTCGCAAAGTAGCAGTGGACAGATTGATTTCTTCCACGGTCAATTCGGACTCTTCTGGTAAATGGATGTCGGCGGTCAACACCATTGTTGTTTTATATAATCTCACTCACAATTTGGATATTCAAATCTAATTAAAATGATTTTAATTCTTCCACAATATTCGTGGAAGAAAATAGAAATGTTATGCTTATAAAACTAAATGTCAGGCAAATCGGTAAAGAGTGAGATAGACATATCTAATGTATGTGACGAGAAAGAGACAAAAAACAGTTCATGTAGATTTTAGTTTTGTCGGATGTCACAAGTTAATTTGACAGTGACAATGACAAGAATATTCCATTACACGTAAAGTTATTGAAATACAAAAATAAATTTTCAAATTTGTCAAATTATGTTTAAAACAACTTATTTTAAAGATGTAGAAAATAAAATTAGCTTGTTTTATATATGCATATTTATTTGTTTTACAATATAACGGAAATTAATTAATGACTAGACAGGATAATAAAACAGATCAGAATCATTTCAACATTGAAAACAGAAATTGTTGGTTAGAAGCATTTAATGACTGCCGAAGAAATCTTCTTGCTCTTGGGTGAACTTAGAATCATTACCTGCAAATAAAAAATAATGATACAAGTAAAAAATAATAATAATGAACGGGTACAAAAATATATTTCAATACGAAATTACCTTCATAATATTCTCTAGTTTCGTCTGGGATTTGATAAAGCTTAGGAATATCAAATCGGTTTTCCTAAAACACAGAATATAATATAAAAATCATTATTTAATTCGTATATACTTAGAAAATACCATGATTATTTTTTCACTTACTGAGTCGTAATTTCTCCTTCCCATTCTAGGAATATTTTTACTTGGAATTGTTTTAATAACATATCCCATCATGCTTTGATCGAATGGACCGTCAGCTTCACTACTTCTCCCAACCCTCGGTACATTATTTGGTTTTATAAAAGAACTTTCTACTTCAACCAAACACTGCACCAGGCAGAATGCCGCTAACGCAAGTACTGCTTTAGAAACCATGATTTAAAAAAAACTTGGAAATATGTTGCTTGTTGAACACTGTTGAGAATTGTGTGGTATACAAAATTTTTGGTGCTTTTATATACCAAAAATATATGTAAATTATCCCATTTCTATGAAATACTGCTGGGCCCGCATGTTCATTGGCAGAATACCAATAGGTAAAGATGTCTATCAATCATGGTGGGCCTATAAAGATTCCGATATTCAAATTAAAAAAAACTGGTGGTTTGACTAAACAAAAGTTTTTTAATCTATCGTGTGTAAATGTTATTACGTTAGATATTAATTCAAGATATCCTCATTCCTCATACCTTAAGGATTTATTTTTGTATCAAATAATAATTTAAATGGAACAGTTTCGACTAGTAATTCAAACTTTTTGTTTAAACAGTTTTAATTGTAGAGACTTTTAATTATTATTATAACATAGTTAACTTCGTAGATAAACAGTTTTATAATATAAGAATTATAAAATGGGATTATATTTTAAAACAGGTTGAAATATATTGAACAATATTTTTAAATTTATGAAATATACCATTGGAATCGCAAAAAAATGTAAATTCCACAGTAAACAGATTTTAATAGATTATATTTCACATAGAAATAACAATTGTGGTTTAGGCATAATATGGATGTAAGTTGCGTTTGAAATGTTTAAAAAATGCATAAAAAGCAAAGTACGAAAACATATTAGCATTATTCTTTACATTGAGTCGGAAAAAAATTATTATAAAGAAGAATAAGCGTGTTGGATATAATTAGTATCTTTTATTATTTATTTATATTTAATTTGCTATTAGATTTATATATATCTTGGGCCACCTCAAATACAGATAATCTTTTATTATACAACAAATAAAGACTAAAAAATATGTTTTAAATATATTAGTAAATTCATTATTAAATAGGTAATAAGTATTTGTAATAAGCTGTCAAATCATTAATACAGATTATTTCCGCTGACACTTATAAATTATAATATACAACCGATGTAATTCAACTGTAATTATATTTAATACTTTCGCCAGTATTCATTTAAATAAAAACATCACGTTTCATCAATCAATTACTCATCTCGTCTTTGTGATCACGGTTGCTGCTAAATAACCGACACGTCGGCAGTATGTTATTTAAATAATAAAAAAAAACGTAGTACAATCGAAACTATTAGTATTATTTAGTCAAACTCCATTCACGGAAAATGTACTTGTCAAAAAAGTACTTGTTTATTGCATTAAAATAAAAAAAGCTATTATATAACTATCTGTTATAATTAATTATTAATATTTTATTGATAGTTTATCCGACATCGATATTACTATTGTTATTTTTCTTAGGAATTTGTCGATTGCATGAATTTGCTATTTCAGTGGTTAGTATGTCAATGTCACGTTTTTGGCGCCATTTGTTTTATATCAGCTTTTTTGTGATACATTTCTTACAAGGCATACCTATTTGTATTATAATAACGTATTTTTACTAAATTAATCGTTAATCGCTATGATATATCTATAAATTGGTATAAACTAGTATCAATTTATAATTGTTTTCGTATATCGCAATTAATAATTAGACTGTTTTCATTTTTTGGAGAGTAATGTCAGAATTAATTTATTGAGTACATATATATCTGAAATCTTCAAGTATTTTTTTGACAGATTAAAATAAAATACAGATTAATACTGTGTTTAGTCAGTGGTGGCCTAGTGGTTAAAAGACCCGCATCTCATATTCGAGAGCGCGGGTTAGATCCTGGCAAGTACCAATGTGATTTTTCCGAGCCATATGTACTTTCCAAGTTTATTTAGACATCACTGATTAATGTTGAATCCCAAAAGAGGGTTGATGTCAGGCAGGCGGCCGGTCGTAAAACAATTAGCCAAAACTATTCACAACATGTAAGGCAGACCCTGGCTATGGCTGGGAAATTGCCAGGTAGATGAAGATTGTCACAGAGAGAATGAAGCAACGGAATCTTATATACAGGATAGTAATGAAACACAGATTAAAAATATATTTTATACAATTTTCATCTATTATAAAGCCGGTTGCACATCACATCGCCAGCGCGGCCGGTATGAACACTGTATATTTGGGTGTGTCCCCGCCTTTAGCGATAACAGCCTTCACTAGTGAGAATGGGTCCAATTTTTTCTTAACCACAAGATATCTAGAAAAATACATATTAAATAAGTATAGTTATTAAAATTATTTTTTCTTACATACGAGTACTATCTGTGAACACAACCTTACTTTGATTGTATAATATGTATTTCAATATCAATAAAATAAATTAAAGTCTTAGAATAAAAGAAAACATATGTTATTTAAACATGAGTTATTTCCCAGTTAATGTTCCATCGAAATCCATACATTTAACTGACAGACAGATACAAAAAAAAATTATATATCCTACTAATATTATAATTGCGAAAGTTTGTGAGTGTGTATGTTTGTTACTTCTTCACGCTCAAACGGCTGAACCGATTTTGATAAAGTTTTGTATACAGGAAGCTGACGTCCAGGAACAACACATAGGCTACTTTACATCCCGGAAATCCGAGAAATCCGCGGGTAACACCGCGGGGCGCAGCTACTGTCTATATATAAGTAGGCCAGCCAAAACTATAAAAATAATAATAAAATTAGTACATAATAATTTATATCACCTCTCATTATCGCTGTTGTAACTCTTAGAGACGAGCCCGTGATCCGTGGCGCACTTGTGTAAAGCTGCCCGCTCTTCTTTTGTGAACTCACTCGTGAATACTAGATCCATATCTAAATCGTCCGAGGCTATAAAACGCTTCATTAGTTTCGAGCCCGCCACTTTGATCATTTTGAGACCAGGCCCAGAACCTAAACCTGATCGTTTGTCCTGCGGGTAGTTAGAAAAATACAAAATATATATATTATGTATGTATATATATTCAGGGTGACTGGTGAATTACTATCGATACTTGAGGACGTGATATTTGACGATCATATATGACAAAATAAAAATTAATATAACATAAATATTACTAAACTTCTAAGTAAAGTTAACCAAAAGTTATGTAATTAATTACGCATCGTGTGAACACCCTACAGATTAGGTGTATACACACACACACACGTACGCGTGCGGCGTGGTGTTGTATCAGCACGCCGCCGCACGCGTCCACACTTGGAACACTTGGAACGTGTACACACTTTATTTATTTATACGGAAATTTGGTCAAAAATTAAAGTACCCATTTTTTTTACATAATTCGAATGAGAATCATGTACCGAGTATTCTCCTTAAATATTGATAGTAATTCACCAGTCACCCTGTATATATATATATATATATATATATAAGCACTTAATTTTTGACAAAATTTCCGTATAAATAAGTAAAGTGTTGACACGTTCCAAGTGTTCAAGTGTGGACGCGTGCGGCGGCGTGCTGATACAACACTACGTCACGACACGCGTATGTGTGAGTGTCAGTGTATACCTAATCTGTAGGCTGTTCACACGATGCGTAATTAATTACATAACTTTTGGTTAACTTTACTTAGAAGTTTATTAATATTTATGTTATATTAATTTTTATTTTGTCATATATGATCGTCAAATATCACGTCCTCAAATATCGATAGTAATTCACCAGTCACCCTGTATATATATATATATATATATACAAACCGTTTGTAAATGTGCTTGTATAGGTTCCTGTATACCCTGTGCATCAGCACCAAGACCTCCTCCCTTCCAACCCATTAGCTTCATCATTCTGTAAATATTATTACAAACACTGAATAAAGGATTTAAATATATATATCCAAATGATTCATTTGCTATACATCATTTTACTATATTATATTATAATTATTGCTACTAGAAACACTTGCGTTTAACTGTTTTAAAAATATAAACAAAATGTATTATGTTCCCAAAAGAGGGTTGATGTCAGGCAGGCGGCCGGTCGTAAAAAACAATTAGCCAAAACTATTCACAAAATGTAAGGCAGACCCTGGCTATAGCCGGGAAAATGCCAGGTAGAAGAAGAAGAAGAAACAAAATGTATTATGTAAATGTTCATGGAAAAATTTATATATTATATAAAATAAATTCAATGATTGAGTAAACAAATAATTAACACATAATATTTTTAAAGTAAAAATTATTCCGAATAATAACTTACTCAATAGCAAGAATAACTGACTCTATAGCAAGAAAAACTTACTCTAAAACAAGAAATACTTACTTTACAGCAACACTGTTCTCAACCTTTGCTTCTTCATCTTTCTTCCCAAAAACTTGATTAATTGTTGTTTTATCAATTTCATTTGTATCAGACAAATTTTTTCTCACAAGTACAGATACACACTGCGTTATCAGTTTCTGGAAGTAAAATATTTATGTATTATTTAAATATGTAACCATTATTACATAAAATATATATATTTATATACAATACTATATAATACAAATGAAGTCCCTACTAATATTATAAATGCGAAAGTAACTCTGACTGTCTGTCTGTCTGTTACGCTTTCACGCCTAAACCACTGAAATGATTTTAATGAAATTTGGTACAGAGATAGAGTTGACCTTTAGAAATAACATAGAAAAGTTTTTCTCCTAGACTTTTGCAAGGTTCTCTTGGAAACGCGACGTAACTGAACTCTACGCGGGTGAAGCTGCGGGCGGAAAGCTAGTGTTACAATAAAACATTAAATTATTTGTTACAAAATTATATTAAAATGATAAAATTTTATCAATCACAAAAGTTTTTTAGTCAGTTTATATACATATTTAAACATAGTAGCACTACTTCTATATACACACATCCTACTAATATTATAATCGCGAAAGTTTGTGAGTGTGTGTGTATGTTTGTTACTTCTTCACGCTCAAACGGCTGAACCGATTTTGATAAAATTTTGTATACAGGAAACTGAAATCCAGGAATAACATATAGGCTACTTTACATCCCGGAAATCCGCGGGCAACACCGCGGGGCGCAGCTAGTATATATATAAATGTGTGTGTATGTATGTACACTTACTTTAAAAGCTATTTTCTCGGCAGCCTCTTTGGCCAATGCTTTAGTGTTTCCGCTGGCTTCGGCTATCAACTCATCATTTATATGAATTGTATATTTTTTATCCTCATATCTAAACATTATTTTCAGTCTGCAAACTTGACAGCTATCTGGAATCACAAAAGTACTGCACCTATATTGATGTAACTTTACACTTCACCAAATGCAAGAAATAAAGGTTTTAAAACAGCCAGAAATAAAGATGTATGCCAGAAATAAAGACTTTGAAATGTCTTATAGATTCTGCTACCTGGCAATTTCCCAGCTTCAGCCAGGGTCTGCCTAATGTCTTATAGATTATTGTAATGATTAAAAACTATTCAGTGACAATGAAGTATATATTTTGCAATCTCTATAAAATTGGTCAAGAATTTGTAATATACTGAATTCATGTTCTATACATGCATCTACTTATGATGGTATAAAAGACAAAGGTCTTGAAGTCAAGAAATAATTAATTTGTAATATAAATAATCATATTAAAAACAATTGTTATATACATACATACATATACATAAATATATATATATATAGAGAGAGAAAGAGATTTGATGATTGAAAGAAGGCCCGCCTCTCATGCATGAGGGCGCGGGTTCGATCCTGGCAAGTACCAATGTGATTGTTCCGAGTCTTATGTACTTTCTAAGAGTATTTAGACATCACTGATTAATACATTCTCAATGTGGGTTGATGTCGGGCAGGCGGCCGGTCGTAAAAACAATTAGTCAAAACTATTCACAACATGTAAGGCAGACCCTGGCTAAAGCTGGGAAATTGCCAGGTAGAAGATATACAGAGAAAGAAAGAGAATATTATTTAAGTTTCATAAAAATAATCAACAATATATTTTTTTTCTATGTCTATGTTAGGGGAAATCCCGTATTATAAAATCAGATTATCATTCAATATCATAGTTATGTAGAACCAATAAGTACTAAAATCTTGTAGTAGTACATTAGAGAGTGGTGCCAAATATAGGTGTTTAAATTATCATCGGGCAAACAAATTGTGTGTATTTTTTTTAATAACTTTAGTTTTTAATTTCTTTTTCTAACTATAAAATAATATATATATTATATTATCAATATATTATATATATTGATAATATAATATATATATTTGATGATAAAATCATTAATTATAAGTAATGATTGTGTTTTAAATTTAACTATGAATCTTCTAATTCAGTATATCATACATTACTGTCATAGATTCAAATGGATGACTAGAAACTATCTTATATATGTATATATGTATATTTGTTAAGTCATGTTCCAGTATAGACCTTAAAATGTATGTTATATAAAAATAAACTCTGATTACCATATTATTAAGGGGCACTATCATTTGCAATTTATGAGAGAAGTTAAATATCTAATATCCAATCACATTTACTTATTCTTAAAATACTCACTTATTATGTTCCCCATTTTGGTCGTACTTGTGTTTATCATTAAAACAAATCTCCCGAACGGCCTCTCGAACATCGTATCATCAAATTCGCTGATATCCACACACTCTATTTTCAATAGTTCTTTTAAGTATTCAATATATCTAGGGTTACTTGTGATTATTGACTCGTTATTACTGTCGGTTATTGTTGAATCCACATTATTAGGTTGATTTTCGTTATTCGTATTTTTTATTTTTGTTTGTACCTGTTCTTCCTGGGGTACAAAGTTTATTTTGGGTGCTTTTTTCGGAGGTGTCTCTGTTACGATTCCACCTTTTCGTTTCGTACCCTTGGCCTTATCTTCAGCGGCCATAGAAGCAGAAACGAAAGTTCTTTGTAACTTCGTCTTCTTCATCTTCCTATATTCCTCTGCAACCTTAAAAAAATACGTAAAAATATATGTACAAAGAGTATAACACTAGTATATATAGGTTATTATATATTTACTTCGTTAGATAATCTAGAAACTTCCAACATAACTTCGTTTGGATACCGACAGCCCATAAACTCTATGTTAATGAATACTCTGGCCAAACAGACGAGTCTTTCTTCGGGATACATGTTTTTCCATCGCTCCATAAAAGCCTTTCTTAATAACCATTGCTCTTCGCTTTCATGATCATCTCTATATTTATCTACATCCCAAGACACGTTAAAAGACATTTTTATGTTATATTTTAAGAAATAACTTTAATAGAAAATTTACATTGTAAATATTTTTATATTATCAAAATAGTACTATTGTGGTTTGGACAGTGACAGTTCCAATGCACGACAGTCGACAATACCATGCTTTTATGACGGATTTTGTAAATAAATACGAGATCATATAATTGTTTTACTATTTAAATTTCTTTTGTTTTATAGAAGAGTAAAAAAGTTTCATATTTTATTATTACAATTAAAATCGAATAACTGATAAACTTCAAAGTATTTTGTATTTATAAGAAAATATTTTCATATACCTAGTTCAATCTTTCGCAAGTTGTCAAATGTTGCAAAATGTGTCAGATTTTATAACTGTGTGTATTTGAATTACTAACAGTAGAAATAAAGTTTTCATTATTATTACCATTTGTTTATTAAATATAAAATATTTGATAGTAAAAAAGTCACTATTTTACTTTTACTTATAGTGGAAAACAATGCACTGTCGATTAGAAATATAATAAGTGGGTAGTAATATTTCGTGTTAAGTTAATTTGTTTTTTTTTTTTAGTTTCCAAGTACTTTAAAACTTTCAAAATATTTAGTCTGGTTGTTTAACGGTAACGGTACGGTGAAACAAAATTAATATTCAGAATAATATAGTATAATAAGTGAAATAGAAAGAAATAAATGGATAATTTAAATATACCGCAAACATTTAAAGTACAATGGTTGAACAGCACTCTAAAATTCATAAAAGATGACACCCAATTGTTGAAGCAATACCCAAAGATGCCGTCAACTCATGTTGAATATTTTCACAATTTAATATGGCAGCGCGAAAATAACGTAGGTCTAGGTTTCAAATCTCTTTACTCGCCCGTATGGGAAGCTATGAGCATTTACAGCGTGAAATACCAATTCAAAATTATCATCGAGAAATCTTTGGATGGTAAAGATGGGTGTGTACAAAACGATTTTTCATTTTAGTCACTTAAAAGTTACAAATCAGCGGATCAATGTTATACTGCAACTGATCAATATTCTTTGCAAACCATTTCTATACAACAGGAAATTTAATGTGTAAAGATTGGTCACTTTGTAGAGTTAAAAATCAATTGGATAATAAATTTATTCCTTTTAAAATTAACTTTCCGTAAAACCTCTGTTGTTGTTAAAAATACTTTTATTGCCTGCCAGTGTTTTAACAAAATCAAATAATGAAAAAAAAATAACTTGTATTAAAATTTATATATATTTTATGTACAATATATATTTTGGTTTATTTTTGTTGGTTTAATTTAATTTATGTTGTAAAATATTAAATAATTTCTACAATAGAAGCATAATTGTATTGAATTATGTATTTTTTAAATTTTTAGGTTGCTCGTAATGGAAAAGATACCAAAGAGTTTGAATAACAACAATAAGGAAGAAAATGGAGAACAGTAATATTTTGATTCATTATTTGATTTATATATAATTTTATTAATTATATAAAATTAAAGTAATAATGATTGCAGGAAAGACATTGAAATTAAAGTACAATGTCCTGAAAAGGAAATCAAAAAATCTAAGAAAAATACCAAGACGGAGGAAACTAAGAAAAAAATACCGTCAAAAAGTAAAGCTTTCAAGAAGTTTCTGGATAACCAGCTAATACTAGATGGGATCTCTCCATTGTTTGTAAAAGAAAAATTGAAACGGATTCTATTATTTGTACTAGATGATTATTCTTCTAGTATAATATTTACCGATTTAGCCGGAATTGAGTCTAGATTTATAGAAAATATATCTAGTTTATGCAAACGGAGCAAGGAGTTTGAGGAACAGTTGTCTCCACTCTCTTTTGAAATGCTCTCCGATATAGCTGATTGCATCAACGGCAATAATAATTATCAACTTGAAATTACCAATAAGATTAATGAAAAAACTAGTAAAAGGTATATATATATTATCTATGTACATACCATAGATTATATATCTTTTGAATGTTCTTAAATTAAAATTATATAATTGATATTATGCAAATTTTTTTTCGATATTTAATGGTCTTCATTTCTTTTTCAGGGAGGTCACATTAAAAAAGGTTCCATTATTTTTAACCAAAAAGCAATTGAAACAAATGTAAGTTATAGGTATCATCATGGTAGGTATTTATTTTTTATATATTTTATTGAATTATTGACTGTTTTAGATCAAGAAAAAGTTTACAAGATACAAAGAAAGATCATGAAACTGGAATTAATAATAACAAGAAAGAAAATATTAGTGAAATTAATCAAATGTGAGTATGATATAATATATAAATAGATATATGTACTAGCTGACCCGGAAAACGTTGTTTTGCCATATAAAAATAGGGGTTGGTGATGAAAAAGTAAAAATTTTGGGTTGCATGTATTTTTTAATGCTTTATTATAAAAAAATATAAACAAAAAAATTTCGTCTGATAATAAAAAAGTTGAGGGTGACTTTATAGGGGTATGAAAAATAGATGTTGGCCGATTCTCAGACCTACTCAATCTGCTCACAAAATTTCATGAAAATCGATCCAGCCCCTTCGGAAGAGTTCTCTGTCTAACACCGCGACACGAGAATTTTATATACAGGGTGACTGGTGAATTACTATCAATAGTTGAGGACGTGATATTTGACGATCATATATGACAAAATAAAAATTAATATAACATAAATATTAATAAACTTCTAAGTAAAGTTAACCAAAAGTTGTGTAATTAATTACGCATCGTATGAACACCCTACAGATTAGGTATTAGGTACACACACACATACGCGCGCGGCGGCGTGTTGTTGTATCAGCACGCCTCCGCACGCGTTCACACTTGGAACACTTGGAACGTGTACACACTTTATTTATTTATACGGAAATTTGGTCAAAAATTAAGTACCTATTTTTTTTACATAATTCGAATGAGAATCATGTACCGAGTATGCTCCTTAAATATTGATAGTAATTCACCAGTCACCCTGTATAATATATATATATGTACATATAACATATTATATTTTTTTTTAACATTACTAGGACCGATAAAGTATCGAAAGAAACAACAATCATACAAAACAACAAAAATGTATCACAAAATGTATTTAAAGCGGAGAAAACATTAACAGTAGAAAATGTTAAAGAACACAACCAAATGATGGAGAGTGAAAGAAAAATTTTTTTGGACCCAAAGAAAGTGGACATGAAAGTTACTATTAATAATACTAAAAGGTAATACATTGATTACTAGCTTTCCGCCCGCAGCTTCGCCCGCGTGGAGTTCGGTTATATCGCGTTTCCAAGAGAACCTTTCAAAAGTATGGGATAACAACTATCCTATGTTCTTTCTCAAGGTCAACTCTGTCTGTACCAAATTTCATTAAAATCAGTTCAGTGATTTAGGCGTGAAAGCGTAACAGACAGACAGACAGATTTACTTTCGCATTTATAATATTAGTAGGGATGTTTATTTTATGGCTATCTAGGCTTGGTAAAATTACTAGAAAATTACTTTAAATACATTAGAGAAAACAAAATAAAAGTAGCATATACTTATATTTCGTTTATATATTACAACATAAATATTAATATTGATAGATATGACTATATTACGTTTTTATAAACCGCATTGCATCTTGGAAACAATTTTTCAGTTAGCTTAGAAGATTAGGCAGTTTTACGAAAATTTCAACAAAGAGCTTGAAATATTTAATTAAAAATTCTTATAGATCTCTGATTATAGATCACACAGGTATATTGGTATAATATATTGAAAATTTGTAAGCCAGAAAACAAAATTAGCATATTCTGATTACAAAAGAATTCAATTTTAATATACTCTCCATCAATCTGTTAGTTTAATTTTGGTTACACAAGAAATAAAACGATTTTACAGGCTATATAAATTAATTAATAATATATGTATGTATGTTAAAATTTCAGTGTAATACCAAAAGAGAAATCTGTCGCCTTCATTAAAAGTGAAACAAAGGTCACGAATGTTGATGAAAAATGTCACAACAATAACATAAAAGATGGAATGAGTAATACATTAAGGTAATATATAAAATTATTATATTTAGTCCCATATATATACTCATATAGTAAAGAGAAAGTCAGTGGTGTCCTAGTGGTTAAAAGGCCCGCCTGTCATACATGAGTGCACGGGTTCGATCCTGGCAAGTACCAATGTGATTTTTCCGAGTCATATATACTTTCTAAGAGTATTTAGACATCACTGATTAATGCATTCCCAAAGAGGGTTGATGTCAGGCAGACGACTGGTCGTAAAAACAATTAGTCAACATTATTCACAACATGTAACGCAGACCCTGGCTAAAGCTAGGAAATTGCCATGTAGAAGATATAGTGTAGAGAAAAACAACAAAAATTTAAATAAAAAGCATTTCATATTATTGAATGTATGTTAAATATTTAATTAGTTTGTATGTAATATATGTTTTTGTTACAGTAAAATAGTACCAAAGAATGCTATTAGTTTTACTAAAGGCGATAATGTTAAGGATAATTCAACAGAAGTGCAAAAAGTTAGTAACAATATGTTGAAATCAAAAATAATCAGCGCTATGAATGTGCCTATAAAGAGTGAAAAAGCAACGAGGTATTTATAAATAGATAAATAAGATGTAACAAATATTATTGTAGACTAAAAATATATATTATCATTTATTTAACTAAATTTTTAATTAAAATTACTTAAATTTATATAAAATCAATACATATACAGTATTAATCCATTTTAATACCAATTCTATCCTTGAATAATTGTATGTTTAACGTTTCAAATTTGTGTCAATAGATGGCGCTTTTATTAATGTTATTAATGTTTATATTATTTGCAAGGATGATGCGTCTGATGGGATGGGAGGGCGGAGCCCTAGGGCTTCACGGGACCGGCATCACTGAACCGATCATACCTACAGCGAATTACGTAAGAATATATTTAAATTGTTACAAGAGGCGCTATCTGTGCCGTACTAATTATTATACTACTAGCTTTCCACCCGCAGCTTCGCCCGCGTGGAGTTCGGTTATATCGCGTTTCCAAGAGAACCTTTCAAAAGTCTGGGATAAAAACTATCCTATGTTCTTTCTTAATGTCAACTCTGTCTCTACCAAATTTCATTAAAATCAGTTCAGTGATTTAGGCGTGGAAGCGTAACAGACAGACAGAGTTACTTTCGCTTTTATAATATTAGTAGGGAAAATCCTTACCATTATTTGTATGACTGATTATAATTAATTATAATACCCAACCATTGTAATGTTGTATGTAACATTTAAGTATCAACATGTATTAAAAACTATATTTAGTATGAATATTTTAATTATATTCAGACTATTTCTTGGTTTTCTTTCATTACTTCACACGTCATAGTAAGAATATATGTGATTACTATCAACGCTGCGTATTTAGATACATCAGTAAACTTGTGGTATGAATGTGAAAAGTTTATTATTATCGTAAAATATAGAAAATACTAGTTTAGAGATAAAATTATATTTTTTTCACGATATTTCTTCTCCTAAAATCCGTTTTATAGTATTGTTGCTGTATGTTAAAAGCAAATCTTTATTTTTTTTAGTTTTTAAATGAAACTAACATTTTTCGAATTATTATAATTGCTCCTTTTCAGCAACCGTGATCACGGACAGACAAAATGTTTGGGAGTATGTAGTTTTTTATCGAAAATAAATTCGAAAAATATTAGTTTCATTTAAATGAATACTCGCTATAACCTTAGATCTCATTATTTTTCAAAATTATTTTTGTTTCAGTGTTATATACAATTATTATGCCCTGACTTCGCTCCTTTTATGAGCTTATATCGTTTTTCTCACAGTAACTTTGATATTTGACAAAATTTACAGAATTGTAGCGGCCTGGGCCATGTTCCACCGAAAAACGAGAAAACCTATCAAGGTAGCAGAAAGTCGATCAAACAAGAATTCAGTGTTGGCATCATGGATTTAATAAACAATAGACTACAAACTGTCACTTTATATCCGGAAAATAAATTCATAGACAAGGAAATCAACTTTTGGCGGGACACAGTAGACAATCTCAATAAAAGATTGAAATTAGATCGTACTGTGAGGAACTCGAGTGTGTTGAGACAGAAGATGAAAGAAAATCCGGATATAGAATTCAGTTTGGTGTTCTCAGATGATTATATGTGAGTTATAGTGAGAATAACATATAATATATATATTAGGGTGTCCCTTATATGGTTATAAAAATTTTTTTAGAGGCTTATGAACGAAACTAGGACCTATGTGTTAAAAAATGACAAGTTTGTAAAATAAGGGACATTCTAATATACAGGGTGACTGGTGAATTACTATCGATATTTGAGGACGTGATATTTGACGATCATATATGACAAAATAAAAATTAATATAACATAAATATTAATAAACTTCTAAGTAAAGTTAACCAAAAGTTATGTAATTAATTACGCATCGTATGAACACCCTACAGATTAGGTATACACACACACTCACACAGACGCGGCGGCGGCGTAGTGTTGTATCAGCACTCCGCCGCACGCTTTCACTCTTGGAACACTTGGAACGTGTACACACTTTATTTATTTATACGGAAATTTGGTCAAAAATTAAGTACCTATTTTTTTACATAATTCGAATGAGAATCATGTACCGAGTATGCTCCTTAAATATTGATAGTAATTCACCAGTCACCCTGTATATAACCCATTATATTTAATATTATATACTATTCTTTTATAGTAGAAACTCGATTAACCGGACTAGTCGATAGACATTCGATAATCGAAAATCCGGATAACCGAATGTATGAAGAAAAGCCGGTTTTGTGCATATGTAGTATTTAGTTTATTTAAAAAAGTAACAAATACATACATATCAACGAAAATCAATGTTTATTAATAAATAATTAAAGCATACATTTTCTTAGATTACATATACATACACATATGTACATGTATGTACTAAAAACTGCAGATTTTAATCATGAAATAAAATAATAAGTTTAATTGGTTTAGAATATTTGGTAATTGTCATTTCTACGTCACTCTCAACAACACCACTCTCTTACGTTTTGACATTATTTCTTGTGAGAACTTGTTTTTATGGATATTTATAGCTATAATAGTCAAAATAATACAAAAAATCAACTAATTCGTATTCTAGAGATTCATAACTGATTTTTAGATATATATATGTATATATATGTTATTATATTTATCAACAGGATGATGACAATCATAAAACGTATGACAAATACATTACTGCCAGTGAGATCTCAGCAAAAGGTTCTACCGGAGCAAACAAAGAAAAAAACCTTCCTAAAATTTATTATTACAACACTCACAGAACTATTATCTGGCAATACTACAGAGATAAATCTAACATATGAGAAAGAATTGCAGGATAGATTTATTGATGGGCTGTTTGAATTAATAACAGTTATTAATGAAAGAAAAATAGTTACTAAGAATGAAAATTTAATGAATCTGGTCACGTGTTTGGTAAAAGAATTGGATGCTAAAAACTTATATGTGTCAGCGGAAATTAGCGGAGATAGCAAGTGAGTATTTATTTATTTACATACAAAATATACTGAACTGATTTTGATGTAATTAAACAATTATATAGCTTAGATATAAGAATGAGATATACTAGTATCTATCCTTCCATTCAATGATTGTGCAGAAACAATAATTGTATGTAGTATCTAGTTACGTGAGACTCGATAGATGGCGCTGCTTTTAATTACATTAATTAATTATATATATATATATATATATTAATAGCTTTCCGCCCGCAGCTTCGCCCGCGTGGAGTTCGGTTATATCGCGTCTCCAAGAGAACCTTTCATAAGTCTGGGATAAAAACTATCCTCTGTTCTTTCTCAAGGTCAACTCTATCTCTGTACCAAATTTCATTAAAATCAGTTCAGTGGTTTAGGCGTGAAAGCGTAACAGACAGACAGAGTTACTTTCGCATTTATTTATTTAGTTCTATTTATTAATAGAGATTAACTAAATAAATATTTCTTTTATAAACCATTGAAAAATTTTCTTATATGTAGATTTATATTTCCTTTTTTGATAATTTTAATCTTATTTTTATTGTATATTTATCATTAATCACTTATTTTCAGATCAGTGACATTATACATAAAAAGTTATAAAATAAATCAAGAAAATTCAACCCCAAGAAAACATGAAGACTCGCCCTACGATAATATAAAGAATAATATAAAATTAAAGAAAAAAAAGAGAATAATTAATGCATTGTACGAGAAGAAGTTCTCCGATGAAAATGTTTCCCAAGTGAAAAAATGGTATGAACCAGAAAATAACTTTATAAAGAAAATATAATGATAGAATAAGTAAAATGATTATTACTTTAATATTAAGAAATCTTATATACTTAATAATTATACTTTTTGCATGTGATACTTAATAATTATACTTTTTTGTGCATACTTTTGCAAGTTGGTGATAATTTCAAATGTGATTTTCTATGTAGTACTAAACTGTTTTGTAAGTTTTAAATTATGTTACTGGTTAACGTATGTAATATATTATTAATATGTTTTAATATATGTAGTATATTAATATAATGCATCTTTTTATATATATATGTATATTTTTGTAACCTTTTTTATATCCTCATACTTTGTATATTTGTTCTTACTCTTTAAGTTTCAAACTATATTATATATAAATAATCTTTAGCCTTACAATTTGATAATTATATAACCTTTTTATATGTTAAGTTTCTGTGAATAAGTTATAAAAGATACAATTTTGTTTTGACATTTTATATTGTATTAATAAAAGACTGATTGGAAGTATTGTTTCGTTTTATTAATAAATAAATAATAAATTAGGCAATATATTTAGAGAACACACATTTAATTTGAACCGAACCTTTAAATTCCCGAACGCACCCGAAGTGATATTAAAGCTAAATATTTATATTAAAGGAAAATATTTGTCGACGCTATTTGTGTTTTTGTGAATTGAATTTAACTTATTTACAGTGTTTTGGTTTAAGATTATAATTATAAACTCTTAAAGACATGTTTGTTCTAGTTTAGGTTTGATTTATTATGTAAAGTGGTGGGTTTATAACACATTTTTTTTTAAATGATTTTATTATAATCCTAAATTTCAGAATACAATGTATTAGATACTTTCAGATTGTTTATTGTATCGATGACAAAATAAAATAGTATTATATTAAAATGAAAATGTGTTAAATAAACAATAATTGTTTTGATTTTTTTATATGCAAAAATAATATACTTAGGGTGGCAACCGGCGATTCCAGGAAAACTACGAAACATACTTAAATGTATATTAAAATACGAATTACATATTAAAACTTATAACCTACACCTAAGACTACATGATTGTCCCGATGTTAGGATAGCAATACCATTCCATAGCTTGTGTGTATCAGGAATCTTCTGGTTCACACGGCTTGGTGTTCGTTCCGCGGAGTCAGCGGCGTCACTCGTTATATGATATTTCACCGATACAAAGATGTCGCCCCGGCGATGTTTATTTTTTTTTCTTCATATATAGCGCGTACGTAACGCAAAACACAATACTTACAGTATTTCAAAATAATTATAATACCTATATATGTATGTATACTAAATATTTTATATTTTTAATATTTACTTCATATTTACTTGAATAATATATTTAAAAAAACGATATAATCCTTGTAATTTAACGTGTATCACGACACTTAATAGATTCACAATAAAAAAATGCATTACAAACAGCTAATAGTTTTAAAGTATTGATCAGATATTAACAAAAAGTAATTAAGAACGATCGCAAGGAAAATGGGTTTTAAATAAAATAAAAAAACATCAAAATCCGAAGATCCATTTGAGCTACATTGCAACAGACACACAAACTCACAAGTGTAAGTCGAAATAATAATACAAATAAATTAAATATTGTCTTTACATGGCTTGTAGTCAAATGCTTCTAGTTCAAAAATCAAAAAATTCAATTTCACTTTTTAAAAATTATGGCTCCATAATACTGACGATGACAGTCAAGTCAAGACGAAAAAGTCAGTGGTGGCCTAGTGGTTAAAAGGCCCGCCTCTCATGGATGAGGGCGCGGGTTCGATCCTGGCCCGTGCAAGTACCAATGTGATCTTAGTCATATGTACTTTCTAAGAGTACTTGGACATTACTGATTAATGCATTCCCAAAGAGGGTTGATGTCAGGCAGGCGGCCGGTCGTAAAAACAATTAGCCAAAACTATTCACAACATGTAAGGCAGACCCTGGCTAAAGCTGGGAATTTGCCAGGTAGAAGAGAAGGACAGCAGTCAGGACATAATTTAACATTTTAAATATTTTATGGGTTAATGATTTATGGTTAAATACTAGCTTTCCGCCCGCAGCTTCGCCGCGTGGAGTTCGGTTATATCGCGTTTCCAAGAGAACCTTTCAAAAGTCTTTGATAAAAACTATCCTATGTTCTTTCTCAAGGTCAACTCTATCTCTGTACCGAATTTCATTAAAATCAGTTCAGTGGTTTAGGCGTGAAAGCGTAGCAGACAGACAGACAGACAGACAGACAGAGTTACTTTCGCATTTATAATATTAGTAGGGATTAGTGATGTAACGAATGTTGGATTTTTCACATTCGCGAATGCGAATGCGAATGCGAATATTCATCTTCAATATTCGCGAATGCGAATGCGAATGCGAATGTTAAATTTCAAATAAAGCGCGCGCAAAATGTTTGACATTTCGTGTCGGCCATGTTTAAATTGAACATAGCCGAGCCGATACAGGTTGAATGAACGAAGTTAGTCACAGAAAGTTCATTCGAAAAGTATTGTTTTGATTTGAGGTTAGTTTGGTGTTATTGCATTTCCCAAATTTAACTGATATTCAAGTGACAAAGTGGTATAAAAACATGAGTAAAGCACGTGTTAGCGAAGTTTGGACTTATTTCACAATATATGATGCTGAAAATGTAAATTGCAAGTTGTGTGATAAAAAGTACTCGCGCAAAGGCAGGACCACTAGTGCTATGCGAAATCACCTAGAAACTAAACACAAAAATGAATATGACGAATTGAAAAGAAGAGAGCATGAAAAGCGAGGTGCTGCTAAAATAAATTCTTTGGCGTCCTCTTCGCGACAATGTACCAAAACCGACCTTAAGCAAATATCTTTAGGTGATTGCATCGAAAAAAATAAAAAATGGGATAACAACAACACCAAGTCTTTGGAGCTAGATAATTTAATTGGCGAAATGATTGCACTGGAGGACTTACCATTTAGTTTTGTGGAATGCCTTGGATTTGTGAGATTGATTAACCAAGTGTGCCCCTCGTATAATTTAAAATCTCGGCAATATTTTACTTCGTTTATTTGCGAAAAATTATATGGCAAGGTAAAAGATAAAATTCTGGAATTAATCAAATCATTTGAAAAACTAGCGTTTACAACTGATATCTGGTCTGATTCTTGCTCTGGGGTATCGCTGATAAGTTTCACTTGTCACGGAATTACCAAAAGTTTTGAAAGAAAAATGATTGTTTTGAAATCTGAAGTATTTAATGATGGGCGACATACAGGAGAAAATATAGCCGTAAAGCTAGAAACTATGTTGTCATCATGGGGAATTCCCAAAGAAAAGGTATTATGTATTGTTAGGGACGGTGGCACTAACATGAAAAAAGGTATTTCTTTATTAAATATTAAAAACATTGATTGTTTATCGCACCAAATTCAACTTGTTGTTAAGGAAGGGCTTAAGTCACAAGAATCTATCATTGCAGTCATTAACAAATGTAAAAAGATAGCAACACATTTTCACCACTCTAATGTAGCTCAAGATGAACTTGCTAATCTACAAGAAAAACTTAATCAACCAAAGCTCAAGATAATCCAAGAGTGTGTTACGAGATGGAATAGCAACTTTTACATGTTAGAACGAATTTTAAAAAACAAAGATTCACTGTGCCTTTATGCTTCCACTAACAACAAAATTTCACAACTAAGTTCAGATGAATGGATAGTTGTGGAAAAATTAATTACATTGCTTAAACCTTTTGAAGAAATAACACGAGAACTAAGTGCAGCCAATGTTTCCATATCGTCTGTGATTCCGTTATTGGCCACCCTGGAAAAGGTGATTGATGAATATGAGGCATCTGAAGAATGCATTAGAAAAACTATACTCGTTTTAAAACAAGAAATGAATCACAGATTTTCTCACTTGGAAAACGACAAATTATTTGCTACAGCAACTTTTATTGATCCTAGGTACAAATCGAAATTTTTCAAAAATCCTTCAACCAAAGATCAGGTCGTGAAAAATATTTTGGATTTAATTGGAAATGAGGACTTCAGCTTTCCTTCATGTTCAAATTCAAAGCGTCCTAAAACGACTAATCAGGTTAAGGAAAACTTTGGCTCCAGTGCCAGTCTTTCAGAAAAATCTGTATCACTAAAAGAAACTATGAAAATGATGATGGACTCAAGTGAAAGCGAGGAAGAATTAGAAAATGAAATTCCAAATCCTGTAGAAGTTTTTAATTAAAAAAAATATTAATGATTATGTATTGGATAAACGTATTGAAAATGAAGAAGACCCACTTCTTTGGTGGAAAGTTAATAGCAATAAATATGGTATTCTTTCTCCTGTAGCCAGAGAATATTTGGTAACTCCACCCACAAGTGTCCCCAGTGAAAGAGTTTTCAGTGGAGCTGGACTTCTCTACACACCTCACCGAAACAGGCTGCACGGAGAAAGAGCTTCAAAACTTTTATTTTTAAAATTTAACATTCCTTTACTTCAATTTAATTACTAAGAATTTAAAGTTACAGCGAGTTTAATTATTTTAATAGTCAACTGTGTCAACTTGTTATTAGCAAAACTATAATTGTGTAGTTTATATTTGATTATTTTTAATTCATAGAAAAAGAAAATTAGTGAAAAAATGTGCAATTGAAACCAAATGTTAACATTATGAATATTAGAACTTTACTTTTGTTTTAAATAGAAATAAATATTTTTTGTTTTTGTAAAAAGCTTATTTACAAATAGTCAAGTATTCATTATTTGATTTTTTAAGTTTATATTTCATTATCATATTTAATTCTTAGAAAATATATAGTGGGATGGAAAAATATATAATTAAAGCCAAAAAGGTTATAAATTAATATTATACTTAGATTTGATTGGATCTCTGAAGTTCTGTTTTCACAAAAGATACTTGAATTTAGAATTAGATTTTTTTCAAAATATATGTAAGGCATGGACATTCATTATTTTTTCTGTGGTGGAGTTAAGTTGTGATTTTGTTAATATTTTAATTAGACTAACAAGAACAAAAGAGAAAGTGTTTCTAATTTAGTTGCTTACCAAGACTGTTCCATAATATTTTTTTTTAATTCAAGTATGGTTAAATAAAAATATATAAATCTTATCAGTTGTGTTATCATTTCATATGCAACCATATAATAATTTCCTTTTTGTTTGTTAAATACATTCGCTAAATATTCGCATCGTTTTTTGCGAATAGGAATGCGAATGCGAATATCGAAAAATATGCGAATATTGGCGAATGCGAATGCGAATGCGAATATTCGTTACATCACTAGTAGGGATTATGTTAACATAATTTATTATATTGACAGTTTCTAATTTCATGATTCAGTGATTATTTTTAAAGGGATTGCGTAATTGAACAAAAAATAATGTTCGTCACTTAAAACTGTGTTGTTGCTTAATTTTGTGTCTGATATAGCTGAATATGTTTGGAAAAAAGTTTTTTTTTTATATTTCTAAGTACATTTTTGCTCAGTACTAATACAAACCACTTCTAACAGTAACTTGTATTTTATACTAAAAAGTTATTAAAATAAAACTATATTTTCGCATATGATTCCTGATTTTTTTTAATTTAATATCAACAATTAAACAATCTGACCTTGATTCTTAATTAAGATATTTTTAATTAAATTTAGTCAACATCCGCTTCGATTGAGAAATAATTACAATATCTGATCAATGAATGAGTGATTGATTTTTTTAATCTTTATCTAAAGATTAATAATCTGTTAAACACCTGACACAAATCTTTTTATTGCGTAAATTTTTTTTATCTACGCAAGATTGGTAGATAGCATTTTACGATTGAAATATTTGATTAGTTTTAAATACATAATATTTTTTTTACATTAACTTACAAGATTATGGTTATTTATTAACTGTGAATTTCGTAATAATTTGTTTTATTTAAATTAATATGTTATTTTTAATCTTCTATTCGGCAGAATAAGATAAACACATTTTATAAGTCACGGTTAATATTTACAAATTGTTTTGTGAGCACAACTTAAATATGACGTTTATTTCACTGTGTTCTGAAATCGACAATAACAAAAATCTTAATCCTTAAATAATGATAATGAATATTTATCTATGAATAATGTTTTAAATAGATTTTGAAAGCCTTAGAAAGAAAATAAATAATTTAATGAGATCTAAGACTTTCGAGTATTCATTTAAATGAAACTAATATTTTCGGATTACTACGCATATTAGGTATATTATTTAAAAAAACTGTTTCGTCTGCCCGTGATCACGGTTGCTGAATAGTAATAGAAAAGCGACAGTATGTAGTTTAAAAATAATAAAATACACGTAGTAATCCGAAAATATTAGTTTCATTTAAATGTATAATTTAAATGAACGCTGCCTTACTTATTAGATATCTTTTCTACGTTTAAGTGACAGTGGCAGTCCACCGATAACAGTCTGAACGATTGTGGACATCGGATCGATACGTGGCTTACGTAACGAACTACGTGACGGAGACAACGTGAATTTACTAAGAATCGTGGCCACTCCAGCCAAAGACTGCATGATTCCTAGACGCTCACCTGGAAAAACATATATAAACATGAGAAAATTATACTTATTACTGTTAACAACGCTATATTGAGCAAAATTAATAAAGACTAATTCTGTATAATATATATTAGCAAATTATATTGACCAACAATAGTAATTAGAGATTTGAGATGAAACCTCTCATCATTCCATGTATTCACGGTGCGTGTGTCGGGTCCATCGTTGTAGTGAGAGGAGCTTCAACAGTGACTGGGACTTGTGACCCAGGTGTAGGTTTAAGGGACCCCTATCTAACGCGTTAAACGCTCCATCAACATTATCTGATATGTAAAACTCACCAATACATGACCTGGGTCCATCGCCGAATGGCATGAAAGTGCATTTCTTGATATCACCAACGTTTTCTGGGTTGAATCTCTCTGGCCTGAACTCTTCAGGATTCTCGAAAAGCTCTTCATCCATATTCATGGCCTCTGTCGAGACGATCATCACCATATTTTCGTCTAGCGTAAAGTTTGTACCTGGTAGAGTGCATTTATTGACCGTCCGACGAATCAAAAAGCCGGGAGACGTCAAGAACCTGATGCTTTCTCTGTGGATGATAAAGAAATTGTAATGCAAATATAGAAGAAACCTTAATGTAATAATCAAAGATAAAAATACGGAGTTTAAAAGCAAGTTTGGCACCTTTTACAAATCATACAATCTATTAGACGTATTAAGAATAAATATATATTACTTGAGTGACATTTCCAGATACTTCATGTCTTTCACAGCATCGAATGATAGTTTCCCGCCGTAATTCTTTAGAACCTCGTCGACTTCTTTCCGGCATTTCTCCTGTACGTCCGGATGATAAGCCAACATGTGGAGCAAGAAGCTACTTGCTGATGAAGAAGTTTCGAAACCAGCGACAAAGAAAATGAACACTTGCGCAGCGATCAATTGATCATCTAACTCTATTTCCACGATTTTTGGTGACCCATCCGGATTCCTATGCTCGAGAGAGTCACCAACCAGTTTTCCCTTTTCACGAAGCTCCAACATCATATCTACAAAGTCATTCCTACCAGATGGCTTATAATTCCTCTGCTCCATAATCTGTTTGACGATAGATACGGTCTTATTTTCGATTTCTGGCGCCATGAAGTGTAAATCTTTGCATAAAACTGGCATCATCCTCTTCAGAAGCGAAACGAAATGGTCTCTCTTAGTTATATTTACAATACGCTTGCCAAGTTTACGGAAATCTGAGTTCTCATCGTTGAGCGCGGCCGAATCTATACCAAAACCGCACGCTCCAATGAAATCTGTAGTATATCTGGCCATTAGATCACGAATATCAAGTTCGTCACACGTCTCAGCCATACCTTCAGCTAGCTTCGCCAATTTTTCCGTTCTCTCCACTATCAATGGGAACATAGCCTTCAATTTGCCGCTCGAAAATGTAGGCGTCAGCTTCTGTCTTAACAATTTCCATACATCACCCTCAGACGTGAAAAGATTCTTCAACAATGGTTCTATAGCTTGCCTATTCGGATTCAGACCTCTGTAGTAAAAGTTCTTGAAGTCCGTAATCAGTATATGCTTGACCAATTCCGGGTCCCGAATTAGTGTAGCTGGGTTATTGCCCTCGAAGAAGCCAACGAATCTTTCTCCAGGAAACCTCCTGTATAGAGCAGCAAATCTTTCAGATACGCTGACTCCATTGATAAACTGCTTCAAATTACTGCCAAAAAATATCAGAGGCTCTTCATACGGAACGCCTCTCTTCTTCCAGTAATCGAAATTCCTTGTACCGTAAAAGTACAAAGTTATTATAAGTATACCAATTATGAGCAAAATCATTTTTACGGACTTAACACGTTGTCCTACTATGAGGAATTTGAGCGAAGTAAATTTTATGAAGATTTCCAAATTAATTTGAATTTTTTATCACTTCTGATAATATTTCTTATCATGAGATATTAATAATTTTAATAAATAACTCATATCAAATATTAATAAATCTGTTTTTTGATATAAAAGTTAATATTAATTTGTTTAAACGTATTATTAAACTTTGCATTGTACTCTTTATCTAGTAAAATTGTTTGTAAATTCTGTTATAGTATCTGCTAAGGATTTGGCCTAAACGATGTTTTTGATTTCTATAAATTACGTTTTAATTAAATATCAAGATAGCAACAGTTTATCTTGATTTAGTGACGATGTAATTAATGATTCTTTAAATATCAGCGGAAGTATTAATTCTGATTTAAATTAAAGATTTTGTATTCATTTTCCTTTTGGTCATAATCATTATAACTGAATGAATAAGACATACTCAAGTACTCATTTAAATAAAACTAATATTTTCGGATTTATTACGCGTTTGATGATGAGATGTCTTTTTTATCTCGTCTGACCATGATCAAGGCTGCAAAGTAATGTAAAAAAGTAGTTAAAATAATAAAAAACGTGTCATAAATACGGCGAGTATTTTATGTTTTATTGAAACAATAACTGAATACATATATACCCAAAACATGTTGTCTTGTTACGATGACTGAATAATAAAAGATTTTTTGAAAATTATTTACTGTGATTTTGAAATTAGTATGATTTGTTTAATGTTAAAATAGCAAGGACCTTAATAAATTCGGCAATATAGCTAGAACCAGTTTCCATTTATAAACACGCAGATAATATAAAGGAGTTCTATTAATCAAGTCCGCGTAAAAATATATTTCGCTGAAAAAATATCGTAACACTGTGTTAACGTTTTTAGGGAAAAAACAGGTAATTATGTCAATACCTGCTCAAATAATAATTATTAACTTAAGCATTATTCTGCCAAAAACTTTTTTTATGAAAATGTCTTATTTCTTTATTTTTTTTTTCATTTCAAAGGTGGCAAACTAGCATACGGCCTACTTAATGGGCAGTAGTGACCGTCGCCCAAAGACATTCGCAACATAGATGTTACGGAAAAGGGAGGGGTGGGAAAAGGAAAATATCAGGAAAGGGAGGGAATAGGGAAAAGACATTTATTCTGTCAACATAAAAATTAAAATAATTTAAATGAAACTAGGTAATATTTTTAAAAAATATTAGTTTCATTTAAATGTGTACTCGCGAAAATCTTAGATCTCATTATTAAAATAATTTAATCCAATTTTGAGCGAAGACAATTTAATAATAATATTTATAAAACATAAACTATCAAAATAAGTCAGTGGTGGCCTAGTGGTTAAAGGGCCCGCCTCTCGTTGCCGAGGGCGCGGGTTCAAACCTGGCAAGTACCAATGTGATTTTTCGGAGTCATATGTACTTTCTGAGTGTATTTAGACATCACTGACATACGGTGAAGGAAAACATCGTGAGGAAACCTGGACTTATAGTTTCACAATTATGAGTTTGAAATCACCAACCCGTCTTGAGCAAGCGTGGTGATTAATGCTCAAACCTTCTCCATGTGAGAAAGAGGCCTTGCTCAGCAGTGGGCTCTGATAGGCTGATGACATCAAAATATTAAGAGATATTATTAGTCAAATAATTTGAGTACATAAATTTTAAATCAATTAAATTATTTATTGTGACCTACATTGTATTGTACAAAAACGTGCACGACGCATTCAGCCAACGTCACGTAGACTGTAGATTACACGGAAGAAGTTATTGTATAGTTTGTATAATATTTTATTCAAAAACATTGTAATTGCAATTATTAATATTCATATGTAAAGTAAGATAAAAATATATTTCATTCATTAGTTACTTACATAATAATAGCGATGCTATATAAAAATGAAGTTTGTTAAAAGAAAAAAAAAATAGTCTAGTACACATTTCGCAGCAGGAAAAAATGTTTTGCATATTTCAAAAGAAAATTTGACAATATGTCTCAGACTCTCCGTTTTCCAAATTCCTTGTCCTAATTTCATACAGTTTTAAAAGAAAAATAAAAAGTTTACAAAATCCAAAATCTTCTTATCTACTTTAAGGAGGAATAGAGATCGCCCGGGCAGTTCTACGTTTATAATTCTGAAAATAAAGCAGATAAAGTCGCGAGTATAAACTAGTGATATATAAAATGCTATGGTCGTTTCTGAGAATAGAATATGGAATGTATATTAAACAGAAATCCCTACTAATAGTATAAATGCGAAAGTAACTCTGTCTGTCTGTTACGCTTTCACGACTAAACCACTGAACTGATTTTAATGAAATTTGGTACAGACATAGAGTTGACCTTGAGAAAGAACATAGGATAGTTTTTATCCCAGACTTTTGAAAGGTTCTCTTGGAAACGCGATATAACCGAACTCCACGCGGGCGAAGCTGCGGGGGGAAAGCTAGTATACGATAAACGATGAAAAAAATCCATAAAACGTTGTAGGAGTAATAATGAAACGTTTGATTGATTTTTGATATATGAAATATGTACCTACTTGTATCGTATAGCATAAAAAAAACTATTTTTATAATGATCTAGCTTTCCGCCCGCAGCTTCGCCCGCGTGGAATTCGGTTATATCGCGTTTCCAAGAGAACCTTTCAAAAGTCTGGGATGGAAAACTATCCTATATTCTTTTTCAAGGGCAACCCTATGTCTGTACCAAATTTCATTAAAATCAGTTCAGTGGTTTAGGCGTGAAAGCGTAACAGACAGACAGACAGAGTTACTTTCGCATTTATAATATCAAGTAGGGATTTATAAATATATCTGTAAATACAAGCTTGATATTTATATTGAAGTACAGTTTCAGTCTAGGTTTTTAATGTTCGTCGTTTATTCTATAAAGGTTCTATAAAATGGCTGAAGCCAGTATTGATAGTTTTCAAATACAAGTTTATACTTAAATGTTGCCATTACAAAATAACAATGGTTCAGTATTATAATTAATTAAGTCATGAAAATAATTTAAAGGATTATAGTATATTATAATTTTTAATTACACTTGTAATTAAGGTAAATTAAAAAATTAAAACCCTTTATATGTCCAATTAAGTTTTAATAAGTTTAACTAGTTTAATAAATGTATGTAAGTAGCTGTTAGGATTGTTTATAAATTGACAGAAGCCAGAATAGTTAAAGCTTATAATGTTTTATATATAAATCGTGACAGGTTATTAGGTGGATTGAGAAACAGGAAACGCTTGGTGTGTAGTGTAGACTCGTGCTAAACATACTAGACGATCAACGATGTGACGTCTTGTATTGAATAATTAATTAAGTACTGATATACAGTTAGGTGGTAGAGACTAGCTGTGGTCAGTTACTACAGCTCGAACATGTGCTGGGTCGACCGTAAGTACCACCCTCTCACAGAAGATCGGCGTGAAGTAGTCTTTAATGGATGCGTTTCGTTCGATGAGTGAGAGAGACGGTTGCCCTTTTCCTGCTCCCACCCTTTCACTTTATACACTCCTCTGTCCATGAGCAAATGTACTACCTCCGTCAGGTGGGCCCAGTGGCGGCGTAAGGCGTGGGCGACGTGGGCTATTGCCTACGGCCTCGCGGTGCAAAGGGGCCCCGCGCCTCAAAAATTTTTAAAGCCAGAATTTTTAAAAATATATCTTCTTCTTCCTGGCAATTTCCCAGCTATAACCAGGGTCTGCCTTACATATTATAAATAGTTTTGGCTATTTGTTTTTACGACCGGTTGCCTGCCTGACATCAACCCTTTTTGGGAATCAGATTTAATTAAACCTATTTTAATAAGAATAGTGTATTCAATGTTTTAATAATATTTAGCGAATAAATAGATAGAGTTTAAGTATATTGATTGCCCCCGAAAACAGTGACGTTTTTTAATTGTTTCTGTTTTTTTCTCTGATTTGTAATACATCGGTACCTGTACTCGTCTATTTTACATAAAGTAAGAAATATTTAATTGGTAATAAGTATGTAACGCAGTAATTGCTTGTACTTATATAAAATACGCTTTATAATGTCTTTTGAACGAAACCAAAGCTTTAAGGGTAAAAAACGTATCAACGTTTAAGTTTTTAAAACTAGCAGGTAGTAAGAGCTTCAAGTTGCCATAGAATAAGGCCTCGCGAAATTTATCTTGCCCACATCAAATTCAGGGCTTGCCCCGCCACTGGGTGGGCTGTCTGCTCATTTGACCACTTTGTCATAAAAAGCAGTATTTTTATAGATCTAGAATGTTCCTTACTTTCCTCCAATCTAATTTTAAATAGAAATATAGACATAGTAGACGGAAGCGCACTATCTCAGTGTAAGATATTTGTCTCTTTCCGTTTAGTTTTTATAATACTGAATTGTAAATGAAACTTGGAAGCAATGTAGCCAAAAGTATTAAAGAAAACGGCTTCGTTTGAGTAGCCCAAATAAAAAATGCTTTTTAAACGTCTCTATAAAGTCTCAAATCTGTGATAATATGTACATACATTTTACATAGCAATACACATTTAAAAATATATAACAAAATACCCAACTAATTATAAAAAGACAATGTACTGAATATCAAAGTTAAGTAAAACAACAACTGTATAATTTTAAAGACTTTTAAAACTTAGTAAAATATAAAATTGCCTCATTTATTAAAATAGTAATATTTAAATAAATAAACATTTTAAACTAAAATCATCAAGAAGCGGCCTTATTTCGCCAATAATAAAATTTACGTAATCTGGCAACACTGACAGGAAAGTACACGGACGCGGGAAAAACAAATCTTATCACTCATGAACTGTCAAATAAAACTATTTACTTTTAAGTATCGTTTAATAAAAATATTTCTTTCTCTTAGGATTAATAATAATAATAGTTCTTTTTTACACTTCCATTGTTTTCGAAAAAAATATCTGTCTTTGTCATCGCAAATGAAAAATGCTTCGGTCTTCAAAGCATGTGCATCACGATTCACGAACAAAATATAAGTTAACTTATTTAAAAACCCATATTATATGTAAAGTATATTTGTTTGTTATATTAAGCCACTTTTAACTAAAACTCCGGTACATAGTATATATTTTTAGACCTTTATTTATTTGTTTGTTCCGGCTAACTTTCATTGTCAGGTATCTAATGTAATAAGGACCGGTTTAGGATAGTTTTACTTTAGAAAGAAAAATATGTACATATTAAGATGTAATGTATGTGTGTAGCAAAATAAATGGTTTAAATGAACAATAATAAAAAAACTTTAAATCATGGGCACAACCAGTTTGAAATAAATCTAAAACATTTATATTCATATACATACATACCTATATATATAAAAGTCGTGTTAATTACACTATTCATAACTCATGAACGGCTGTTGGCATATGGTTGAAAATTAGTGGAGAGATAGATTAGAACAAGGAGACGGACATAGGATATTCAGTTATGATCGAAAAAGAAAAAAAAAACAAAATTAAACAATATCTGGTTATTTACTGCCTCTAGGGCGGAATAGAGTTCGCCCGGTCAGCTATACATATATTACTTATTTCTAAATTAACGCGGACGAAGTCGCGTGCAAAAACTAGTGTATATATCCCTACTAATATTATAAATGCGAAAGTAACTCTGTCTGTCTGTTACGCTTTCACGCCTAAACCACTGAACTGATTTTAATGAAATTTGGTACAGACAGAGTTGACCTTGAGAAAGAACATAGGATTAGAGTTTTTATCTTAGACTTTTATAAGGTTCTCTTGGATACGCGATATAACCGAACTCCACGCGGGCGAAGCTGCGGGCGGAAAGCTAGTAGTAAATAAAACCAACCATTAATATAATATATTTATTTAAGCCTCTTCGTTCTTAGCAAGCAGTCCTCGGATGCTCAAGTCATACACCACTTCTTCAATCTTCTTCACGTCATACTTGAGAGCATCAAACCTCTTTCTGAGATGATCGTTTTTGAGATTCAACAACCTATAAAATATACACACATATTATATAATATGTAGTTATAAGATTTATATCATCATCAACCTATCAGAGCCCACTGCTGAGCCTCTTCTCACATGGAGAAGGTTTGAGCATTAATCACCACGCTTGCTCAAGACGGGTTGGTGATTTCAAACTTATAATTTGTATTTAAGTTCAGGTTTCCTCAAGATGTTTTCCTTTATCAGTCAGTTGTGTCTAAATACTCTTAGAAAGTACATATGACTCGGACAAATCAGTGGTAGTTCCCAGGTTTCGAACCTGCGCCCTCATGCATGAGAGGCGGACCTTTACCTACTAGGTCACCACAACTTAAAGTTTAAATATTTGTATATTATAACTTCTAACCAGTTAGTTAGTTATAAGTTATAACTGAACTATATTTAATATATTCATGTAATATATAAAGTTTAGTTAAAAAACTAACTAATTTTTACCTGAACCCAGCATTCAACTCCATAACAAATTTGGATATTTGCAGCGGTTTTTCATAATCACCTCTAGTTACAGAATTAACGGCCAACCGAGACTGTAAAAGACAGACATACATGATAATAAAAACTTATATAAGAAAAACAAAGTTATATGTTAAGTAATGATATATTATATTGTGCATATCTATGTATAAAATTCTCGTGTCGCGGTGTTAGACAGAGAACTCCACCGAAACGGCTGGACCGATTTTGATGAAATTCTGTGAGCATATTAAATAGGTCTGAGAATCGGTCAACATCTAGTTTTCATACCCCTAAGTCATAAGTTGACCCTTAATGTTCTTTTTTTTTCGCATGAATTTTGTTATTTTTTTATAATCCAGCATTAAAATATAGATACAACCGAAAATTTTCTTCACCAACCCCTATTCTTTTATCGTAGAAACTCTATTAACCGGACTAATTGTTGTCGATAGGCATTCGTATAATCGAATGTATGAAGAAAAGACGGTTTTGTTTATATGTAGAACATAATACCTATTATATGTTCATTTAAAAAATAAATTTCAATATATACATGGTAATTTGCAATTGGTAATTATGAATTATAATAATAAATTTCAATTGGTTTAGAATATTTGGTAATTATCATTTGACGTACGCCACTCTCAACAACACCACTAATTTTTATCCGGACTTGTCCGTAGTCCGGCTAATCGCGAATCCGTATAACTGAGGGCCGGATAATAGAGTTTCTACTGTATATGGCAGAACAATGTTTGCCGGGTCAGCTAGTATATATATGTTTATATGTTTGATGAATGATGGGATCAATTTGGAGTTAATTTGAATAACATTGATTATACAGGGTGACTGGTGAATTACTATCGATATTTGAGGACGTGATATTTGACGATCATATATGACAAAATAAAAATTAATATAACATAAATATTAATAAACTTCTAAGTAAAGTTAACCAAAAGTTATGTAATTAATTACGCATCGTGTGAACACCCTACAGATTAGGTATACACACACACACACATACGCGTGCGGCGACGTGTTGTTGTATCAGCACGCCGCCGCACGCGTCCACACTCGGAACACTTGGAACGTGTACACACTTTATTTATTTATACGGAAATTTGGTCAAAAATTAAGTACCTATTTTTTTTACATAATTCGAATGAGAATCATGTACCGAGTATGCTCCTTAAATATTGATAGTAATTCACCAGTCACCCTGTATATATGTATACTTACAAGTTCAGAACATAAATGCAATAAGCCAACCAAATAATCTTCAATATCAAGATGAAACCCTTCCTTCTCTTCAATCGCACTCACTGAAAGTTAAAAAACATATTTAATATATAGTTTTTTTACATAATCATTTCATTACAATGAAATTTAAGATAAAAAAATGCTGTATCATATTGGCTAAAACTTTTACATCATATGATAGCTATGAAGAGGAATACATATATTGTTTTTATATCCCTACTAAAATTATAAATGCGAAAGTAAGTCTGTCTGTCTGTTACGCTTTCACGTCTACACCACTGAACTGATTTTAATGAAATTTGGTACAGACATAGAGTTGACCTTGAGAAAGAACATAGGGTAGTTTTTATCCCAGACTTTTGAAAGGTTCTCTTGGAAAAGCGATATAATCGAACTCCACGCGGGCAAAGTTGCGGGCGGGAAGCTAGTAGTTTATATTTTGAAAATGCTATGAAATCAACAAGTAATAAGTACATATAATTAATAATACTGTCAAAGTTAAAGTAGCAGGTTCATATCTGGTCAAGACAATTTTTTTTTTGTTTTTATATATAATTATAAAGGGATTCATTCAGAAAATTAAATTTAATTATGATACTTAAACATTTTAATAAATTAATCAATTGTTTCAATCTTTGTATCTTAAGCAATCTAGAGATATAAAAATGAATTAAAGTAATTATAATGATAAGAAGAATATGATTAGCATATGAAAATACACAAACCCTTCTATTCGAAGTTGGTTAAAACAGATTTGTGTAATCAATAAATGAACTATAAAATTTTTAGAGATTTTATATTTGAGTTGCATAAAATATTTCTGATATAACAAGATCTAAAGGAAAAATTGATAATCAGACAGTGATTTTGATACAACTTATACATAACACATTTTTGTGAAGTCGGGAGAAGATTAGTGATTTTAGAAATATCTAAATTTAATGGTAATACTTATATTATAAATTGAAAGGTTTGTGAGTATTAGAAACTATATTTTATCTTGATATTCTAAACTGTTTCATTTATGTAGTTTCAACAAAATCGATAAAGGTGTTTTTGTATTGATAGTAATAAGCATATATTGGTAAATAATGAGACAAAACCTTTCATCATTCCATGTATTCACGGTGCGGGTGTCGGGTCTATCGTTGTAGTGAGAGGAGCTTCAACAGTGACTGGGACTTGTGACCCAGGTGTAGGTTTAATATATATAGAGAGACGAAACCTCTCATCATTCCATGTATTCACGGTGCGTGTGTCGGGTCTATCGTTGTAGTGAGAGGAGCTTCAACAGTGACTGGGACTTGTGACCCAGGTGTAGGTTTAAGGGACCCCTATCTAACGCGTTAAACGCTCACCTCCACTGTCCAAGCTCCTCTCTCTACCTAATTTGAAACGAACCTACTAGGGCTGTATACAAAGTATGTTCCAAGAATGAATTGATATTAGTTCTGGACAGGCCCAAGTCTTTAATAGGTATATATAGTTTTGATTCCTATGCTAAATTGTTAATTAAATTAAATTATGTGATATATCTCATTTAAGTGAACATTATATGTTCTTTATGAGGAAATAAAGTTCTTTCTTTAACCACAATGAGTGTTTTTGACTAAGATCAATACATTACCTCCTAATATACTCGCTACTGTTTCATGTGTAGCCAATATGCCGGTTTCCAGCCAAATCGTGAGTGATATTAAGAAACAGTATCTCTGTGTTGTGAAACGCCAATGGTCGTGGTATCTGAAATTATGACAATTGTACTATCAGTTTGGGTCAGTAACTAAAAACAGATAGTTAAGTCACTCGTAATTGTTATGATGGTTTAAATAGGTTTTGGATATTGAAAACTGTTGGTTTATTAATGATGTATTGCTAGTAAGAGTCAAGTTAATTTGATTTTCTTTATAAGGTATAAATTAGAAATATATTAGTTTCAATATAGATAAATTTATACATTTTCTATACATATTCATTAGTAAACTTCTTATAAGGCATAAAATACTTGATGTACCTAAATACTTCGTAATTATTTTAATCAATATTTTATCAAACCACTTATAGATTTGGCATAGAAAAACACATATCGTAAACATAATCCCTAGATTTTAACACATAAGAAGAAAAAAGGATAATACTATAATTAATTGTGACTTTTTAGTAATGTAATCACCATACTTATAAAAATCCCTCGCTGGAACCGCCGTCTTCAATCTCTGATAGCCTTCGTTGGCTTTTTCGAATAATTCACGGGCTTTTTGACATGCTGGTAGTACTGGAATTAGGTAAGGGTAAGTTTTTAGTAAAAATAAACGACATTGCTGTAGTCAAAAAATATGCGCTTGAAATATTTTTGACATTATTATTATTATTATATATCCTTCTTCTACCTGGCAGTTTCTCAGCTTTAGCCAGGGTCTGAGTTACATGTTGTGAATAGTTTTGTTTTTACCACCGGCCGCCTGCCTGACATCAACCCTCTTTGGGAATGCATTAATCAGTGATGTCTAAATACTCTTAGAAAATAATTCTTATTATATATGTAGTCTCCTTGTTAAATGTTAAATAATAAAGAAATACTCACTACCGGCGTCACTGTGGTGTATTACTTGGAGAACTGTTGTCACTTCGCGAGATATCTGATCAATTTCTTTACAAATCTGGCGTATAACCTACAATTACAATGAGTCGTCATATATTTAATAAATTAAACAGAAATACTTATTTATAAGATTTTTATAAGTTAAATAAATAAACTTGATATACTGATGCAAATAATATTATCAAAATCCGCGATTACCGTTTGACATATTAAGAATTATGGAATATAACTTACTTCGCGCAATTCCTGTTCAGAATCTAGACTCTTCTGAAACTCACTGAATATCGAATTAACGACGTGGTTTGAACTCATTTTTATTATTTCTTTATATAAAACAAAAATTGTTTATTATTGAATGTTTTTATTTACCAGTACGGCATTAATATGTACTTCCGGTTTAGAAATGTCTACGGAGTACAGACTGAAAATAAATATAGTGTATAAAAGTATGATTATATAAAATGTTAATGATTTATACATTTATTATAAAGCTATTATAATTTTAAAATTGTAATTAATAGAATTAAATTTACACGAATTGCAATTCACATTATATTTTTATTATTAGAAGCAGCAATAAGAAATAAGTTAATGGCTTGATTCTTGTTAACTATAATTAAGAATTAGAATAAAAATTGTGAAATGCATAAAGTATATCTGAAATAAAAACAGCTTAACGTTATATTTATTATATATAAAGGCGTTAAATTAAAATTCTCTAACACACTACACTAAATTGTTTTCAAACATTCGTGGCTTTTCAGAGAATGCTATAGATATTTATAAATAAATTCTATACTTTTGTACCAGTTTCGGATAGGAAAAACTTAAGAGATTTCGTTTAGGCCTAAAAGTTTATGCTTATATTAAGATTTTAATATTTTATATTATTGAATGTAAATGACAAAGTGGAAACCTTATTTTGATAGAATTTTTGACAAACCCTAATTTGTGTTTGTTTAGCAAAACTTGGGCAATCATCTCGCTTTTTGGTCAGCATTAGAATATGTATCAGTCTACGGAAACTTTTTTGCTTATAGACTATTTAGTACCTATACATTTTTTATTATTAAATGCAAGAACTTATATGATGCTTAACTATATCTAAAACTTAGTGTTCAAATTCACAATTAAACAATGTATCGCTTAATGTTCCATAACTATGTAATCTCGTAATTAAATTACATTTTTACTTTTCGACTAGACAATATAATAGCTAGTCAACTTAGTTGACATACAGGTAATGCTTGATGTCTAATTTTCATGTGTATTTATTTAAAATGAAATCATATGTCGTTCAATGTATATAAACTAAATATTAGATTTCATTCTTCCTCCTCTATTAGACATGAAAATTAAGGTGGATAGAAATAAAAACACAGTTAAACAATCAATAATTTTTATTTAACCAGTTTTAGCCAGGTGGCCAATGCATCTGGCGACCACCCAGAATGTGTACATGAAGGTGGTACACACTCTGAGCACCGTTCTTGCCATCGTTTATCACCAAACGGAATCCAGTCTTATCCAAGCCTTTATCCGCAGCTACTTTACGAGCCACCAGTAGGAGATGTCCTATAAGCAAAATAATATTCATCAGAAAATTCTAGATAAATCCTTTAGATAGATTATTTGTAACAATTTTCTAGTAATATAAGACAATATATTTCATCATTCCATGTATTCCCGGTGCGTGTGTCGGGTCCATCATTGTAGTGAGAGGAGCTTCAACAGTGACTGGGACTTGTGACCCAGGTGTAGGTTTAAGGGGCACCTAAATAGAATTAAACACTCACTTCCACCATCCGAGCTCCTCTCTCTACCAATGACTATGTAATGACTTGACGGTAATAGTTTTGTTTTGAGTCACATTATTCATTACCATGTTCAGTCCATAGAGTTTATATGTTTATAAATCTTCCAACCAAAATATTTAAACTATATCTCACACAGAAATACAATGATGTAATATATAACAATAAGAAGTCTTTGAAATTGGCTTTAATATAGGCATGCAAATTTATTTATCACCTTTCTTGAGAAGGATAACTCAAATATCTGACCAATACTTCCGAGTCAGAAAGATGCTGCCTTTAGTAAAGATTTTATTTAATTATTCTACTTTTATATTAGTAGGTAAGATTTTCTTTATATATTTGATTATGTATGAGTTTTGAATGTCTTAAGAACTAATAAATCATAAGTATTTAGCGATAAATCACCAAAAAGTATGTATGGTGTTATATAAGAAAATCTATATGAATAAAAAGAAATTTAGACCCATAGATATTTTGGTACATTGAAACTTGTATCAAATGTTATTTAATAATATTACTGAGCATTCAAGAGGCTTTAAATTGAACTATTTCTTGTTTATAAATCTTATATGATAATTTGTTCACCAAATACGGATGAAAAAACTATTACTGTGATTCATACAGTTGGGAATTCAATATTAAGTATTTAAATCATGAATATAATTTACCAAGGAGTTTTTCATCTTCATCATCAGCTTTGGACAACTGAGGGATTGGTTTCCGAGGAATCACCAGTATGTGTGTCGGTGCTTGAGGATTTACATCATCGAATGCTACACACTGAAACCATAAAGTTATTTAATAGTACCCTTATTATGAGACTGTATCAAACTACAAACAGACGGTAACGCGTTTTTCATGAATTGACGTTGATATTATGTGAAAATATTTAAGTAAACGAAATACTCTGTATGTAGTAAGAGAATAGAAAGTATACTTAGGTATATATATCTTCCTATTAAGAACAAATTGATAATATTCGAATGTACATGAAGTAAATTATCTTAAAAATGATGTTTTTATACCTAATAGCGTCTGATTATTTGTATATATATCGATTTAATGACATTGAAAATTTAAATATTTACGCAAAAATCTTTTTGAGTAGTAAAAGTTACTTTTAATTATCACAAAGAAAATATGAATAGATCTAAGAATTGCAGTTATAGTGGGATATTACTAATTATATCGGCGTAAAGGTTAAAATAAAAATCAGCTGATAGCTACCGGCCGGCAAATTGTTTAGCAAAATTATACAAATGCAATTTACCTGATCATCTTCGTAAACGAACTTAGCTGGTATTTCTTTCCTTAAAATCTTCCCGAATATAGTATCACCCCCCTGGGATGCAGATTGCGCTAATTCCACTTCACCGCCCGCCATGTTTTGCAGGCAGTGAGAATTTGGCAGTTTTACAGTTCTTTTGAAGTTAGAACTAACTTCAGTTTTCTGACATATTAATGTCTTATATGACAGAACGTATAGTAGCTTATAAACAGTTTATATTATTAAAAATTGCAAAAATGTTAGTTTTAATTAATTGTATTTGAATAATATTAAACTTTATACATAATTATATAATTCAGATTAAAGTTTCGTAGTTCCAGATTCCCAACTTTTACGTTAGATAAAGTTTTTGCTGTACATTGTATTCAAAATTTTCCACCCTTGTAATAATTCTGTTTATTTAATCAATATATCCTATTATTTATTTCATTGAAGGAGATCATTCACCAACGGATACAAGTATAGATTTTTGTTGTTTAAATAATTATCACTGGAAAGAACGAAAATAAATTCACATTGAATTGTTTAATGTTGCTAGAACTCAAGATGAGCAAATCAAACACAAAATTCATTTAACCCGTAATATTTTGCCAATGACGTGATTTTCAATTAACGAAGGAATTATAATTTTCAATACTTACTGTGTGAAAAAAAAAGTCTAAATGAAATAATAACTTCAACAATATTGTAATGGACTGTATCATATTCCAATGTGTCATTCTATCACAGAACCTGTTTAATCTGAGCTCTCATTTTATAGTTTTACTATTCACGACTTTATATTTATGAAGTAAAACTTCTGTTGCGACTTCAAACAAGGTTGCGTTAAACGTTCAACGCTCCTGGGGAGGGAATGGAGTAAATGGGTGGGTCAATTGTGAATTATAAGCAATGTTTATAAAAGTTTGTCTTAAAGAAACGTTATAAGTTTAGTAAAAAAATGTTTCTACCGCTTCCTATTTTCAATTCCACTTTACGAAGTTTCACTTCTACCGTACGGGATGACTCCAAGCTCTATTATTTTTTTAATAGGATTCTTGAAGACCCGGCGAACTTCATATCGCCCTATAATCAAGAAATATCTGTTACGTTTTTTATTTATATTTTTGGAGTTTACTTAAATCTAAAAACATAAATCTCCGTGTTTTGAAGTGCGACAGAATGATTGACATATTAGTTAGTTGTCAAATCTAATGTTAAAAAAACGTTTGTATCAACAACTACTAATAAATTAAAAATTAATTAATAAAACATTGTCCGGCGGACAAAATTGTGAATCTAAACCATACCCAGATCCTCTTGAACACACACAAAAAATTTCATCAAAATCGGTCCAGTCGTTTGAGAGAAGTTTAGTGACATACACACTCACAGAAGAATTATATATACAGGGTGACTGGTGAATTACTATCGATACTTGAGGACGTGATATTTGACGATCATATACTTATGACAAAATAAAAATTAATATAACATAAATATTAATAAACTTCTAAGTAAAGTTAACCAAAAGTTATGTAATTAATTACGCATCGTGTGAACACCCTACAGATTAGGTATACACACACTCACACATACGCGTGCGGCGGCGTGGTGTTGTATCAGCACGCCGCCGCGCGCGTCCACACTTGGAACACTTGGAACGTGTCAACACTTTATTTATTTATACGGAAATTTGGTCAATAATGAAGTGCCTATTTTTTTTTACATAATTCGAATGAGAATCATGTACCGAGTATTCTCCTTAAATATTGATAGTAATTCACCAGTCACCCTGTATAAAGATTTACTCCTCTTTCAGACAGTTTCAAAACTTATGTACAGCTTGCTTTCATTAAGTGTAAGAGGGTTTTAAAATAAAGTTTAACAATACAAAGCTATTTTCCTATGAAAGTATATTGTGCGGCCCAAGCTGTAAATTAAAGCTAAAAAATTTTCTAAGACGGTCGGCGATATTGAAAAAATGGACATAGATATTACGTTTATGGTGATTAACAAAAGATTGAGCTCAACTTCTTTAGCTGTCACTTGTGAAAATACTAAGTTTGCAGTAGAACAGTTCGGGAAAATAAAATTATATACAATATTTAGAACCTAAGATTTAAACTAAATTTCTTTGGATCTAGGCAAAACTAGAATGGGATTAAAGGATTCACCGAAAAGTCAGCTTTTTATACAAGAGACTCAGCAGTTAAAATAACTGCTTTTTTCCTTTATAATAAATTGCCATAATAAATAATACAGAAACTTTTTGGTAGGATTTTCAAGTGTTTCAACTACTATCTGTCTGGAATTAAAAACATTATAAGCTTCGAAAAAGGAACTGGCTAAGTGTTTAATATTATTTATATAAAATTTAAGATATCAATGAGCATTAATATTGGCAGAATGGCTTAAAACCTTTGTTTCTAAAATTGATAAAATAAAAAAATTGCTTTATCTATTATTAAGTAATTTTATGGGATTTTATAATAAAATGTAAAATAAAACTAATATATAACAAGGTCATATGTATATTTAATATAACATAACACTGTATTTACAAAATCTATATACGTGCGTGTGTGAACCATTTTAAGTACATCGCTTGTTTATAAAAAAAAATCATAGCTAACAATAATATTTATTAAATAAGATTTACAAAACAATAAACAGTATATATAAAATGAGGCCGTAGGAAATATTATAACTGGTAACACCGATAGATACTGTCTAAATTTTAACATTGTAAAAAATGGCGGGAAGAAAAAATATTTATATATAAAAAATCATTACAAACGTTTCTCAAATGCGGATTTAGTAGGTAAAAGATATATATATGATGCACTTATTATTACTTATTAAATATTAAGGAAGAGTTTTTATGTTGTATAGAAAAATGTTGAGAGAATACTGATAATATATATAAGTTATAAAATATTAAACTTGGAGTGACAATTAAAGAATTTTAAAGCAATATTTATTAATAAATGCATCTTTGCATCATTAGTGATGTACCTAGACCTCATCTTAAAACATGTAAAAGTTACCGGTTTCTTAATAAAATATAACATAGATTAAATAAATCTAACATACATCAATAAAATAATTTACATATTAAAAAAATAAACAAAAACTAACAAACGAAATACATTATTGTACGTGTATGGCGTTCAATAAGTTAAGAATTAAATGCATATAACTTTATGTTAATCTGTGGGAAATTTTGGATGAAATATCAATGTTAAAGCCAGTTTTATATAATAAAAAAAATAGATATATTATTTAAATGCTACAATTTGATAATATTATAATATAAAAGATAAATTATTATATACTGAAATTTAATTAGCTGCCGCAAAATAACATATATTTTTTTAATAAACTATTTTTTTACACAGATTATATTACCTCAATATATACATATTGATTTTTATGTTATAAATTGGCGCCAAAATAAAGCAACTGTCACAAGCAAGCAAAATTCAATTATATTAAGAAATATTTTAAAGAAAAATGTTTTTAATGCCTGCATGTCTGTCAGTCTTTATATAGCGATGAGGTTATATTATAATGAATTCACAGCCTTATTAATATTTAAATTTAAAATGGAGGATAGTTCACGATTTATAAAGAAAAAGCGTCACAACAATAATTTTAAGGTTTTAATTTACGAACGTGAATACACGATCTTTTACGTAAGGATGATTTTTATTATTTATTATTAATTTTTTCCTAATTATTGAATATTTACATGTGTTATAAAAGTAAAAAATTTTTTGGGCAAGTCACTTTTAATTTCTGTTTGACGCGAGGTAGAATTACTGAATCACTGTACATTTTTATGTGTATTTTATTTCGTGATTTCTACCAAAGTAAGATATTGTAAATTAATTTTGAGCCCTCGCATATAATATTGTCTAAAGCATTGAAATTAGACAACTGTATGACTTTCTTTCGTCTTTATAAACATATATTACATATATTTTTTATACATTTCCGTTTTAATAAATGAAAAAACGTCCAAATATATAAATTTACAGCGAAGGGTAAATTTCACCCTATCAATAGTCTCTGTGGGTAATTATTAACATTTCATTTCAGGGTAACGATAGTCGTTACCCTTGACCGGGGTAATTGTTGACGTTTTTACCCCGGGCGGGGTCATTTTCACCCCCACGTCGGGTCATATTTGGTCCATTGATACCCGGGGGCGAGGTAAACTCTTCTTCCTTGAATGTAACACGTCACTATGCCGCGGTACGCTGTACGGGGAATGCCACTCTGAAAATAATGGAAATTATATATATATGATATACCAAAAAGAGAATTTAATTAATATAAATAAAGTCAGTGATGGCCTAGTGGTTAAGAGGCCCACCTCTCATGCATGAGGGCGCGAGTTCGATCCTGGCAAGTACCAATGTGATTTTTCCGAGTCATATGTACTTTCTAAGAGTATTGAGACATCACTGATTAATGCATTCCCAAAGAGGGTTGATGTCAGGCAGGCGGCCGGTCGTAAAAACAATTAGCCATAACTATTCATAACATGTAAGGCAGATCCTGGCTAAAGCTGGGAAATTGCCAGGTAGAAGAAGAAGAAGATTATATAAGATCAAATAAATGGAACCAGTAAGAACGTTTACATATAGAATCTAAACAATTAGTACTGGCTCATTAAATATTTTTTTGAGATAATATTTCTTCTATACAAATCTCTTAGTTTCAACTAAATCACTATCAATACATAGTAGAGTTGGTACAATAAATGTATCTTGATAATCTCTTGGATCTTGAATGTATAAAACAATATTTTTCTATCTTTTAATATGTAGCAATTAGCATTATGGAAAATCTTTTACCAAAAATTTTACATGTAGGTAAATGATTATTATATCAAAACTATTTTTAACACGTCATTAGAAATTATGTGTATAGGAGAAAAAAATATTAGTAAAAAGAATAGCAATCCTGTAATATTAAGCAAACTTTGTTTACTTAAGTCGCATGTGGGTAGTGTGAAAAAGTTCAAACCTACCCTAAAATCGTCCATTAGGCCCAATTTCTTGGCAGCCTTCTGGTATGTTTTGGCGCTGGTGTATGTCACTTTAACGGGTTCGGTTCCCGGGCGCGACTTGACCTCCTCGGCGGTCAGTTCCGGTAGTGACGTCACTAATGTTGTGAGATGATCGTCGTATACATCCTGTATAAAAAAAATTGAATTATATGCTGAAGGTCGCAGGTTTGAATCTTGTGTCGATGTATTTATTATATTGAAATGAAATTCATATATATGGAGATTAATTTTGAACTGTTCCTATGATATGTATAAATCCCTACTCATATTATAAATGCGCAAGTAACTCTGTCTGTGTGTCTGTTACGTTTTCACGCCTAAACCACTGAACTGATTTTAATAAAATTTGGTGCAGATAGAGTTGACCTTGAGGAAGAACATAGGATAGTTTTTATCTCAGACTTTTGAAAAGTTCTCTTGGAAACGCGACATAACCGAACTCCAAACGGGCGAAGCTGCGGGCGGAAAGCTAGTTTACTATATAGGTAATTTATTGTTTCTAAGTGAATTCTTTTTTGGGGTTTTTGGACTACATGTTCTTTCTCATGTTTGTAAAATATAGTCTTTTGTCTGATAACCAAAATGAAATATAACTGAAAATTGCGGGTAGTTTCTATACTCACCTTCAATAAGTATGTTAGGTTTAGTTTGGTGAATTCTATATAGTCCATGTTCAACTGCATATATCTTAAATGCATGTCGAAGAACAGTCCTTTGCTGACGCCCACCTAAAAAAAAATTTCGAAGTATTAAGTAGACAAGAACTAGATTTTAGCAGGATTTAGAGTTAGGTTTTCGCGATATTTTTATACAGTTGAAATGGATATTGCTTTTATTTCTTCATAAATAAGACTGCCAGCTATAAATCATCTATTTTTCCTCTTTAAATTTGTTCTATGTATACTTTTTCCCCACGTACTAAAGACATTTTGTTTAAGGAAAAAAACATTTAATTAAGTTGCTATATTTATAGAAATTTGGTCTTAAGCATCAGATTTTATAAGGGATGGAAATGAACAGCTTTTAAGGCTGTAGGTGGTATTAATCATCAAATAGTTTATTGTAACAATTAGTCTCATATGAAGAATTGGTACTTAAAAGTTAAAAGGCCAGTAAAATTGCAGTGAAGAGAAAATTTTTAGGTATTTTCGTGTTTATTAGACTATTTTAACGTAAGAAGTTTCATAGTCAGGTAAATGTTTATTGGGCAGGATTTACTAACCTTTCCGAAGCTGTACGTCCTTGAAACTTCAGGTCTGATGCAAGCTCGACCTTGAGTGTTCTCTGGATCTCGGAGCCAATCATCAAAGAAACTGAAATATTAAGTATTGATGCATTTTATAACTGGTTATTACTGTAATTTTCCTTGAATATCTGAATATATGGAGTTTAAATCATGGAAGAAAGATGGTAAAGGTGGGTAGCTCAGAAGAGCTCATTATATTTAACCCATTGAGTGGTTTAATAGTCTAAAATTAAGATCTTTGAACATTTTGCACGGATTAAAAGAGATTGTTAAATTAAGCTACTCTCAACTATATCAGCTATCTACCAGTGAAATTATGTACTATCGATTTCGGTCACACTGCTTCAGTATTTATCAAAAGAGACATGATAGACAAAAATTACATAAAATGTTTATTATGAACGAAGTTATTTGTAGAGAGATTATTTTAACTATCGAGAATTACTGTATGATTTAATTTATATATAGACTAGAAGACCCGGCGAACTTCGTATCGCCCTATAATCAAGAAATATCTATTACGTTTTTTATTTATATTTTTGGAGTTTACCTGTAAGCCATAAATCTCCGTGTTTTGAAGTGCGACAGAATGAATGACATATTAGTTAGTTGTCAAATCTAATGTCAAAAATAACGTTTGTATGGGAAATAGAAAAGGGCTGTTTTTATGGTTTTCCCAGTAATGAATCAATTTTTTTCAGCTTTTATACCTTCCCTGAACCTCCACGAACATTTCAAGACTAAGATAAGATAAACCCGTTCAGCTGTTCTCGAGTTTTAGCGAGACTAAGGAACAGCAATCCATTTTTATATATATAGATTATATAACTCACGCTTGCGGCCACTTCGGTTCCAATTGCAGCCAAGTTTCCCTCTTCAATAGCCACCCAAGTCCTGGGAAGAAGTCCGTCCTATGAAGCAGTTCCGGTCGAGACAGATCTATCAACTGCTTCTTGCCATTGTCATTCCACGCTGATATACACCTTTTCATTGATGTTGATTAGGGTTCGGATTATACAGGGTGTTAAATAAATTGAGGGTAGACGGAAATGTATAGGGTGTTCACTGATTGGGCGATAAATTTGTTATTGAATTAGATTGGGTGAATATTTAGAGGATTAATGTTTAAATAAACATTAGAATTTTACGGTATTATTAATATAAGGTATAATAAATTAAATTATAGTCAAATATTTTACTGGGATGATAAAAAAAGAACTTTATTTGAATAGTAATCTATAATGCATGAAGTCACTACCACTAATCAGTGTGTTTAAAATGAAATTTCTTGGTTTAAGGGAAATAAATGAGGAGATTTTAATAAACATTAAAAATACTAACCATATCGTTGGGTCTTTTGACAACAGAGGATAAGTTCCGAGGAAATATTCAAAGAAATCCGGCGAAATGTCCAGATCATCTAGAAAATAATAATACACTCATTAACGGTACAAAAACATCGAAAAACTAAAACATATGATTAACAAATCTTAACTTCCATTGAAAAACATCGGAATTCCATAACTCACACAAAAAATTACTTAATCCTACTAATATTATAATTGCGAAAGTTTGTGAGTGTGTATGTTTGTTACTTCTTCACGCTCAAACGGCTGAACCGATTTTGATAAAATTTTGTATACAGGAAGCTGATATCCAGGAATAATATATAGGATACTTTACATCCCAGAAAACTGCGGGGCGCAGCTAGTACCCTCATAAATCTAAATTATGAAGTTCTTACTAAAGTATTATCTGTTAATCTTAAGAGCTTACCTTCAACAATGATCACAGCTTCATGCTTCAGAGTTACGAAAACGTAGTTCAAAGCGAATCTAAAGTGTCTCGCTATCTTGTAATACCCTTTGAATTTAACTTTTGCTCTTGTGAGAGGTATTTCTGATAGATCTGGTTGCCTGACCACGGATATAGTAGGATCGGCGTCCACGTAGGACTTAATTATCTGGTAAGTCTCATTATGACCGCAGTCCTTTGAAAGTGTAAAAATTAATTAAAAGTCATATGAATGTAGGTAAAATTACATTTTTAGGCGATCATTGCTTTAATGTGCTTGTTGTTTGGCTTTAGAAATGATTATTTAATTGGTAGATTGAACTAAATGTAGTTAATCGGCTTGAAGTTTTTAGTTAAACATTATAGATATTAGTTAGTTATCTGAAGCGATTTGAATCTTATGTAAAGTGGGCAAAACATGATTGGCAAATACAAAGGACATGTCAATTAATTATCCTCATTGGCATTGGCGTTAAATTGGTGTTGGCATTGGCATTAAAGTGGCGTTGGCATTAGCATTAAATTTAATGACAATCATTAAATTTCCGTTAAATTTGAATAATCCAGAACCTTAATAGTTAATTATATTGCAAACTAAATCCTAGTATCATTTAATTTCTTACCTGGCTAACAATAATAGGAAACGTAATTTTGTCTGGTCTAAATTTCACTAAATTGTCCAAACATCTCCTGACAGTGACTCTGTCGCACGCTATCACTAAAATCGGCAACACAGGACCTTTGCCACCTGAAAGATCAATAAAATTAATGAGATCTAAGGCTTTCGAGTATTCATTTAAATGAAACTAATATTTTCATTTCGTCTTTGTGATCACGGTTGCTATAAAGTAACTGAAACATCGACCGAGAGAGTTTACTGATACCACACAAGCTATGGAATGGTATTGCTGTCCTGTCGGGTCAATCACGTAGTCTTAGGTGTAGGTTGTAAGTTTTAATATGTAATCTTATTATAATAGGCATATAAAGTAAGTTTCAGTTTTCCTGCAAACTCCAGCGGCTCTGAAAGCACCCTTTATTAAACAGAAATGTTTATATAATTTCAAAATCGTCTATAATTCGAGATGTAAATATATTTTTTTGCTTTTGGAGAACCCTAGATCTTTTAGATAAGATTGTCACAAGCTACATATTCAGTTGGGAACTGATGCAGGAGTGAAATGAGGATGAGAGGAAATACCTTCAACTTTCTTCAATATTATTTTTATGTATATATTTTATTTATTTATTTATGTTTGTGTATGTATAATATGTAAGTTTTTATAATAATAAAATACGCGTACTAGCGTTAGATAGGGACCCCTTAAACCTACACCTGGGTCACAAGTCCCAGTCACTGTTGAAGCTCCTCTCACTACAACGATGGACCTGACACACGCACCGTGAATACATTGAATGATGAGAGGTTTCATCTCATCCGAAAAATATCAGTTTCATTTATTGTTATATTTTACTATTATTTAAGTATATCTCTTTTTTTTTCTCTTTTTATCTCTACCTACACCACAATTTCTGCTCTTTTTCCGTCCAACAAAAGGTTTTCTAGGAAAGATCTCCATTAAGTAATACTTTATCCTTTGTGCATCACACCTTTCATAATACTATTATTATTACTTTTTACTACATAAATATATATATATACTAATATTATAAATGCGAAAGTAACTGTATGTCTGTTACGCTTTCACGCCTAATTCCTAAACCTGAACCGATTTTAATGAAATTTGGTACAGAGATGGAGTTGACTTTGAGAAAGAACATAGGATAGTTTTTATCCCAGACTTTTGAAAGGTTCTCTTGGAAACGCGATATAACCGAACTCCACGCGGGCGAAGCTGCGGGCGGAAAGCTAGTAAATATACAAAAATAACATAGTTTTCTTCAAATATCCACCGTTTCTTATATTTCGTGAGTACAACACAATATTTTGGGAGTAAAATTTTTTGTGTTGAACAGTTTTTTAAGCATATAGTACGATAAAAATTCCATAAACATTTTATAGCACGCCACATGGCTTTTTATGTCGTGATAAGAATGATTTGTAATGGACAAGGTACTAATTGAATTATGAGAAAAATTAATACAATAAAAGTAAGCTATAATTACATATTATAGCTCAATACTGAACAAATTTAGATGAAACTTAGATGTTTGGAATAGGTGATTCTGTATGGGAAGCTGTATGAAGATATTCGGTCCCTATTAAGTGTTAAAAAAGATAATAATTTATATATAACAATATTAAATGACTGAAATATTTGTAAATAGTGCAAGTTACTTTATATACAGGGTGACTGGTGAATTACTATCAATATTTAAGGAGAATACTCGGTACATGATTCTCATTCGAATTATGTGAAAAAAATAGGTACTTAATTTTTGACCAAATTTCCGTATAAATAAATAAAGTGTGGACACGTTCCAAGTGTGGACGCGTGCGGCGGCGTGCTGATACAACACCACGCCGCGCACGCGCGTGAGTGTGTGTATATCTAATCTGTAGGGTGTTCACACGATGCGTAATTAATTACATAACTTTTGGTTAACTTTACTTAGAAGTTTATTAATATTTATGTTATATTAATTTTTATTTTGTCATATATGTATGATCGTCAAATATCACGTCCTCAAGTATCCATAGTAATTCACCAGTCACCCTGTATATAATCTAATGACTTTCTCATTTTCTGAATTTAATTATATAACATGTTTTTTATAATTACAAATACAGTTTCAATTATGAATCATTTTTCTTATGATATTTAAATTAAATCTTCATTCAAAATCATATAAAACGTAAGTGGAGACTTCGTAAGTTTTATATCACAAACGATTTCAACAATAAAAGTGAATAAAATAAGTTTGAAAATTATTTCCATTCAAACAAAATGTTTCGTATTTATTATCAGAATACTTTAAAATAACCAATTTTATTTTATTCTAGTTATAATTCTTTCAAATTTAACAACGACCAAGTTCAGAAATTATGTTCTCAATATACTTTCTGATTATTTACCGATTACGATCTAATCTTAATTAAAATATCTAATCTATAGATAAATAACAGTTTTATATAACATATATATGTAATAAATAAAATATGTGAATTAATTGATTTCCAAGCTAAAACTGCTGAATTGGCATTATATATATATATATATATTTTGGGTCAATATCACGTACAAAAAAAAAACTTATTTAAATGACATTACGTCATATCATTAGTGTCATTTTTTTTACATATTATTGAAAAAGGTCATAATAATAGAAGAAAAATATTCTTAAAGAGGGTTGATGTCAGGCAGGCGGCCGGTCGTAAAAACAATTAGACAAAACTATTCACAACATGTAAGGCAGACAGTGGCTATAGATGGGAAATTGCCAGGTAGAAGAAGAATAGAATAAAATATATACAAAAATCGTTTTAATATAGAAAATCTAATCATTTTAATGATTATGTACATTAAAAGTCAGTGGTGGCCTAGTGGTTAAAAGGCCCGCCTCTCATACACGAGGGCGCGGGTTCGATCCTGGCAAGTACCAATGTGATTTTTCCGAGTCATATGTACTTTTAAGAGTATTTAGACATCACTGATAAATGCATTCCCAAAGAGAGTTGATGTCAGGCAGGGGGCCGGTCGTAAAAACAGTTAGCCAAAACTAAACACATGTAAGGCAGATCCTGGCTAAATCTGGGAAATTGCCAGGTAGGTACATTAAAATAGACAATTTGTTCTCATATTATAGTAACAATGGGAGAATTTACAACATCCGATAAATGTTTACAGTACAGCCAAGTGCAAACATTCACACACAACAAGGTTGGTAAACACTCAAATATGTATGGAGTATAACAAAATATACAAACATACTGTTTCCCAGTATATATTATTATGTTTTTGTTATCGTTGTAATAAAAATAATATATATACATATATTGTATTAAAATAAAATTGTTTAAAGGAAATATTTGTTACATATTTGTACTTTGAATGAAAAATCATTGCTATATACGTAAAAGTATATAATAAAAGTTCAGTTTTAGGAAATTCAATTGCGTAATTTCAGTAGGAAATAATGTTTATAGTGTATTATTTTTATTAAAAACTACATCTCGTCTCTCCGTAATTACGGTTGCTGAAAAGTAGTCGAAAAGTCGGGAGTATTTAGTTTTTATAAAAAATAAAGTCGCGTAGTATATCCGAAAAATATAAGTTTCATTTAAATGACTCGCGAAAATTTCAGATCTCATTATATTGTACATATTATGCATTAAAAATATCAGAAGTCATTGCTATTAGCTAATATAAAATATTTTTAAAGAATAAGTGAAACAAAAGTACTAGAAACTTATCTTATACTATTTGGAAACAGTCTAGAGTCTAGACTAATCTAGTACCAGTCTAGACTCAGTCTATAAATATGATAATTACTGTTTTAAATAATATTAACCTTAGAATCATAATTAATAAATTAAATGTATTTGTTCTGTAAATATACATGTGAAAGCTGTTACTGCTTTTTCGATGTCGTTTAATTATAGAAAAAGTTTTGCTACATTTTATATAGTAATGCAAAATGAATTATTTAAATAAATATTCATAAAACATTATATAAGTATACAAATGAAAAGATTTAAAACTAGTACATAGATCATTATTGTCAGAAAATCGCTCACACAATACAACTGTGCATAGCCAATTGAACAAGACCTTGTAACTTAATATACAGGGTGACTGGTGAATTACTATCGATATTTGAGGACGTGATATTTGACGATCATATATGACAAAATAAAAAATAATATAATTTAAATATTAATAAACTTCTAAGCAAAGTTAACCAAAAGTTATGTAATTAATTACGCATCGTGTGAACGCCCTACAGATTAGGTATACACACACACACATACACGCGTCCACACTTGGAACACTTGGAATGTGGTTACACTTTATTTATTTATACGGAAATTTTGTCAAAAATTAAGTACCTATTTTTTTTACATAATTCGAATGAGAATCATGTACCGAGTATTCTCCTTAAATATTGATAGTAATTCACCAGTCACCCTGTATATTTAAACTAATACAATGACAATTATGTCTCAACGAAATATGGTTATTTAAATCAAAGTTTTTCGTATACTATGCGTTAGATAATTTCATCTCGTCTTAATGATCACGGTTGCTGTAAAGGAACCGAAACGTCGGGAGTATGTAGATATAAAATAATAAAAAACGCGTAGTATCAGAAATTTAGTTTCATTTAAATGTTCACGCGAAAATATTAGATATAATTAAAATATTATTATCCTAATTTTATTTTATTGCATCATTCACTAGTTTTTACAACTGGTTTTCCCTATCAAAAAATCTCTCAGCTTTATGGCTGCGTAAATTTTTCTACATATGTTTTTCAACAACAAATATACATATATATATATAGATAATGTGATTATTTTATGATGAATTCATTGTGCCTATTGTAAGTTTTTGGACCTTTTTATAAAGTTAGGCTTCATTCGCACTGGAATTTAATATTTTAGCAACGTCATTTATTATAAGCCTTTAAGAAATGTCTATTACTGACTGAATACCACATATGTGAGTTAATAACTATAAAATAGATGTATACTAATATTATTATACCAATAAAAAGCAATGTATACTTAGTTGATTTATCAAATGAAAAAATAAGATCGAAAGTGAGAATGAAGTAGCGAGGCAATGTATGTTTATATACATATATACATATAAGAAGAACATATATGTAAGAAGAAAATTTTATGTAACTGATTTGTAAGAACCTCAGATTATCTTATAAGTCTTGCAAGTAGTAAATATGTAGTAGAATGCAAACGTGAGATTATATAATTTTTACTATTTATAATATATTTGTTAAATTATATACATATACAAAAAAACAATACATTGTCTGTTTGTAATATTAAAAGAGAAGCTTTTTTGATTCACCTTTAAAAAAAATTGTCTGTCCGTTCGTATGTTTCGACTTATCACTGAAACGGCTGTACACATTTATATGAGACTCTCAATGACAAATAGTTATGTAATAAGGAATAAAATAAGCTACCTATATTTAATCCCTACTAATATTATAAATGCGAAAGTAACTCTGTCTGTCTGTCTGTCTGTCTGTCTGTCTGCTACGCTTTCACGCCTAAACCACTGAACTGATTTTAATGAAATTCGGTACAGAGATAGAGTTGACCTTGAGAAAGAACATAGGATAGTTTTTATCCCAGACTTTTGAAAGGTTCTCTTGGAAACGCGATATAACCGAACTCCACGCGGCGAAGCTGCGGGCGGAAAGCTAGTTATATATAAAAGAGAAATAAACCATAATACGATGCGGACGAAGCTGCGGGTAAAGACAGTACAGTCTTAATAACGTACAAATTATAAAATTACTATACAGGGTGACTGGTGAATTACTATCAATATTTAAGGAGCATACTCGGTACATGATTCTCATTCGAATTATGTAAAAAAAATAGGTACTTAATTTTTGACCAAATTTCCGTATAAATAAATAAAGTGTGGACACGTTCCAAGTGTTCCAAGTGTGGACGCGTGCGGCGGCGTGCTGATACAACAACACGCCGCCGCGCGTGAGTATGTGTGTGTATATCTGTGTGTATACCTAATCTGTAGGGTGTTCATACGATGCGTAATTAATTACATAACTTTTGGTTAACTTTACTTAGAAGTTTATTAATATTTATGTTATATTAATTTTTATTTTGTCATATATGATCGTCAACTACCACGTCCTCAAATATCGATAGTAATTCACCAGTCACCCTGTATATATATATATATATATATGTTAGTAACCAACTTAATAGAAAAACTATTTAAAATCCATCCAACAATAATTTTATGTAAAAACAAAATAAAAGCATACACCTCTTTTTTCAAAGTCGGTCAATCTAGACGGAATAAAATCTACGTACTTATATATACAATTTTAAAGTAATACTTTGGTATTCATTGCAATGAAATACTAAAAGGCTTCTTCAAGGTAAGAAACCTTAGTTTTTATTAAAAAATATATACATATATACACCACTGACAGACGGTGAAGGAAAACATCGTGAGGAAACATGGAGTTACAATATCAAATTATAAGTTTGAAATCACCAACCCGTCTTGAGCAAGCGTGGTGATTAATGCTCAAACCTTCTCCATGTGAGAAGAGGCTCAGCAGTGGGCTCTGATAGGCTGATGATGATACATGTATATGTGTATCATTACCACAAGTTTTGATAGTTAAAAGGAACGCATTATTCTCAGTCTCTTCGTAATCTTCTAGTAATTTAGTATTTTTGTGAATACGAAAAACTAGCTACTATGAGTGTCGAGTTTTGTCAGACTTTTAGTAAGAGTTAAATCCCTACTAATATTATGAATGCGAAAGTAACTCTGTCTGTCTGTCTGTTACGCTTTCACGCCTAAACCACTGAACTGATTTTAACGAAATTTGGTACAGAGATAGAGTTGACCTTGAGAAAGAACATAGGACAGTTTTTATCCCACACCTTTGAAAGGTTCTCTTGGAAACGCGATATAACCGAACTCCACGCGGGCGAAGCTGCGGGCGGAAAGCTAGTATGTTATATACAAAATTATTTGTGACCTTGTCTTATCTTAGAAATCATCCTTTTATATAAAATATATACATATATATATCCAACTTCTTCTTCTTCTACCTGGCAATTTCCTAGCTTTAGCCAGGGTCTGCCTTACATATTGTGAATATGTTTTGCTTATTTATTTTTTACGACCGGCCACCTGCCTGACATCAAATCTCTTCTGGGAATGCATTAATCAGTGATGTCTAAATACTCTCAGAAAGTACATATCATTCAGAAAAATCACATTGGTACTTGCCAGGATCGAACCCGCATCCTCATGCATGAGGCAGGGCCTCTTAACTACTAGGCCACCACTGACTTTTTACGATAATTCCAACTATCACATATTAATATCTTTGAGTGTTTAATGAAGAGACACTCAAACATTTATCAACTTACACTATAATTATATATCACTAAATTTAATTTACTTTAAGTGGTATCAACATGAAAATATACATATATATATAGTATTTTTTTGTATAGTATTTTGTTATTTTTCAACTAAAGATAGATCTATCAATCCAGCCATTGCTTTATATATCAAGTCATAGTTAGTAAACACACTACCAGTAACTATCTATTCACCCTTAACTTGAAGACTTCAAAATATAATTGAAAAGAAACATAAGTAAGCAAAAGTTTCAGCAATTTTGTAGTGTAATATTCTGTCTGGATGTGAAAGAAAAATACACATAAATGTATATTAGATGGTACTATCCCTACTAATATTGAATGCAAAAGTAACTCTGTCTGTCTGTTACGCTTTCACGCCTAAACCACTGAACTAATTTTAATGAAATTTGGTACAGAGATAGAGTTGGCCTTAAGAAAGAACATAGGATAGTTTTTATACCAGACTTTTGAAAGGTTCTCTTGGAAAAGCGATATAACCGAACTCCACGCGGGCGAAACTCTGGACGGAAAGCTAGTATATAATAAAATGTTTAATGTTCAAATAAGTTATATATATATATAAGAGAGGGCTTGATACGATTTTAAGTATATACATATTGAGATAATGATTCTACAAGTAGGTTAATGTAACATCCTAGGTTGATTGTACGATTATAATCTCTTAACTGAACTAAACTTATATATAAGCATACAAATATGCTCGGCAAAGATTACAATGAATAGAGTAAGTCACTTAGTGGGAATACAGGGACAGCAAAGAATAGATGAGACAATATTGAAAAAGAAGTTTTAGGAATAATGTGGAATTGATCAATTGTAGAGAGAATTATAGACAAGATTTAAGGTGGAATTCATTAACTGGCTAATACATATATATGAAGAAATATGTATTAAAAAATTATTACATAGAATGATTTTCAAATATGTATAGTTCTACTTGATGTAATTTGAAAAGTAATGATTATTGATATATAAACTAATTTTCTATTAGACAGTGATAGCTTGGGATTTTCGAGTAAATGATATAGAAACCTAAATTAGTACTTTTAAAGTATAAACAATTGTTTACCGATACCAGAATGTAGTTCACATTAGTCATTAAATGTGTTATTTTTATCTCATTGATTAGATATCAAAAATTATGTTGTTTTAATTTTATACATTTGGTTACCCAATTAACTTAAATGTGTGAATGACAAATCTAACATAGATAAACTATGGAAAATACAAATTATGATAAATATCAGTGCAGTTTATAAATAAATTATAACAATTATTACATACAAAATATTACGACTAAGGTCATTTTGGTTTGTCTTACTTTTATATATATATTTATTAGATATTATTATTGCTGTTGCCACAAATACAGTCTTGTATTGATATTTAAATCAAGTTCTAAAGTTTCATAATAATTGTATATACTCACTTTGTGCAAAACCATCTCGGTTCCAGGATAACGGTAAATCTTTTGGAATCTCTTGATGATCAGTCTTCCTGAGATGCTCTTTAACTTTATCTAACAATTTATAGCTATCACTTAACTGATCTAACATTTTATTTTGTAAATTGTCTAATTCTGTTTCAATTTTTTCAATGTTTCCGCGTTTCTTTGAGACGGGAACGAATAACGAGGAATAGGAAACTATCAGCCATAGCAAGACGAATCCACCGCTTATTAAGATGAATTTGCGTAGATTCACACGCATAATTACAATTATATTGATACACCACTCAAAACATTGTTATACAAAAACTTTTGTCGTAAAATAAATTTGTATTGGAACACATTTGTGTTTAGAATTCCGCTATATGTGCATTACGGTTAGTTTATGTCGTATATATATTATATAATCTGATCACTATTTACGGTTATTATACTTTAATTTGATAATTTAATCTAGAACACGGCTCAATACCGCGGTACGAAATGATATTATTATTAAATACACTGACATATATCATAGTTGACGTTAGTTTGACTGCTGATGACATGGCTAGTGTGGCCAGTATGCTTACAGACTGGGCGGCCAGCTCACGAAGTCCGGTTTTTTACGATGAATAAAATAGATTTATATGTAATTACCTCAAATAGATAAAGATATCAAATAATTTGGATATCTTTTAATCAAGTAAATGAACATACATATAAATTATGTATAAAAATAACGCTTGAATCTTAATTAGTTATACGTTTATAGAAATGATATTAATTTAATTTTCTCCACCTTTAGAGAGAAAATTCTCTGTTTTAGAGAGAAATAGTTTTATAGATTAAATATACTTTACGTGAAGACAAAATATATCTGAAACAGACATTTAAATTATTTTTTTACAAACATCTTTTCATATACAAAAATAATATGATTATAAAATTTATAACTTATGGACGAGTTTTCTTTCTTTTAAAAACTTACTACAATGTTGAATTGAATTGTCTTTAGAAGTTTTATTGTATAAGATCTTTTTGTTATGTTAGAATTACGAAAGAAAATGAACTGAAAACTTATAATAATAATTAATAATAATTAAACCCCGTTACAAGACATATTATGTTCATGATTAGGTAAATTTTAATTTCCATTAATAAACAAACAAATGGCACGTTTCTCAACGACACTTATTAAGATTTCTGTCAATTGACTCTTTAAACAGACGTGAAAAAAAATATGGATGGCCATAAAATAATTTTAGCATTCCTTATTTGTATACTAAATATTATGTATGCATGAATAATTAAGACTATCCACAACTGATTTAGCTTTTAATTCGACATGAAATAACAAATTACAAATATATTGAATGTTAGAGTGCTATCATTTTCATAGATTCGTTTAATACTTTTCTTGTCATGATAATACATGATATTTTCGTATTAAAAATTAAAGTCTTAACTCCAATACTCATCAAATAAAAACCAGATAAATACAAGAATGACTTCCACACTACATTTATGTTAAGATTTTTGGATTAACTACATATTCTTAGATGAAGTTAATAATAAATACATGGAATCCATTTTAGCATTCGCTGACGACTCGTAACCCCAAACACTGTCCAGTATCTACTATTGGATGAAGTGGATAAATTCTGTGAGTGGACGGATGGATTGAGGACAAAACCCAGTAAATGTCACTGTCTGTGTCTTGGTAGGCGGAATACAAGATACACCTCATACGATCCGGGACTATCGTTAGGCGGTCAATGCGTTTCTACGGTTACGGAAAATGCACCATTTAAATTTCTCGGTCGTAAGATTGATAATATAGGTCGTACTCCATCTTTAGAAGGAATAGTTGATAGATTTTAAACGATCTCAACAGTCAGTAAAATGAAAAAAACTTATTTACTTACTTCACAATAGTTTTGTTATCTGCGGGGAGACAATTGGAACTGCTAAGCATCTGCTGGTGGGATGTAAGGTACTCCTGGACAGCGGTCAATACTCGCGTCGTCACGATAGGGTTCTAGAAGTCATACGTGAAGCGGTTAGTCTTTCGGTAGCCAGAGCGCAAAAGGAAATAAACATAAATGAGCGATCAATAGGTTTAGTGAAAGAAGACACTAGGGATATAAAATCAAATATCAAGCCTTACTTTATCCTTAAAGCAGCGTCGGATTGGACTATAATGATGGATACGTATGAAAAACAATATAAAGCCTAGTTTTTAATATGTATGTAGGTATTTACTTAAACTGTCTAAATTAATATATTCTTTTCTAATTTGGTTAGGTAGAGAGCGAAGCTTGGACAGTGGTGGTGAGCGTTTAACGCGCGTTAGATAGGGTCCCTTAAACCTACACCTGGGTCACAAGTCCCAGGCACTGTTGAAGCTCCTCTCACTACAACGATGGACCCGACACACGCACCGTGAATACATGGAATGATGAGAGGTTTCGTCTTATAATATAACAATAATAGATTCAGTGACGGACAAACTTTACAATAGACTACACAACACTACATTTTTACACTACAAAGGATCGTTTACGGTTAAATGATAGTATTGACGTAGGTTTTACAAATAAATACAAATAATATGTCTGTATAAAACAGAATGGGGATAGTTTAACAATTTCAAAGAATTAACTATATTGTAATAATACTGTATGGTTGTCAAATTATATCTTTATTCATAAACAAATGAAGATCAGTGATTCAAAATATTCGATACCTATATTGCGTCAAATTAAAAATATGAATTTGGTTCGGTTTCGAAAATTAGATAACAGTAGGTATTTGTATTATGTCAAATAGTTTATGAACTAAATTAACACAGATAAATAAAAAATAAATAATAATCTAGCGAAATCTCTTTACCATTTATACAAATACCTAATAATAAGACTTGTGTTATTCCCAAAGAGGGTTGATGTCAGGCAGGCGCCCGTCGTAAAAATAATTAGCCAAAACTATTCACAACATATAAGGCAGACCCTGGCTAAAAATGGGAATTTGCCAGGTAGAAAAAGAAGAAGAATAAGACTTGTGTTAAAAAAATAACAATTATAACAAAAATAATATATCACATTATTGAGATATAAGACTTTCGGGATTATTCATTTAAATGAAAGTAATATTATCCATTAGTTTAAAAACTACATACTCCCGACGTTTCGGTTACTTTTGAGCAATCGTGATAACGGACAGACGAGATATAGTTTTTATAATAATAAAATACGCGTAGTAAAATGCGAAAAATATTAGTTTCATTTGAATGTCATCAAAATATAATTATTTTAATTTTCAAGCCGAAGATCTAAATTCTAAATACATCGAATTTATAAGTATTTAAAATGATAGTGCAGATCTTAAAAGCTATAGAAAAATACAAATTAGATTAATAGTTACTTTTTTGTATAGATAAATTAATGAATTTATATTTTCGTGATTGTATTGTCATAGGTAAATATACGGATAAAAAAGTTGTCCTATTAGTTTAAACTAATATTAATCGGATTACTATTCGTATTTTATCATTTTACCTACATATTCCCGACGTTTCGGTTACTTTTCAGCAACCGTGATCATTAAGACGAGATGTGAATTGTCCTATTACTATTAAAATTATTCCTATTAAAGTACATAGCACATTTTCATTCATAAATCTCCTCAAATTATTCTTAGAACTAATATAGTATTGAACGAATAACGGGAAACGCTTCGAATGTAGTGTGTCACAAGCTTATAAGCCTTCAGATACAAAACTTTGAAATCATTGTTAAAACTTATTAGTGTGTTCTTACCCTAACATCTTCTACGCTTTGTTTAAATAATTAGTTTATTTTTACTTTAAAACATCTTTCATAACCATTAAATAGTTGAAATTATTTGTGAACGTACATATAAGTGTTGTCGCCTTCTATTTTGAAGAGATATACTTTGAAGAGATATATTTTGATTATATATAATTGGACTTTTATACGACGAAACCTCTCATCATTCCATGTATTCACGCTGCGTGTGTCAGGTCCATCGTTGTAGTGAGAGGAGCTTCAACAGTGACTGGGACTTGTGACCCAGGTGTAGGTTTAAGGAGCCCCTATCTAACGCGTTAAACGCTCACCTCCACTGTCCAATCTCCTCTCTCTACATAACCAAATTGGAAAAGAGTATATATGTTTCAGACAATTTAAGTAAATATATACATACATATTAAAAACTAGGCATAAGTAAGTGGTTTCTTAAATATGCAATGATTAAAATTATGAGTGACAGTTGACAGTCGTAATTAATAAAAATCATTAAGTACTTGGTTGTTTAAAATAATATGACTTTATCAGTGCAAAGACGTGCACACTTTATTCTGCCAGCGTCGTAAAACATCATTTAACATAACAAATAATTATAAAGATACATATTAGATATATTTGTTTAAATTGATTAGTAATAAAATTAATGTTTTAAACAATGCAAGCATGTACCTACTACAAAGTACAAAGAAGGCAAACAAATAAAACAATGATATAACATTTTTATATCAAAACTAGTTTTTGCCCGCGACTTCGTCCGCGTTAGTTTGGTCAAGAGTAATATATGTAGCTGTATAGCTGACCAGGCGAACTCTATTCCGTCTTACAGGCCATAAATAATCAGGTTTTTCCTGTTTCAATCAAACAGAACGATTGACATATTAGTTAGTTGTCAAATCTAATGTCAAAAAAAACGTTTGTATGGGAAATAGAAAAGGGCTGTTTTTAGGGTTTTCCCGGCCATTATTCCAATTTTTCTCACCTTTTATACCTTCCCTGAACCTCCATGAACATTTCAAGACTAAGATAAGATAAATCCGTTCAGCTGAAAAGTGCTGTCTGTACATTGAAAATAAAAAAAAAATAAAATAGCAGGGGTTATTGTTATGTCGATGTCGAACCCAAAAATGTAATTAACTTTTTTTTTGTCTGTTTGTCTGTTCACGCTAATCTCAGAAACGGCTGATCCGAGTTGGTTGCGGTTTTCACGAATATATTGTGGTATACATCAGTTACGCTTTAGTGTTTGTTTCATGTCAATCGGTTCATAAATAAAAAAGTTATGTCAAATTAAAGAATCACGTCGAACGAAGTCGCACAGCTAGTAAAAAATATTACCTACTGAACGTATTAAATATAAAACTTAAATTTCTAAACGCTTCCAAACTTTGTAAATAGTTGAGGCGGAACAACGAATAGCGTAGAGCTAATTAGAAACGAAAAAAATATTTCACGTGTAAAGTATTGCCATACCGAAACCATTTGACGGTTCAAAGTTGGCGATGTTTGTAAAATATGCGGAAACGGAATTTATTCTTAATAGTTAGGGTACGTTTGAAATAGATTGTACTGTTGAAGAATAATAATTAATTGGGGCAGGTTTAAAATTAACTGACTTGTAAATTGTTTATTTATTTCTATACGGTTTTTTGAAAGAATATTAGTTTTGAACGTAATATTCATTTATTTAAATGGGATTATTTTTGAAATTTGACATTAGATGTAGGTATTGTTTTCAAACGACATTACTTTTATAGAAGGATAATTTCAATTCAGTTTAATTTTAATAAACTATTACTTCAATTTTTAGTTTTTTTCTTAAAATATTATAAATATATATCTTAAATCCGGTTCACGCTTGACTGCATTGACAGAACGAACCCATCAATTTTGTCAAAAAAAGTTAGACAAAAAATATTAAGCGCCATACACTGGCTTAATTATGACAAAATGTGTCGGATTTACGAAAGGACAACATTTTTACAAGTTATTTATTGATATTTACTTATTCAAAGATATATTTTTAATGCTTTCACAAGAAATTCACTTTTTATATTGCCGTCAACAGTTAATTCGGAAATGTACTACTAACTATTAAGTCATCCAAACATATGAAAAAGTAAATAAAATCTAGAGTATTAAAGCCAAAAAAATTTATTTAATTCAGTCAACAAAGAGCAATTTAATATATAAAACGATTAAATTATTACTACCTACCATTTCAAACAATGAACCGACAGTCGAGTTTATTTTGACACAAATCAAGATCAACACCAATTACTCTAAACGGCACTTAAAGCATGCTTATAAACTAAAACCCAACCACGTGACGCGTCCAATTAAACTAACTAACAATATAATTATCAGAATTAATGGCCTCACGCATATATCACTCCCTAAATAAATAAATATTTGATGTTTCAAACACAGACTCCTGCGCATACTTGCCACGCCCTCTGTATCTCATTGGCGGAAACCTAATTATATCCCGGCGATACTTCAAGAGCTATTTGCATTATTTAGGAAGCTGCGAAGTAAAATCAATTCTATTTATATTGATTTAAATATCTAAATAGATTGGAGTCATCTTAAATGCTGCGTATGAGAATGTCATCCAAATACGCCCATTTGTCGTCGTTTCGTCTTGATTACTCTCTATAATAAATGTATATAGCATTTTAAACTCTATACCAAAGGAATAAGAGTGTTTAGTATAAGTAGATAATGAGTTTCTTGAAATAGCGTTTAACGAGAACCAGTCTGTTATTCGTTTTGACAAAAACCCGCCGTGTATTAGTTTAGATTGTATCTTTAGTAAAACAGTTTGGAGAAAAAGTTGACAACTCAAACTCATGGCAGTATTACTGAGTTCGTTGGAAGAATCGGTATATTATGGATAAATCGGAAATTATGGAAACTGAAGAGGTTAAGGTTGACAAAACCGATAAATTACCGTTTTCTATAGACAGTTTGCTGGCTGATAAGAATAGTGTTGGGACTTCCGATTCGGAGTACAATGTGTTTAAAGCAAATTATGATGATGAGAGCAGTGGGTCGGAACAATTGGATGTGGAGACTTCTACGATGGATGTTCAGGAGTTTGCTGACACTAGAGTGGATTATCAGACAGGTATTTGAAGTTATATTTTGGTATTCCTCTACTTAACTATATATATATATATAGAAATGACAGAAATTCATTGAAATTAATCCTTTTTATGAATACTTATAGCAAGAATATTTAATATAATTCAAAAAATCTTCGTCTAATTGGTGTTCCAGAGATTAATTTATGGATATTTTATCAATGATAGGTATATATGTATTGGTGGTACATACATATACATAAATACAATTTTTTCTTCTATAACTTATTTTGAATACAAACTTTGTTTATTCTTTTGATTTACAAAAATTAATTATGAATTCTTTATAGAAATTCAGTTAGGTATCTTATATTTTTTATCAATATATTTTTATATCACAAAACCATGAAAGTAGAGGAAAAAAGATTAGTGTTTTAGGAAATTATGGAGATAATTAAATTGTAGGTAGGTATATGTCATCCTTTTATTACAACGATTATTATAGTAATCAATACAAAAGGACAATCGTCATTTGTTCTGGATTTAGTTTTAAATGTATTTTTTTTTGTTTTTAATATACCTAGCTCAAAGTAATCGTTTTTAAATTAATTCCTAATACACTTAGAATAGGTACCTAGGAATCTGATACAAAAAAACTAACAAACCAACGACAATTGACACGATTTTCTAAAACATATCTCATTTAAAGTTTTAAAAGAGTTTCACATTTTTATATTACAGTAATATTATTGTAATGTAAATAACACTCAATGGATAGTTTTAATAATATATTTCTTTGTATATACATTTGAAAAGAAACATTAATATTATAAAGAGTAAATTTCATATTAGAATGTATTTATGTTTGGTTGCTTAATATTTCATTGCTTTTCATGAAAGCGCACAATAACTTAGTAGTCTTTTTCACTTCTTTTAAGTTATTGGTAACTTCACTTGCTTTGTTTTTTTTATTATTAATATAATTGGATTCTTAATAAACCTATTGCCTGCGGTTTTGTTCGCAAATTAATTTCCCTTGAGATACGCATTGTCAGCTTTTTAAGATTTCATTCGATTTGATAATATTGAACAGTTGGAAACGCCTCAGCAAAGTGATCTTTCGACAAGAAAGATGAAAGATAAGTCTTTACTTGAAGGAGTAATAACGGATCAAACATAAAGTCCAATTACGAACTTCCTCCTTTTCGAAGTCAGTTAAAACTAGCCTATGTTTCTTCTTATAAGGTTATCTACATGTTAGTGAACATCCCATCAAAATCTATACAGACGTTACACAGATAAGCAGACAGACAAGCAAACAGACAGATAAAAATTAAAAGAAATACCTTTTGGTTATGGGCATCATGAAATGTTTATGTCAAGAGACAGTTATTTAATTGAAACTAATATTATTCGGATTACTTCTCGTATTTTATTATTTTAAACTACATACTCTCGACGTTTCGGCTACTTTTCAGCAACCGTGATTACGGACAGACCAGATGTGAAACATAAAATACGCGTAGTAATCCGAATAATATTAGTTTCATTTAAATGAATACTCGCGAAAGTATTAGATCTCATTAGATAGTTATTTATTTATATACCTAACATGCCAGCTTCGTCCGCGTGGAGTTCGGTTATATCGCGTTTCCAAGAGAACCTTTCAAAAGTATGGGATAAAAACTATCCTATGTTCATTCTCAAGGTCAACTCTATCTCTGTACCAAATTTCATTAAAATCAGTTCAGTGGTTTAGGCGTGAAAGCGTAACAGACAGACAGACAGAGTTACTTTCGCATTTATAATAAAAGTAGGGATATATATGAAAGTTCTGTATCCTTACCACGAGTTCTTTGCCAAACTAAATACAGACAGTTTAAAGTATTTCAATCACATGCCTACGTTAATACACTGAAAGGTTACAATAACTATTACGTTTTACGATCGAAGTCTCGTGAACTGTATAAAAACAATTAATACATTATAATAAGAAGTAAAATCTTTTATAATATACTTGAATTATACAGAGAGAAACAATATAATATGCTGTCCAAAGATAATTAATATTTCAATGAAGAAATGGTTTTATTAGAATAATAAATTTAATCCAAGATTTTAGTATATAAATTTAAATGAAACTATGTAAGTTTGACGTATACTACGCGTTAGATAATTTCATCTCGTCTTAATGATCACGGTTGCTGTAAAGTAACCGAAACGTAAGGAGTATGTAGATATAAAATAATAAAAAAACACGTAGCATATAAAAAACTTTGTTTTATAATAAACTTATTTTGAAAGATTAAATGTATATTAATTTTCTTGCACATTTCATACAGAAGAATATGAATTGATGCTTTTAGAAGAATATCGCCGTATTTAAGTTTTTACTAGTACTTCAATCTTTATATACAATAGACTTTTCATTAAAATATTACGAAATCTGTAGTAACTATTATCATAAGTAGAAAATATTAAAGTTTTATTTTAATATATCTTCTTCTTCTTCCTAGCAATTTCCCAGCTTTAGCCAGGGTATGGCTTACATGTTAATAGTTTTGGCTAATTGTTTTTACGACCGGCCGCCTGCCTGACATCAATCCTCTTTGGGAATGTATTAATCAGTGATGTCTAATTACTCTTAGAAAGTACCTACATATGACTCTATGTACTTTAATATATATAAACGTTAAAACTCGTCAAATCATTTTGAATACCTATCTAATAACTGAAAAACGAGAAGCAATAAATTTTACTAATTGTGTTTCCTCCATACTCAAGATTATAATTAGTCCAACAAATAAAAACATTCAAATTGACAGAATATTACACGATTACAGTGTGAATGTAGACATAGTATAAAAAAAATAGTTTTACCTTCAAAATAGACTGTCATTTATTTTCTTCTTTCTATATATTTATATAGCACTAGTTGATAGACGTGACTTTGTTCATTTTTGATGTTAGCAAATATTAATATGTGGATTGATAGCGTAAATAGTTTTGTTAAAAACCGTTACTTCGTTTTAATATAGTCCAAGTGTCTAAAATAAGACTTGTAAATACATTTTTATTGAAAATATTGAGTAATTTAAACGGAAAAGTGCAAGGCTTGGCCAATAATATAAAACTATTGATGTATAGTGTCTTCTTTCGGGCAATTTATTGAAGATAAAGAAAAAAATGCATTAAAATGTCATAAAATATTTTTTTAATAAAATTATTTCTTATTGCACATAAATTACGTCTCTATAAAAATTACTTTTTTTTTGTGTAATTATAAATAATTTTTGATCTAGAAAGGATATGTACTCTAAATAGTATTATATTCTTCTTGAAATAATTCAGAAAAACATGACATTTTCGGTAACAATATTTTTAAATGTATGTATTTGATGTAAATTCTTTTGGCATCAGTGTTCTTACTATGTGTACCTACAAGATCAAACTTCCAGTTTATCCCTACTAATATTATAAATGCGAGAGTAACTCTGTCTGTCTGTCTGTTACGCTTTCACGCCTAAACCACTGAACTGATTTTAATGAAATTTGGTACAGAGATAGAGTTGACTTTGAGAAAGAACATAGGATAGTTTTTATCACAGACTTTTGAAAGGTTCTCTTGGAAACGCGATATAACCGAACTCCACGCGAGCGAAGCTGCGGGCGGAAAGCTAGTCAGTAATAAATGTTCTCATATGCTATCAATATGTTTATGGAAATTACTTCAATTATCTGTATTTAAATAAATGAGAAAAAGTTATTCAGTTAAAAGAGGAAAATTTACTTTACGGGTAAAACAATAGAAAAAAATTAAGCCATTTTATTAATCAATGTGATTACAAAATAATGTTATAAAGAACTTAAAATTAATCAATGAATTAAATAATAAGTTTATTTGTTATGATTTTTAATATTAGACACTTTTATCTCGTCTCCGTGATCACGGTTGCTTTAAAATAACCGTAACGATGCGACGGGAGTATCTTCTTCTACCTGGCAATTTTCCAGCTTTAGCCAGGGTCTGCCTTACATGTTGTGAATAGTTTTGACTTTGGGCTAATTGTTTTTACGACCGGCCTGCCTGACATCAACCCCCTTTGGGAATGCATTAATCAGTGATATCTAAATACTCTTAGAAAGTACATATGACTCGGAAAAATCACATTGGTACTTGCCCGGGCCAGGGAGTATGTAGATATAGAATAATAAAAACAAGTAGTAATTCAGAGTCTTAAATGTCATGTTATTATCAATATTTCTTAAATTAGAGGTGTTAGAGCCTAGCTGTAGTCAAGTTAATACAGTTCGAACATGTGCTGTCTCGACCGGGGAAGTACCACCCTCTCAAAGATCAGCGTGAAGTAGTCTTTAATGGCTGCGTTTCGTCCGATGAGCGAGAGACCCGGTTCCCTTTTCCCTATTCCCACCCTTGCCTGCTATTTCCCTATTCATACCCCTCCCTTTTCCTCTACAATTAACGTCGGCAACGCATCAGTAATATAGGTATTGCATATGTCAATGGGCGACGGTCACTACTGCCCATCAAGTAGGTCGTCTGCTCTTTGGCCACCTTTGACATAAAAAAATCTTAAAAATATGTTTAAAAGATATTATAATAAAATAAAGGCGTTGAAATTGGCATAATGTTCCTTAATTAAAGTTTGAATGAAGCCATAGCGTAAAAATACTTCATTTAAATGACAGATAAATAGAAGTATTTTGAGGTCCATGATAAAACCGCTAACGACAATTCATATATATATATATATACAATATAACATTTTTATTACATATATATATGTATATATATATAAATAATAATGTTAGTGGAATTGTTTTCAGTATAATAATAATCTAATATTTCTTTCATACTTGGGAACAATATTAAATATCTTCTTATAAATTCGTGACGGACTTTTAATATTGTATGCTTACAATAAGTATCGTCTCATTATTTACAGAATTTATCAATAATTAATCTTACTTCATATTATTTATAAGAAACCTCTCATCATTCAATGTATTCACGGTGCGTGTGTCGGGTCCATCGTTGTAGTGAGAGGAGCTTCAACAGTGTCTGGGACTTGTGACCCAGGTGTAGGTTTAAGGGGCCTCTATCTAACGCGTTAAACGCTCACCTCCACTGTCCAAGCTCCTCTCTCTACCTAACAAAATGGGAAACGCTTCGTATCTAGTATGACGATACCAACTTTTAGTAATCACAGTAATGATGATTATGACAATTATTTGATTACCATAAATATCACGTATTAACTAATAGTTCAACGTGTAAATTACTCATTATATAATTCCTATGAAATTTTGCTATATATAGGTATATATATAGTTTAGATTCAAAAAAGGTTATAGTATTAATCTATAACCCAAACCACAACCGGACAAAACCGAGGGACATTGATAGTTTATAAAAGTCATTCAGAAAATATAGTCATAATAATAAATAACATTACTTATATATCCTTATTTGATACTTTATTAATGTTCTTTAAAGTAATGAGTATTTATATTTTCTTTGCTAACTCTATTTTTAAATTACGTCACATATTACACATTGGCTGAATTCATCGAAACAAAGTTACGAAACAAAAACAAATAAAAAACGCTGATTATACGTCAAAACACATTCCACTCTTTTTTGTATCGGAACTATATTTTAATATATATAACTTGCATTAGTTTTAGAAGCTAAAGTTACAAATTAATCACTGTAACGCGAGTTTGTAATACGAGACACTATAATTCATTTGAAAAGATAAAAAAGACTCGGTTTATCGCCTTCCCGGCCCATTGACGTGCACGCCGTGACAGCGACGCCATATTTTATTTTTAGCGCCAATTAGGGGCTGCGTATAATTGTTTTGAACTATTAATGATGAAATTAATTTAATTATTAATGTAACTTATTTATTTTTTATAAATAATAGTTATTTTGTGAAAATAATATATTTGATAATAATGTTTTCATTGATATGTACCTATTTTAAAGATTTCGAAAAAATGTACTTATAAATCAATATTACTAAATACATATGGATTAAAAAAAACTTTTTTTCTTTTTTATTGTCAACATATTAATAAGATAATTAGTTTAAAATATTTCTAGTGATATTTTTCCAAATAATGAAAACATGGAATTTGAACTTTTAAAATTATTAATGGTTCTGGATGATAGGTTTAGTATCTTTATAGGGACAATAGGGATTTAAGAAGAAAAAAATTTAGTTGGATCTTAGGTTTTCAAGTATGTATGTAATTTCTTTTATACAACTAAAATCTTTGTTCTCGTTTTATAACGTTATTTAAATCTATTATTAATTTAATAATATTATATATTAAATTATATTAAAGTGAAGGGAATAGGTTCTTTATCTAAAAGAATTGAAAAAAGTTAGCTGTCATTTTTCTTTTAATTTAATATAAAAACCTCTCGAACTTGACGTTTAATATTTTTAAATTAAGACATAATTCAGTCGACAAGCAACATCATTGTTATCCGATGTCAAGATAAAAAAGAAATTTCAAAATTAACATCAAAACAAAATCCATTGAATCACTAATTTATTTACGATCTGACAACTGTTAAGTATTTCATTCCGCGGAAGTTTGGACGCGGGCTTCAAATTAGCCGTTTGCTGAAACAAATAAACGATTTAAACACACACACACACACATGAAAAAGATGTCTCACTTTCTAAATACGTTACGAAAAGATAAATCTCCGCGCCTCCCGACTCTTGTTAGTTAAATATCTCCCAAGTAATTATTCATCACAAAAAGATGAAAACTTCCAACAGACGCTGCTCATTAAAAAGCTGTAAAATTATTTTACGCCGTTGTCATAATGACGTTTATTTTACGTTCGGAAATTCATTAATTTTTTTCTAAATAGTTTATTATATTTATCAATGATTTAAAAATATATTTAGTTTTTAAATTGTGTTAAATTTATAATGTTATTTTTCTAGTTATTTTAAATTCTGGCAATTACATCGGCGTGACCGACATGGCGTGGATATGTGTTGATATTTTTACATTAATTGCTGAGACGTTTGAGTTTTTTATGATCCGGCCATGTTTTTGTCAATGTACGTTATTAATAGTATAACGAATGTGTAATATTTGTAGACTTGCAGTTTTTATATTATATATTCTTTTAAATAATATTCTCGTGTCGCGGTGTTAGACAGAGAACTACGAAACGGCTGGATCGATTTTGATGAAATTTTGTGAGCATATTGATTAGGTCTGAGAATCGGCCAACATCTATTTTTCATACCCCTAAGTCATAAGGGTTGTTCACCCTTGTTTCAACGAAATATTTTTTGTTTTTATTTTTTTAATATGTAGCCTTAAAAATACATACTACCCAAAATCTTTGCATAGTCAGGTAGTATATAAATAAATATTTTATATGTGTCTTACTTATTTATTGTATTAATTGTAAATTCTATATAGATTTTCCATGATAATTATTACTTCTTATAAATACTAGTCTTTGTTTCTATCAATCTATCAATCGTATAAAATAAATTGCATTTACCTTAAATCAAATACAGACATCATGAAAACTGATTGTAAAATCATAATTATTGATATTAATTAATATTAAATTTCAAATTAATATAATTAGGAGGTAATTAGAAGAAATAAGCAGGAACTAGTGAACCCGAAGCTGAAAACGATACAATTTAAAACGTTTATTTTCGCGCGCTCATTAGTGTCCCAAGATGGCGCCCGACATGTTGATGTATTGCCGCTAATTACTCAAAAACTTGAGGTGTTTATTGAAATTCTTCGTCAGCTGAGGACGTGTCCGTCCGCTTGTATTGTACGCTTCCTGTATAGAGCAATTAATGTTAATTGTTATATGAAATATTTTACTATATATGTAATAATGAATATTAGTATCTATTAAGTAACAAGTTCTTTATATTTGAGACTAGATTAATAAGCATGTATATTGTAGGTTCGTTCAGAAATAACAGTTTTATTACATTGTTTTATTACAAAACTTCAGTCTATCTATTTCTTTGTATATTAGTATACAAATTTTATTTAAAAGAAACTTTAATAAAATTCGTTTACAATAAAGTAAGATAAAGATTTTATGAAATGACAATAAAGTAATTTATACTTTGAAATATTAAAAGTTATAATTATATTATTTTTAAATCATTACTTAAACATAAATCTGTATATAATATGAACATATTGGATGAATTGTCTTGTTCTTCATCATTATCTAGTTTAATATTATTATTCTATTGTTCGTATGTCGTAATTTATACATCAAAACAAAACAGAAAAATTATGTGTTTTACTTTAAAAGACTGAAATAACTTTAAACTCATATCTATTAAGTCGTTTTTTCTTATTTTCTAGGTTCGTGTTCCCGCGGGAAGAGAGCTCGTACCGCTTTCAGTGCTCAGCAGATAAAGAGTTTGGAAGCTGAGTTTGAGAAGAACAGATATTTATCAGTGGCCGCTAGAGGGCGCCTCGCGAGGCAGCTCAGACTGACAGAGACACAGGTAATATAATAAATATATTGGCTGTATATGTTTAAATCATTTGACGTTTAATTTAGTTTATAATCTGTGGCTTTGCATGACATAATGCCAATTTATTATAATCTGTGGCTAAGCATGACATATTCTGCCAATTACGTAATAAAGGAATTAAGATTTAAACTAAAATCCTTGCCAAAATATTATAACGTTTTAGTAAAGAATTTGGGAAGTTGTAAAGTTATTTTTTTTATATGATTACAGATTAAAATATGGTTCCAAAACCGACGTACTAAATGGAAACGTAAATACACAAACGACGTTGAGATATTGGCGCAGCAGTATTATAATAGTTTGGGCATAATTACCCCAAGACCGATGTTCGTTGGCGATAGATTGTGGATTTTTAATTACCCGAATCGCTTGCAACCGACTCAGCAACAGCAATGGGCTAAATCTTTGAACAATATAGCTAGTCATTCACATAATCCTATAGACAGAACGGTATATAGAAGCTTATCAAAGCCTGAAATACCATTTTTATTATCGGCTCCACAGTACAGCGAGCGTGTTCTTCTAGAGCGAAGTGTCAGTCTGACAGGTGTCAAAGTTCCCGCCCAAACTCGCCTGACGTCACTACCGCGAGAGGTTTACAGCAATATGGCGACGGCGCAAAGGAGTTTGGATATGTATAAAAATAATATATTAAGCCACAGTCAACAGGAACCGAATGTCGATCATTTAAGAAGATTGGAAGAGAATTTTAGTATTTAGTTAAGATTTAAATGTTATATATAGTGCAATAATATAGTTCCTAATAAAATATATTTCTAAATAAATGATTTTTCTTCGATTTTGTTTTACTTCTTGAACTGAAAATCAAGTGTTTATAGATGATAGATAATATAAAAGTGATTTCAAACGGTTTATATTTAAATTTTAATAAAGTTAATGATAAATTACTTATGAGAAATCATTGAAATAAAAAAAAGTATTTGGACTTATACACTTTTATTTGTAAGCTTACATATATAAAATTATTTCGATACATGTAGTTTAAGAGCAACTAACACATGTAGATTAATTTAATACAAAGATCATATTAATGTTTATAAAAAAGTGAAAAACTCGTTTGTAAAATACAATAAATACAATGACTAATATTAAAAAAAAAAAAAGATTATCATTAAATCGGAGTATATAAAGTTTACAGCTGTCAAAGATCAAAGTTCACAAAAATGCTGCCTGTAAATGTTTCAATTAAAAATTGCGTTGCTTAAAATCAAAACTAAATTAGATACGTTGTTTTATGTTTACAATAATTATCTGTTTTATTTTAATTATTTAATATCATTAATCAATTAATAAGATTATTTTAAAAGTAAGTTGTAATAAGTCCCTTTATTTAAAAAGGCTAGTAGGTACAATATTATATTATTAATCACGATTTTCTCATATATTTATTATCAAAAGCATTATCTATTGACAAGTTCACAAAATCGGTAGCGTACGGAAAAGAAACAGAGAATTAATTATTTTTAATCTGTATTGAATTAATACAAGTGATGTTTATTCTATGTCTTCATTCACACCGTAATCGTGTAATATTCTGTCAGTGTCAACGTTTTTATTTGTTGGATGATTATAATATTGAGTACTGTGTGGAGTTAATTTAATTATTATTACAATTTTTCTTTTATAGTCTATGAATGTCAAACGCGGTTGACATTAAGATCAATTTTTTTTAATAATCTGTGATAGGTTTTTTTTATTTATTTCATATTTTTGATGTTTTAAAACCATAATTTATTTATAAACAATATTAATTGAGTATTATTAACATTGCTTTATAATTAGTTAAATATAAATAGGATATAAAATTAATTAAGTAAAATTTCTTTTCAAACTTGTAATGGCCAATTAATAATGTTGCCACTATTTTTAAAATTAAAAAAACTATTTACTATTTGATTTATTATACAATAAATAATAATTTTAATGTGTGCTAAAATTATAAACTATTCTTTATTAATAAAGCTGCTATTTAGATATTAAATTATAAAATAATTAAGTTATTTAGCCAAATTTGAGGTCATCTGTAACAGAATAAATATTGAAACAAGCTAGAACAGAATAGTAAAAAAGAATTTAATAGGCTTTTATTAATTTTGAGAATAAATCTTTTCTAATAGATATCTCATGTTTAAGTGTGGCTTTCAGTTATAGTGTAACTTATTTGATAGCGACAATTATTTAAGATAGATTAGTAAGTAATAAAAATATTTTTTGTCTCATTCAGTTAAATGCTATATTTATCGTGTATAATCTATTAAAATATTGGATAATTAAATCCATTATTCAGTACAGTTATGTATCAAATACTTACGGTACATATTCAGAAATAATATACATATTTTGTCAATTTTTTGTCTGTCGGTGTGTCTGTTGGTTCCGGCTTATCTCACAACCGGCTCGTCTTTGATACTATTTATTTTTCATCATCATCATCCTATCAGAGCCCACTGCTGGGCCTCTTCTCACATGGAGAAGGTTAGAGCATTAATCACCACGCTTGCTTAACGGGATGGTGATTTCTAACTTATAATTTGAAATTATAAGTAAAGATTTCCCTCACGATGTTTTCCTTCACCGACTGTCAGTAGTGTCCAAATACTCAATCACATTGGTATTTGCCAGTTCTCGAACCCGCGCCCTTATATACGAGAGGAGGGCTTTTAACCACTAGGCCACCACGACCTATATATTTATTATTTATTGATATAAAAAAAATAAAAATTTACTAGTTCAATAACGACGAAAGTTTAGTACGCTGTACAGTTGTTGTTTCTAAAAAAGACTTGCATTTATTAAAATGAAACGCTTTATGTTACTTTCAATAAGGTTGCGTTAAACGTTTAACGCTCCGGGGGGGATAAAAAGAGACAGAGCGAGAGGGAATGCGTGTCTCTTGAAAGCATGTGGTAATCAATAGTGACTTGTAAGTAATGTTAATAAAGTTAGCTTTAAAGAAACACTCAAAATTCCTTAAAAATCATTTTCCAGCTCTTCCTGTTTTTATTCCTTCTAAATTTTATTTCCTCACGAAGGGACTCCACGCATAACTTTTATTTTGATTTAGTCACATCAAACGAAGTTGCGGAATGTGACTAGTGTTGCTAACTGTTATATGACGACGTACATTACGTGATTTTATTAGAATTATACGTAACCTTGGCAATGTTATCGTAAAAACGATTCTAATAACTCTGTTGATAAATATATTGAACAGGTTGCATGAAGAATTTTGCTTTTATATACTGATCGAAAAACAATTTGGCTATCAGAGAAGTGTCTTAAATACGCTTTATTAATGCTATTTTGTTATGTTAAATATAAATCCAAATATTGTTATTGCGTTTTGAATACACTCAAGCAGTATATTTAAGCCCTAAAAATCCTTTGAAAACAGGAGAAATACCTAAATTCCTCTGGTAAATAAATGAATATACTATTAATTGGTCATCGTCTAATTTCTTCTAAAAGATTTTAATGGAATAAGTTTATGTTGAATTGACTTAAAAGTACTAGTTATACTGTATATACATATAAAATGGAGCCATTCTCAAAGAGGAAGATAGAAAACAGAAAAAATTACATGCATATAGTATATTTTGAAATTATAATTAGTTCCAACTAATACATAGTATTTTATTTAGTAGATATAAGCTCCAGCACCACATCCGCAGCTGCCAGCGATGGAGACCGTCCCAGCGGCGGGCAGGTCACCAGCGAAGCGAACAGCTCCGAGTATGGGCACCTGTCCAGCGACGAGGGTGGTTCCAGCGACGGGCATCTCACCAGCCACCGCTATGTCTCCTATACCCGCACCTCCGTAAGCGCCAGCTAGACCGTCCAAGCCGAAGGGAGCGACCCCTGGGGCAAGCACCTCTGGCACGAGCGCTGGCCCTACACCGAGCCCCAAACCAGCTCCATAGGGACCGGCTAGAGCCTCGACCTGGCCCAAACCAGCGGCGTATGGACCGAGCCCGGCTCCGTAACCCAGACCTAGGCCGTTAGCGAGGGGACCAGCGCCGATACATTGGCTGAACACGTTCTGAAAACAATATTTCACATTATTGTTATTTAAACACAAAAAAGATGTTTGATTTTATGGACATCAGATAAACATTTTAGTAAAGCTATTTATATATATTGACAATTTTTTCTGGAGACATTGTGCAGAATATATTGCATTAAAATAAGTTTATAGATTATATGCAAAACTTTATAACACGACATTTTAAGTAAAAGATTTTAACCTCACCTGTGCCAAGAAAACTTGGACGCATAAAACTAAAACGGCTGTAGTGGACATGTTTATAATTTGGACTGCTGTAAACAGAATAATAATTCGGTAATCACAAGGTCTTTTATACTATATGTTACAAAATAAAAAAACAGTTTTTCCGTACGTGACATAAAGTTGGGAGGAGTGTGTGGTAGAAATACGAACCTACATATATTATCAGTATGACACAATTATTACAATCAGTGTTCTTCATATTAAAACATATCATTGATTGATCAATGTTTCATTTCATTTTGTAATTTTGTCACTTTCTCCAATATAAAACGATTGTTCTTTACAGAAAGGTCATTCAGTGATTTTATTATTAAAAAACACTAAAAATGTTCACGAAAACTGTTGTATTTTTCTGTTTACAGAGCTTGTTTATACAGGTAAGAAAAAATAATAGTTCTTATTGAAGTGTAGTAGAATATATTGTCTTCTATTTTGCTATATAAAAATTTTATACGCAGGGTCTCTCGGCTCAATGTATTGGAGCATACAACGGCCTGTCTTCTAATGCCTTGTCCTGGGAGAACAGCATGAACTGGCCGGGAAGTGCGATGTCCTGGGAGGCTGGTGTTCCTTACGGAGCCGCACCTTGTGCTGCTTCCTACTCCGCCGCGTCTCTGGCTGCTGCTCCGTTTGCCGCTGAGTGGGCCGCTGGTTACTCGCCGGCATCTCTCGCTGCCTCTAACGGCGGTGGGCTCGCCATAAACAGTTTCTCCCCCATGGCTCCTACTGGCGTGTCAATGAACTCTGAGAACATGTACGAAGGACCGCTGGCTGTGTCCGGCGCGGTTCCATTCCTTGGCGCTGTGGCGTTAGAAGGAAACCTACCAACAGGGGGAGCGGGCGCTGTAGCGTACGGTAGTGGCAATGGAAACGTAGCCATGTTGAGTGAAGACTATGCTGGCGCGGGTTACGGGGCTGGCTTGGCTGGAGCAGCTTATGGTTATAATGGTCTCGCTGGACCACTGGCTTTGGAAGCTGGCAACCTTGGAGCAGCTTATGGTTACAACAACTACAATGGAGCTAGATTTGGAGGTTGTGGCTGCGGTGCCATCTACTAATTTTTAAAAGTAATCTGTATTTTTTGTTGATTCTTTCTATGTTATAAAATATACCGAATGTATTAGAACAAACTATCTATTTTTTTATTAAATTTTAAATTTATCATAACAAAATCAAAGAGTAGTCTGAATGCTGAAGTATTAAGTATTAAAAGAAAATAACGGAAAATAGTATCTGAACAGAAAAACTAACCTAATTAAAAGCAGAGTATCTGTACTGTATACATTTTCAATTCTGTGAGAGGGTGGTACTTCCCCGGTCAAGTCAGGCCATGCTCGAACTATAGTAACAAAACCAAAGCTAGGATCTATCACCTAAAATAGATACATTTCGAAATTGTCAGTACATCTACTTTTATAAGGTACCAAATTGTAAGTGTTCCGTAGTCTTATTAAACCAAAATTTTTATGGAAATTGTTATAACATCGTCATAAATTAAATAAAAAAAGTTACATTATTATTATTTTTTAAGACAACTAAAAACTCTTTCTTAAGTAAAGTCGAACAATAAGTTTTAATTTGAATAGGTATCTTCTATATATTCTATTCTATATATATATAAAAATGGATTGCTGTTCCTTAGTCTCGCTAAAACTCGAGAACAGCTGAACGGATTTATCTTATCTTAGTCTTGAAATGTTCGTGAAGGTTCAGGGAAGGTTTAAAAGGTGAGAAAAATTTATTCATTTCCGGGAAAACCCTAAAAACAGCCCTTTTCTATTTCCTATACAAATGTTTTCTTTGACATTAGATTTGACAACTAACTAATATGTCAATCATTCTGTTCGATTGAAACAGGAAAAACCTGATTATTTATGGCCTCTACGACGGAATAGAGTTCGCCCGGTCAGCTATACATATATTACTAATGACGAAATTAACGCGGACGAAGTCGCGGGCAAAAACTAGTATGTATATAAAAATGGATTGCTGTTTCTTAGTCTCGCTAAAACTCGAGAACAGCTGAACGGATTTATCTTATCTTAGTCTTGAAATGTTCGTGAAGGTTCAGGGAAGGTTTAAAAGGTGAGAAAAATTTATTCATTTCCGGGAAAACCCTAAAAACAGCCCTTTTCTATTTCCTATACAAATGTTTTCTTTGACATTAGATTTGACAACTAACTAATATGTCAATCATTCTGTTCGATTGAAACAGGAAAAACCTGATTATTTATGGCCTCTACGACGGAATAGAGTTCGCCCGGTCAGCTATACATATATTACTAATGACGAAATTAACGCGGACGAAGTCGCGGGCAAAAACTAGTATGTATATAAAAATGGATTGCTGTTCCTTAGTCTCGCTAAAAGTCGAGAATAGCTGAACGGATTTATCTTATCTTAGTCTTGAAATGTTCGTGGAGGTTCAGGGAAGGTATAAAAGCTGAAAAAAATTGATTCATTACTGGGAAAACCACAAAAACAGCCCTTTTCTATTTCCCATACAAACGTTTTTTTGACATTAGATTTGACAACTAACTGATATGTCAATCATTCTGTCGCACTTCAACACACGGAGATTTATGGCTTACAGGTAAACTCCAAAAATATAAATAAAAAAACGTAATAGATATTTCTTGATTATAGGGCGATACGAAGTTCGCCAGGTCTTCTAGTCTTATATATTTAAATGAGCAATTCTTGTATATATATTTATATATTATAATTGGAATCTCGGAATCTGCCGCAACGATATCCATGAAATTTAGTATATAGGGCATTTCGGGGCCGAAAATCATCTGGCTAAGAATCATTTTTACAAAATGTTATTTAAAAAAAATAACAAAAAGGTCCGTTTAAAATATGACTCTTCCTGACATCTATTGGCAAATAGTAATACTACTTTTTGCTAATTGCTTTTACTAATTGCTTTAACGACACACCAGCAGACGGCATTGTTAAGTACACGGAAGTCAAAAGAGTGTTTGTTTTAGGGTTAGACTAAGAAATTGATTGTTGATTTATATTGTTTTGTGTCTAACTATATAGGGTAGCACCCGAAGTTTCCAGGAAAACTACGAAACACACTTATATATATACATATATATATATATATATATATATATATATATATATAAGTGTGTTTTATATATATTCAGGGTGACTGGTGAATTACTATCGATACTTGAGGACGTGATATTTGACGATCATATATGACAAAATAAAAATTAATATAACATAAATATTAATAAACTTCTAAGTAAAGTTAACCAAAAGTTATGTAATTAATTACGCATCGTGTGAACACCCTACAGATTAGGTATACACACACACGCACACGCGTGTGGCGGCGTAGTGTTTTATCAGCACGCTGGCGCACGCGTCCACACCTGGAACACTTGGAACGTGTCAACACTTTATTTATTTATACGGAAATTTTGTCAAAAATTAAGTACCTATTTTTTTTACATAATTCGAATGAGAATCATGTACCGAGTATTCTCCTTAAATATTGATAGTAATTCACCAGTCACCCTGTATATATTAACATACGAGTTACATTTTAAAACTTATAACCTAAGACTACATGATTGCCCCGATGTTAGGATAGCAATACCATTCCATAGCTTGTGTGTATCAGGAATCTTCTGGTTCACACGGCTTGGTGTTCGTTCCGCGGAGTCAGCGGCGTCACTCGTTATACGATATTTTATCGATACAAAGATGTCGCCCCGGCGATGTTCATTTTTTTTCATATGTACCGAATACGTAACAGTCTTCTTAACGTGTTCACTTAAAAATGCCTTAAAAAAATAAAAAAAACATAAAATAAATACTAATAATTCCTAAATACCGGTAACCAGATATTAATATATGAATGAAGCATCAATTGTCGTATATTTAGAACCGAACATGTGTATCTTGACACTTACCAGAATGAGTGAGATATATGTAGATAAAACTTCCTCTCAGTCGATTTTAGTGTAGTCTACTCTAGTCTAGTCGGTCTATTATCCATACTAATATTATAAGTGCGAAATTAACTCTGTCTGTCTGTCTGTTACGCTTTCACGCCTAAACCACTGAACTGATTTTAATGAAATTTGGTACAAAGATAGAATTGACCTTGAGAAAGAACATAGGATAGCTTTTATCCCAAACTTTTGAAAAGTTCTCTTGGAAACGCGATATAACCGAACTCCACGCGGGCGAAGCTGCGGGCGGAAAGCTAGTATTATATAAAACTTTAAAAACCGTTATATATAAAAGGAAATGTATATTTAATACAATGTAAATATATATCTTTAAAAAAGTAGTTTATTCCCAATTGGCTTATTAGAGAATTGAATAATGAGTTCTTAAAACCAACCGGTTGTATATTTCGAGTGTGTAAAATTACTTAATATTCAAACTTTTTATTTTACGGTCCTGCTTAAATAACAAAATATTGTGATACATTATATATTTTTCTTGTGTGTTTACTTCACTAGCAAGTTTTATATAACCGGCAAAATAGCATACAACTCTACAAACCCTTACAAACCTACCCCATTTTTTACATCAATAAAACTTCTTTATACAGGCATGTCATTTATTTTCTCTGTTGTCTTGCATTTTAGTTTTAACGAGGTTTAATAATAATGCAGAAAATTTTAGATTGATATGATTACTACAAATCTTTTAATTCATATGTGAAGGTAAGACAAAAATTAAACACAATTTAATTTGGTAAAAATAAAAGCTAGGTTCATAATGTATTATAGAATTAGAATACTTCTTTTAATATGATTAGGAACAACTCCTGATGTAAAAACTAATCTACACCCTAAGTACGTGTTTGTATCGTCTTACTAACTACGGGGCGTTTCTTGTTATTCAAAAATCTTCACATGTAGAGATATTAATCAAGGGACTATCGAAAAAATTATATGATAATAGCATTTTTTGAGAATATCAGTTGTATGTTAAGTTCTAAATACTTTTTATCTTTCCAAACTCAAAAAGAATCAATAAGTTAGTGAAATAATAGAATATGAAATTATTTTATATTTTTTTAATTAATCATTCTAGAAAACAAATTTGTAAAACAATAAAACAGTTCAATTAATTGTCTTCTGTAACTGGATTTAGTAAAGAGCACCACATCCGCAACCTCCAAGTCTAGCTCCATTGTAATTGTTGTAACCATAAGCTGGTCCAAGGTTGCCGGCCTCCAATGCGAGGGGACCAGCGAGACCATTGTAACCATAAGCTGCTCCAGCCAAGCCAGCTCCATAACCCGCGCCAGCATAGTCCTCACTCAACATGGCTACGTTTCCATTGCCACTCCCGTAAGCTACAGCGCCCGCTCCCCCTGTTGGTAGATTTCCTTCTAACGCCACAGCGCCAAGGAATGGAACCGCGCCAGACACAGCCAGCGGTCCTTCGTACATGTTCTCAGAGTTCATTGACACGCCAGTAGGAGCGATGGGGGAGAAACTGTTTATGGCGAGCCCACCGCCGTTAGAGGCAGCGAGAGATGCCGGCGAGTAACCAGCGGCCCACTCAGCGGCAAACGGAGCAGCAGCCAGAGACGCGGCGGAGTAGGAAGCAGCACAAGGTGCGGCTCCGTAAGGAACACCAGCCTCCCAGGACATCGCACTTCCCGGCCAGTTCATGCTGTTCTCCCACGCCAAGGCATTAGAAGCCAGGCCGTTGTATGCTCCAATACATTGAGCCGAGAAGCTCTGTAAGAAAAAGAATTTGGTTTTAACGAAAGTTATATTACTTTTTGTTCTATACTTTTCATGCTAAATGATCTAGTTTTGTATGGAGTATTCATTAGCATAACTTGATTGATTTAATTTTTATCAATAGAACACCTAAATTAACCCATTATTTTATTTTTCTTATAAGATTAGTATATACTCACTTGTATGAAGAGTGCTTGTAAACAGACAAATACGATTTTAAACATTTTTAATAGTTTTAATCAACGATGATCTTTAGAATGATTTTTTGGTTTTTAACTTGTCATTTTATATACACAAATTACAAAATATGAATAAATGAAACCCTT